GGAGACCTAAGAATGAAGCTCCTTGACACGTGCCCACCTCCATCTAGCTCCTCTCCATCGGGTGACAGCCGCCGGAGAGTTACAAAGTCGTCATTTTTCTACTCTGCTAGGTGACAGCTGCCGGAGATGATTCAAAGACCCATTTCATTGATCTCTAGACTTCACAAGGAGATCTAGAGATTGTCCATGTCGTCTTTGTCAAAAGAGAGCCTTCAAGGCTGTGGACACTATACGACGATCCTCTCGAACGCTCAAGATTATAGTGCATCGTCGATGCATCGCCGCCACGATGCTGAAATTTTGTTTTCCTACTTTCAACTTAATTTCCGCTTCATTTAGTGATAATTTATGTGATTTAAATTTACCAAGATATACTTCATTCAATTACGATTCTTTCGGCTTTTACAAATCTTAATTTGATCAATTAAATCGTCTTTAATCACTTACGTAAGAATCACTGGGTAGAACTCTATTTTTGCCTGATTCGCGTTCGCCGAGCGTTGACATCATTCTAACGTCCACACCGCTATTTTTCTTTTTTTGTGAATTTTTAATATATTGTATTTTCATTTCTTAGTGTACAATTCATAAAAAATAGTATTCTTTGAGAAAAATTCTAAATAATTAACTGATATTATATTACATCCCTGTGATCAACTTGGAAAATTACCACTATTTTTGTAAATTTTATTGAATTATAATTGATATATTTGTTCATAAATACTTCTAAATATCAATAAATTCATATTTTCTAGTTTTATAAATTTAAAATTTACATGATCTACTATACAATGACTAAGTCACGTCACCTATGTTAGTCAATCCTACTTGGTATGTGGATTCTCATTGATCAGAATTTTCCTTTTTAGGAATAGTGGAAGGACATTGAATCTTAGGTATAGAATGATACCTATACATTTCCTATCTACTATACTTCATTCAGTCCTTATATCTTATTCAACCATACCATTTTATCCCTTTATAAAACTTAAATTTGTGCTTCATATTTTCACAATTAGGCCACCCTCTTTTCACTCATTTTTCTTACCCACTCATGATGGTTGTTACCCCAAATAGCACTTATTCTTTTCATATGTCATTTATCTCTCTTCATACTCATCTTTCTCTATATTCCCTCATCCTCTTCTAAGTCGTATATGTTTGAGTTAAGAATTTTTCGTCAAAAAAAAAGAAGAGAAAAAAAAGAAGAAAAGAAAAGAATGAGAAAAATGTGAATAAATAAGTAATAGAAAAGAAGAGATCAGTAGGAAAAAAAATTGTCTACTTGTTTCATGTTATCAAATGACACTATATAATTTTTTTCAATCTAAGTATCTTGACTTGGGAGCATAACTATCATGAGTGGAACTTAGCCGTTGATTGGATAACCTATCATTGTCACTGCATTAAACCATGCCCTTCAACCCATGACGTACTTTATTAATGTATTGTCCTCTCCATTGTCTCTATTCATCTCACCTTTCTTGTATCACATCATTTTATCTTCTTTCATTCTGTACCACAAAGAGGAGATGTCTTTGCACTGATTTTCTTCAAGGGAAAAAAGGTTAAAAAAGATTCCTAAACACCAAGTAGACACCATATACGAGAGAGTTATCTACTTAGAGGGGGTTAGGATTAGACACATCACTGAAAGGTGAGAATTTTTTTATGCCTATATCATACCTAGAGATGCTTATTCTTCTTTATTGTTCGTGGCTCTTTTCAAAAACACTTAAGAGGTTGACCAAGATGATAGAATCTAGACTTTTATGGGTTGCGATCATATGCCGAGGTGTGATCAATACTTTGAACATTTCTTGTCTTCATATTTTAAGATTGAAAGGTGAAAGAACAATCTAAGGAGAACTTAAAAGAAATTACTAAAGGACTAACAATGAGTAAAATGGAGAGTATTTGATAATTCTAAATTAGTAGTTTCATCGATGTATTAATATCTTATATATAGATGCTAATTAATAGATGGAGAATGTAATTATACATGTGTTACTCTCTCATTATGATATTTATAAAATTTTCTCATTTAAATCTTAATTTATATTATTTTATTTATATTATGAGACTAATCCTATATGACTTTTATGAAGTTAAGTGGTGATTCTCTTACATTTTCTTGATAATTATTTGATTACAAGGACTTAGGTGAGCTCTTATTATGAATTGTAAGTAATGAAAGAAGCTTAAGTCTTCAGCTCAAAGAAAAGCTCAAGTGTTATAGAGAGGGCTGACCTAATATATTTATGAGCCCAAGAGAGGGCGTCACTTTGACCTAGCCCATTTGCACTTAAAAGAGTTATCAAGAGATGAGATTTATATTGCTCATCTTAAGGTCCCTTACGATGAGATTAAGAAGAAGATTAACGTTCTACTCTCATAGAAGACTTTGGAGCATCCACTAGGAGAGTTGGGTATTAATAATAACCGTTTATTAGAGGGACCTAATTTCTAGAGGTTTAAGGCATCTTGCCCCCCTCTTGAAGGGCACTTTTTGGGCTCTCTCTCTAGTAGTGACTAGTCAAAGAAAAAAAGAAGGAAATCAAGGCCCAATTAATGGCATTCTCATGCTCAAGATTGTTGTGGAAAAGAGACTATCTGGAGCACATCAAGTTTGTCACAAATCAAGCACCACTCAACCTAAGATTGATGTACAATGAGGTCTATGCAAGACCTAGACTTGGGACATCCTTATAATCTTCTCCATAGATATATTAACTCTTAGTTTGAACTAATTTTATCATTTATTCTATCATTCTATTACATTAAATTCATTCTCTCGGCTTTGCCACACTTTCTATTTTTCTTATCTTTACCTTTTTTTAGATTTAATTCCGCCCTTCACGATCTCAAGTATATCTATATATATATAAAATAAAAGAAGTAAAATTATTTTTACTTTCATTACCCATGCTCTATGAAGATCTACTTTTACTTATTCTAAACTGAAGAGTGAGGTTTTATAAATGTTATTTGTATGAACTTTGTTACATCACAACGACATATTTAACCTCTAAATCAAGTGCATCAATATGATTCACTATATGATGACATATAATAATTCATACTTATTATGATTCATTAATATAAAAGTTGAAGAGAAAATTAATTATTTGTTAGTGATAAATAAATATTTAGCAGTATTGATATCAGCCGCTAAATGGGAGAGGAGGAAAAGCCAAAATCCTATTTTCAGTCTTCATAAAGAAAATGATTTCTCTGTCTTTGATTTTTGTCTCTCTCACGCTTTCTCTCTCTCTCCAAACCCTATTTTAATATATGTATTACAAAGGGGACTGGACTGGTTTTATACTTGAAACCAGTCCTAAACAAAGGCGCAAAAGTGGGATGAGGTCTGGACAGACCTCTCCTAAAAGAAGGGTTGATTGAGTCACCCTTACACCTTTCTCTGCATATCTTGTGGTAAATTTGAAAGGCACATGTAGAAAGTTTTTTCACTTATCATGATGACCAACTCCATCACTTGACCATTACAATCAATCACATGGATCGCACTCATTTTCCAATGCTTAGGGAGTCCTTGCAAAGGACCCAGATGCGTCCACCCTCCTTTTTCACGCAATTTACCTGCAGCCATGTTCTCTAACATAACTCACTCTTGGATCTTCTTGTATGATCCATGGTGACTAGATGAAATCCAATTGATCTCCTCTAAGGCACTATGCATGTTCTAAGGCGAACAAAGAATCACAGAAAATAAATAATCTGTCGTCATATGTCACCATACTCTTAGCTGGATATACTTTAGTGAAATAAATTTTGTTGATGTAAAATTTTAAATTTTTTGAAATTAGCTTTACATTAATCTGTAGTTCTCCCTTGGACCTTGAACACAGTCATAATTTTTAAGTGTTCAAACCTAGCTACTGACCGAACCGTGCTCCTGGAGTCGACGTTACACTTTGGCCGGACCTTGTACCGCCAAGCCTGAGCTGATATCTCATACATCACCAGCGCGTCATTTCTCCCTTCATGGGACCTTCTAAAACTGGTGTTTCTAAAAGGAAAAGCTGCAAAGCGTATCAGAATAAGACTCGTAAACATCTTTCTGCAGGCATAATGGAAGTTTGTTAGTCCATCTAGACTTGGCTGGAACTTTCGAACTTCAAGAAGGGAATGAACTCTATGCTATCTACACATAGCCTGGATATTTTCTCACGCCTTTTACGTGAATTATAATGTCTTAACCCGATCTAGGACTAGAGAGAGAGTCCTGAGATGGGTTTTAAGTATGCCTCGTATGAAGCAAATCTCCAAGTCCTAAAGGCCTGCGAGAGCGAGAGAGAGAGAGAGAGAGAGAGAGAGAGAGAGAGAGAGAGAGAGAGGTGGTATGTAATTACAAGTGGGTTTTTGTGGGAGAATAATTATGCAGTATAATGGATTCTACGCCGCCGCTGTCCTGATGGAAACCGGGTAATTATTCGCTAGATAACGTTTCCGGACAGATCCGAACTCAGGAAAGTGGAGCAGACAATGGCCAGCTCTGGCCAGCCTACTTATCCTCCTATGCTGGGCTGGGCCTCGCAGGGAATGGCTGGATAAGACCCAGTCACGCTGGTAGCGATCTATTGGGTTAAGAAATTTCCACGTGACATCTTCTGAAACTCTGAAGACGTGGGATTGCATCGTTAGTGGGGCGCCGCATGGCCACCTGCCGTTAGCGATCAGCGTTCGATCCTCGTCCAGTTTCTAGCGCCACGTTGCGTGCATTTGGAGTCTCGACCTCGCCATGCGTTGCTGTTCGCCGCGAAAGCTGGCAGGACTCGTCGCTGTCACGGATGCGTAGGACTGCTAGAAATGAGAACCGTATCTCTTCAACAGGTTCCGCAATCCCCGACTTTTCTCATTCCTTGCCTTTCCTAGTTTTGGAGGCTATACGTATAAATCTCCCCAGCAGCCCTCCCCCCCCCGTGTCCAACGAGTGAGCGAGTAAAGCAGAGGGGTCGTAGCCAAAACGCAACAGAATGCAGTCCGCTAGAGTTGGAGCCCTCGCCGTCACTGTCTTTTACATGGTGCTCCTGGCCTGTAAGCTGCAGTTTCCTCTCTTCCTCATGTTCTTCCTCTTCTTTCCCTTCGTTTCCGTCCCTCTCTTGTTCTGAACTCCTATTTTTGGGAAGTTCCGGAGTGAAGTGCGGTAAGAACTTCGTCTTCTCTTGCCTGAGTCTGACGGATTTGTGGGTTACGTTCGGTCTGCGTAGGTGGGGAGTGGGTGGATTACCCATCTGGGGTTCGGTGCTGCAGCGATATTCCGGTGGAGCGGTGCGACCCGTCGTGCCGTGACGCCAACGCCGCCTGCCGTGATGTGTGCCACTACGGCGGATGCCGGAAGGGCGGACAGTGCGAGGACGGCGCGCTCGGCATCGGCCGCTATTGCCACTGCAACTGCTGATCCCGGCACCGCCACCCGACCTGAACTACACGCCCTCACGATCTTCATCAGCAAGACGGCGGCCCATCTTCGTTCTCCCTTCGAACCCACCTCAGCCAAGCTGTGTAGCTCCTAGTCCACCGCAGTTTTGCACCCTATTCTCCCGCGATCGCCAGTCAGCGACAATACCCCGCAACTTTCATCTCTCCTTTCTGCAAGCCGTACATTATCTCTTTCTCTATCTAGTATCTCTTTTCTCATTCCTGAGTGGTGGTGCATACGTATCTTCCTCGTGATCGTAGAGCAGTCGCCTCTAGCAGAAAAAAGCTGAGCTTCTTCTTCGTTTACCCCGCCAGAAACCAGGATAAGTTGTAGGTCCGCGCCGAGCGCACTGAGCAAATCCTCGTCAGCCCTCTTCGGGAAAACTTTGATGATTTATAAAAATATTCTGGTAGGAGATGCGTACTGACTAGACGTCAACAAAGAGGGCTTCGGACCCTCCGTCGGTCCCCGGGATATTCATCCCCGGGGCTGTCGTAATTATTCTCATGCCACACTCAGGGGCTTTCGTGTGTGGTCATGATTTTCTCGGAAACCACTGTTGGCACGTACGTCTGCAAGGCAACAAGGCCCACGGCATCGGACCGGCGCACCGACGGTGTAGAAGATAATTCAAAAGCAGCCGGCGGAAAAGGCGTAGCTGGCCTCGATCTGGTAGTGGCAAGCTCTCCGCTGAAGGGTTCGCAGTGACGCTCTGAAGAAAGAAAGGCGGGCGCTGGCTAGGATTGCTACGAGATCCTGACCGGAAGAGGAGTTGTCTTCTATTACGGTTGTCGTCTCTTTCGCTTAAAAAGGCCAGGAAATGTGAATGGTTCATTCTGACTGTAGGAACGAAGGGGACCGAATGAGAAGCAGAAAAGGAAGATTCGGTCTAACCATGGTGGACGCCCGCCCCGGGATAATACATTTTCCCGGGACTGTATGCAACAGGAGAACTCTCAACTTTCTTAGTTTATCGTTATCCTTATCTCCGGCTGCTCGTTGGGTTTCCCACTTCTCTTCAGTGTCCCTCTCACCCATAGACTTCGGCCTGGAATCCCTCCCAAGTCACTCAGGTATCTGAAATCTCGTTTCCGGCGCCCCACTCGTGGTAGAGCAACCTTAATCTGGGGTGAGTTCGAAACCAAAGGACACCTGAGCAGTTCGCTACTTTGGGCTCTGGTCTTACCTCTGTACCTCGTAAGTTTGATTATTGGACATTTAGAGCGGCTTCGAGAAGGGTTGGCGGGGGGAAGTTGGGAATGATCACCGAGCCTGTCGGACTGGCCGGTTGGTTGACAGTTCTGGTGAAGAGTGCAGCTGAGAGTGCGGCAGAGGCAGCTTCTGTTGTTGTTGAGTTGTTGAGGGTGACAGCGGAGCAATGTTGGCTGACAACTGAATCAGTAGCCAGCACCGAAGATATCTCCTTCATTGGGGAGTACCATAAGACATTTTCAATATTCTAACCATATCCTCTCAAGGCACACCTAAGTGAGTTGTTAATGAGGTGTTAGCTCATTTCAAGTCGAGGTTCAAACTTACATCCTCTCAGAGATATCGAATCGTATTGAAGCAAGTGTGAACTCTACCAGTTCAGAATAAAAATAAGGGATGCATATATGACGTGACTTAGTTGTTGTATAGTAAATCACATAAATTTAAAATTTATAAAACTAAAAAATACTAATTTTTAGATATTTAGAAGTATTTTTAAATAAATATATCAATTATAATTCAACAAAACTTTTAAAAATAGTGATAATTTTTCAGGTCGATCACAAGGATGTAATATAATATCAGATAATTATTCAGAATTTTCCTCAAAGAATATGAATTTTTATGAATTTTATACTAAGAAATAAAAATAAAATATATTTAAAATTCACAAAAAAAGAAAATAAGGGTACGGATGTCAAGATGATGTTAGTACCTGACGAACGTGAATCGGATAAAAATAGAGTTCTGTCCGGCGATTCTTACGTAAGCAATTACAAACGATTTAATTGATCAAATTAAGATCTATAAAAGTCAAAAGAATCGTGATTGAATGAAGTATAACTTGGTAAATTTAAATCGCATAAATTATCATTAAATGAAGCAAAAACTAAGTTGAAAGTAAGAAAACAGAGTTTCAGCGTCGTGACGGTGATGCATCGACAATGCACTGAAATCCTAGCTGTGATGTGTTGGCGATGCACCGAAAGGGGAGTGACGCACATGTGCTCTCATTGGTCCTAGCTGCTTGAACCCATGCTCACGGTTTCCCTCGACTGTGCTTTCGACCTACTTGCGGGCTGGGCTAGCCAATGATTCCCCCCCATTTTACTAGATTTTTATTTTAATTTCTTTTTCTTCATTTATCTAAAAGAAAACTATAAAAATTATATAAATTCGTAGAAAATCACATAATTAGCCAAAAATTTACTTTAATCAACTGAAAACTACTTTTCACAATTTAACATAAATATAAATCTATTTATCATGAGTTAGGGCTAAAGATATATTATTTACTAATTATTAACTCATTATAATGAAGACTTATCACACCCCCCAACTTAAATCATTGCTAGTCCCTTAGCAATGGAATTATGAAAATAAAAATTTGCAAATCTCAAACATCATATTTTAATTTATAAAAAAATATATAATTTGAAATGATGCACCTTTAGACACTTTGGATTCTTATATCAAGTATTTAAGAATGATGTTAAGCACTTAAATGTTTAAGCACTCCTTGAAATATTAATCTAGACTTCACTTCTTCTATTCACATCTTTATCAGTTTTTCACTCATAGATATATTTACAAGATGTTTCAATTATCAATACTCATCCAAGAATAATATTGATCCTACATTTCTCTTTTTTTATGGCTTGATTTTTGAAGTTTACATTATATTTCTTCTTTCTATATATATATATATAGTGGATAAGTAGCTTTTCCTGTAGACAAATTTCGACAATAAGAATGATGTCTCACACCTTCCATGTGTACTCCTCATTTTCAGGGCTTTCACTTTATCCACTTATTTTGTAGTAAGTATTTTTCTATGCACGATTTTCGACAATGAGAATGATGTCTCACACCTTCCATGTGTACTCTTCATTTTCAGGGCTTTCACTTTATTCACTTATTTTGCAGCAAGAATTTTTCTATGCACGATTTTCAACAATGAGAATGATGTCTCACACCCTTTATGTGTACTCTTTGTTTCTAGATTTTTCACATTGTTCTCTTTTTTTTTTCAAAATAAGTAATTTCTTCTCACAAGTCCTATAGATCAGGGTGCAAAAATCTCCATTAAACTAAAATGATCAATTAAATTTTCACATCAAGTAAATACTATCCATCAAGATCACGAAGTGAAAAACTGTAAAATCAAATCCATGTTATCTATCATGTATCCAAGGAGTATTCCAACATATCATGCTACTAGATCATTCTTTTGACTCAATAATAATCTTCCTAGTATCTTTTGGTATCAATCAATCTATTGGATTTAATTTTTTATGCATACAATATAATGTAAGAAATTTATAAATTAGATAGTTCTAACAGTTCTATTTTTTATTTTCAGTTCTGTTTTTAGCAATAATAAATTTGTCAAAAATAAATCAAAATTATCCTCTTTATAGTTGTAATTTTGAATTTCAGTAATATATGTCTAGGGGATTGAAATGTGAGAAAAGGGTATCTAGAATTTTAAATTTCGGGCTGTTTTTTCTCTGCTGCTTTTGACAATTTGTTGTTCCTGACAGAAAACCAGAAAATAGATGATATAGTTTTTCCAAATTTTATTTTATTTTAGTTGCTGTTCTAAGTGAACATAAAAATAAAAATAAAAATGCAAACTCATGTTCTTAATCATCCTACAACATAAGTTAAGAATTAATACTTCACCCCCCAACTTAAAAATGACATTGTTCTCAATAACACAAAAAAATCAGAATAGAATATGTAGAAAATATAATTTTCAAGTGAAGCATGCATATATGCAAAGTTAAGCACTAAAAATGTTGTCATAAATGATCAAGCTTAGAAAGACGTCACCTCAACCTCGTTTTTAATTTTCCACTTCATCTTATACTCCTCCTACAATTTTTTTAAATTAAATAAATACAGAAATAAATACTGCGAAATTCTAAGAAAAATAGAACTTTAAAACAAATAATAATAAATCAAACAAAATGAAATGAAAAACATGGGTTGCCTTCCATGTAGCGATGAATTTAATGTCTTCAGCTGGACAACTCTTAGATCATATAAGATGATCTATGGCCATCAAAATATATTTGTATCCCAAGGTAAGTTTCATGATATTCTTTTTCAAATTTAGCATAAATTCATATACTTCATATATATACCTTGACATACTTTCAGCCAAAATAAAATAAAAATTAACAAAAAAAATTCAAAAATAATATTTCCATTTTGAAAGGAATCTTTCCTCATTTCTATCTTGTTTTGTAAGGCTCTCATTTATTAATAAATACTTTCTATTAATAGACCATAAAATGTGATCAAGCCATATAAATTTCAAATTAGCTCTTACCCAATTTAGATTTTTTCATTTAAATTTCTATCTCTAATTCTTCCACTCGTCCATTTCTTAATGTGTTCTTTTATTTGTATAATCTTCTCTTGTTTCATTTTATCTTCCATATATTTGTTCAATTTTCGAGGAGTGAATATTTCAAGCTTAGAAATAATTTTAATAGGCTGTGGGTTTTGAAGGATGGAAGCATTGTCTTCTTTAATCTCAGATCTAATGAATTCAGTAAAATTCAAATCTTCTCCTCCAAAATTATCTCTATATTCATATTCATTATTTTCATTTCTCCCCATTAGTTCAATCAACTCTTTTTCTAGCTTTTCATTTATTAACTCATCAAATTCTTCATTTTCCCAAGAGCTATCTTCTAATTTTAGTATATGATATACATCATCATCCTCACTATCAACATCCATGCCTGCAAAATTCTGATTAAATTTATTAATTTTGTCTCCTACATCTCCCAAATCAACTAATTTTTCCTCACTTGAAATATGTTTTTCTTCATTTCCATCTTTACTCCCTTCTACTAAAATTTAGATGATTATTCCATGATCAGCTGTTGTTTCTTCATCTAAGGGCTCTTTCTCCTCATCATCCTCACTATAGTTATTCATCAATTGTGAGCAATAAATAATTTTATTCAAATTTTCTGCTACTATATTTTCAGTCTTAATATTCTTATTTACTTCTAATGGCTCATCAATTTCTTCTAATAGTTGGAAATAAGGATCAAGTAAAATATTTTCACTCAATGTATTCACTGTCCTAAAACTTTCATTTTGTGGGTTTTTCTTAAATTTATCCAGCTAAACCCTCCTTGCTGAATTCTTACTATTAGACTGTTTCCTGAATTTTCTATGGGCTGACTTGGTGACTGTCCCTCTTCTCTCTTATTCTCAAAAGCCTCTATAATTTGTTTCTAGTTCAACATCATTTGATTTATAATTTGTTACATCATTTGGCTCATTTGCTACATTGTTTTCATAGCATTAGGTTGGATTTAAGAGGGCTAATTTTTTTGAAATCTATGTTCCTGTTTTGGACAAAATTTAGTATTTGAATTGGATCTAAGTGCTTTTGGATTTTGAATATTATTTGGTTTTCTTCACAAAAAATTATTCCCCCAATTAGGATTATAAGAATTAAAAAAATATTCTCTATTTTTACTAAAATCATGGTGTACTTGCACTTGCTCCTTCTTAGGATGAAATGATTGATCTAAATTATAATATTGAAATTCGAAATTATCATTTTCACCATACATAGGGCATGCACTATATGCATTCAATTGAAAGTTAGGAGGCTTTCTAATATTCTCAATAAGTAAATCATGTTTTTCTAATCTTTGATTAATCTGATTAACCTCATTTCTTAAATTAAAATCATCATCATTTCGAATTTAATAGTAGGTGCTAATGGGACTCTAATATTGGATGCTCTCTAAAATGAATTAGGGATATAATGATTTTCATGGCCATAGGATTGTTCTCAATTTGACTTGTACTTCCTTCAATCCATCAAAATTAATTTTTCTTTCAGATTTTTTTTTTTTTGAATGAAATAGTGAAAGGATTTTCTAGCCTGTGATGCAAGGGTCTTCTACCATGCATAAGGATCAATAAATTCAAAGAAAAAGTTTAATAATTATTACCCTCCTTTAGTATGCTCCAGTCCTTGCCTTGTTTCTCTTTGTTCCCCCTTCTCTTTTTTTTGGCAAGAAGAAAATAAAATAAGAGTTAATTTTTTTGTGTACTCTAAGAGAAAAATAGAAAAATACTAAATATTATGTAATACATCCTCGGCAGCGGCACCAAAATTTGAGGTGACTTGATCGTTGAATAGTAAATCATGTAAATTTAAAATTTATAAAATTAGAAAATATTAATTTTTTGGATATTTAGAAGTATTTTTGAACAAATATATCAATTATAATTTAACAAAACTTTCAAAAATAGTGGTAATTTTCTAGGTCGATCACAGGGATGTAATATAATATCAAGTAATTATTCAGAATTTTCCTCAAAGAATACAATTTTCTATAAATTTTATATTCAGAAATAAAAATAAAATATATTTAAAATTCAAGAAAAAGAGAAATAAGGGTGCAGATGTCAAGATGACATTAGTGCCCGACGAACATGAATTAGGTGGAAGCAGAGTTCTGCTCGACAATTCTTACGTAAGCGATTATAGATGATTTAATTGATCAAATTAAGATTTGTAAAAGTTGAAAGAATCGTGATTGAATGAAGTATAGCTTGGTAAATTTAAACCACACAAATTATCACTAAATGAAGTGAAAATTAAGTTGAAAGTAGAAAAATAGAGTTCTGACGTCACAGCGGCGATGCATTGACAATGCACTAGAATCCTAAGCATTCGAGAGGATCTTCGTGTACTGTTCATGGCCTCGAAGGCTCTCTTTAAACAAGGACGACGTGGGTAATCTCTAAATCTCCTTACAAAATCTAGAGATCAATAAAATGAATTGTCGAATCGTCTCTAGTGGCTGTCACCTGACATAGCAGAAAAATGGCAACTTTGCAGCTCTTCGACAGTGACATGACTTAGTCATTGTATAGTAAATCACGTAAATTTTAAATTTATAAAACTAAAAAATATGAATTTTCAAATATTTATAAGTACTTATGAACAAATATATCAATTATAACTTAATAAAAATTCCTAAAATAGTGATAATTTTCCAGGTCGATCATAGAGATGATAATTTCAAAGTTTTTCTCAAAGAATACTTTTTTCTATGAATTTTATACTAGGAAATGAAAATAAAATATATTCAAAATTCACAAAAAAAGGAAATAAGGGTGCAGACGTCAAGATGACATCAGCACCTAGCGAACTCGAATCAGGCGAAAATAGAGTTCCGCCCGGCGATTCTTACATAAGTGATTACAAACAATTTAATTGATCAAATTAAGATCTGTAAAAGACGGAAGAATCGTAATTAAATAAAATATATTTTGGTAAATTAAAATCACAGAAATTATCACGAAATGAAGCGGAAAATAAGTTGAAAGTAGGAAAACAAAGTTCCAGCGTCGCGGCGGCAATGTGTCAGCGATGCATCAGAATCTTGAGTGTTCGGCGATGTGGACAAGGACGACGTGGGCAATCTCTAGATCTCCTTGCGAAGCCTAGAGATCAATGAAATAGGTCATCGAATCATCTCCAGTGACTATCACCCGGCGGAGCAAAAAAATGGTGACTTTGCGGATCTCTAGCAGCTGTCACTTGGCGGAGCAGAAAAACGGCGACTTTGCAGCTCTTTGGCGGCTGTCACTCAGTGGAGCGGAAAAACGGCGACTTTGCGGCTCTCCAGCAGCTGTCACCTGACGGAGAGGAGCTGGATGGAGGTTGGGTGCGTGTCAGGGAGCTTCATCCTCAAGTCTGCGCAGCAAGAGGAGGCTCTTCATCGCATCTGGTACGCTCTTAGGAGGTGGCGACTCATCTCCCGGCATATCGTCCTCTTTCAGACGACGGCTTGTTCGTCGATCAATCGAAGATGATTTACTCGATGGATTCGCAATCCTTTTATCGCGAATCCTTCAGCAATTTTAGTAACAATGCTTCGCGAATCGCATTGACGAGATTTTCGCCCAATGATCTAGCAATTCTAGTTGCTTAATCTTTCACCGGCGATCTGCAGGAAAGTCGCGATAATTAGATAAAAATATGAGTTTTGGCTCTAGGAGGATTCGAACCCGCGCCAGTTGCCCATCCCTTTTGGGGAAGGTGATGCAGGTTTAGTTCCACATCGGTTGTGCGCCGAATTTTTGGGCGAATATATAGTAATGTTAGATCTCTAAGCAAGTCCCTCTCTTGCGCATGTACGACCACTCCTTGCCCCACACCAAGCTGGCCACCAGTGATGTGGAAGGGGGGTGGCACACACGTGCCCTATCGGTCCAAGCCACTCGAGCCCCTACTCGCGGCTACTTCCCGACTACACTTCTGACCCACTCGTGGGCCTGGCTGGCTGATGGGTCCCCACATTTTATAATATTTTTATTTTATTTCTATTTCTTTTTCTTTATTTATCTCAAAAGTAAGACTGTAAAAATCATATAAATTCGTATAAAATCACATAATTACCCAAAAATTCACGTTAATCAATTGAAAACCACTTTTCACACTTTAACATAAATATAAGTCTATTTATCATGAGTTAAGGGTAAAAATTTATTATTTACTAATTATTAACTCATGATAATGAAGACTTATCACCCCCCAACTTAAATCATTGCTAGTCCCTTATCATTGGAATTACGAAAATAAAAATTTGCAAATCTCAAACATCATATTTTAATACATGAAAAGAAAATACAATTAGAAATGATGCACCTTTAGACACTTTGAATTCTTATATCAAGCATTTAAGAACGATCTCAAGCACTTAAATGTTTAAGCACTCCTTGGAATAACAATCTAGACTTGACTTCTTCTATTCACATCTTTATCACTTCTTCACTCATAGATATATTTACAAGATGTTCCAATTATCAATACTCATCCAAGAATAATATTGATCTTACATTTCCTTTTTTCCATGGCATGATTTTTGAAGTTTGCACTATATTTCTTCCTTCTTTTTTTTTTTTATATATAGTGGATAAGTAGCTTTTCCTGTAGACAAATTTCGACAATAAGAATGATGTCTCACACCCTCCATGTGTACTCTTCATTTTCAGGGTGACGTGACTTAGTCGTTGTATTTTATAAAATTTATATCTATTAGAAGTATTTTTGGATATTTAGAAGTATTTCTGAATAAATATATCAATTATAATTCAATAAAACTTCCAAAAATAGCGGTAATTTTCCAAGTCGATCACAAGGATGTAATATAATATCTGGTAATTATTCAGAATTTTTCTCAATGAATACGAGTTTCTATGAATTTTATACTACGAAATGAAAAGGAAATATACTTAAAATTCACGAAAAAAGGGAAATAAGGGTGCGGACGTCAGGATGATGTCAGCGCCCGGCGAATGCAAATCGGGCAAAAACAGAGTTCCGCTCGACGATTCTTACGTAAGCGATTATAGACGATTTAATTAATCAAATTAAGATCTGTAAAAGCTGGAAAAATCTTAATTGAACAAAGTATATTTTGGTAAATTAAAAACACAAAAATTATCACTAAATGAAGCGTAAAGTAAATTGAAAGCAGGAAAATAGAGTTCCAGCGTTGCGACGGTGATGCGTCGGTGATGCACCGAAATCTTAAGCGTTCAGGAGGATCGTCGTGCAGTGTCCACGGCCTCAAAGGCTCTCCTTGGACAAAGATGACGTGGGCAATCTCTAGATCTCCTTGCAAAGTCTAGAGATTAATGAAATCGGTCGTCGAATCGTCTCCGGCAGCTGTCACCCGGCGGAGTGGAAAAACGGTGACTTTGCGGCTCTCCGATGGCTGTCACCCGACGAAGAGGAGCTGGATGGAGGTGGGGCGCGTGTTAGGGAGCTTCATCCTCAGGTCCGCATAGCAAGAAGAGGCTCTTCATCGCATCTGGTATGCTCTCAGGAGGTGGCAACTCGTCTCTCGGCGGATCGTCCTCTTCTCGACGATGGCTTGTTCGTCGATCAATCGGAGATGATTTACTCGATGGATTCGCGATCCTTTTATCGCGAATCGTTTAGCAATTTTAGTAGCAATGCTCCGCGAATTGCGTTGACAAGATTTTCGCCGATGATCTAGTGATTCTCGTTGCTTAATCCTTCACCGGCGATCTGCAAGAAAGTCGCGATAATTAGATAAAAATATATGAATTTTGACTCTGCGAGGATTCGAACCCGTGCCAGTTGTCCGCCCCTTCTGACGAAGGTGTGACGCGGGTTTAGTCCCACATCGCCTGTGCGCCAATTTTTCGAGCGAATATATAGTAATGTTAGCTTTCTAAGCAAAGTCCCTTCTCTCGCGTGTACGACCACTCCTTGCCCCATAGCCAACTGGCCACCAGTAATGTAGAAGGGGAGTGGCGCACACGAGCCCCTATCGGTCCAAGCCGCTCAAGCCCCTGCTCGTGGCTGCTCTCCGAGTGAGCTTCCGACTCGCTTGCGGGCCCGGCTGGCCGGCGGGTCCCCCTCATTTTGTCTTATTTTTATTTATTTTTCTTCATTTATCTCAAAAGTAAGACTGTAAAAATCATATGAATTCATGTAAAATCACATAATTACCTAAAAATTCACATTAATCAACTGAAAATCACTTTTCACACTTTAACACAAATATAAGTCTATTTATCATGAGTTAAGGCTAAAACTATATTATTTACTAATTATTAACTCATGATAATGAAGACTTATCATAGGGCTTTCACTTTCTCCACTTATTTTGCAGCAAGTGTTTTTCTATGCACGATTTTCAACAATGAGAATGATGTCTCACACCTTCCATATGTACTTTTCGTTTCTAGATTTTTCACATTGCTCTCTCTCTTTTTTTTTTCGAAATAAGTGATTTCTCTTGACAAGTCCTATAGATCAGGGTGCAAAAATCTCCATTAAACTCAAATGATCAATCAAATTTTCACATCAAGTAAATACTATCCATCAAGATCATGAAGTGAAAATCTATAAAATCAAATCCATGTTATCTATCATGTATCCAAGGAGTATTCCAACATATCATGCTACTAGATCATTCTTTTGACTCAATAATAATCTTCCTAGTATCTTTTGGTCTCAATCAATCTAATTGATTTAATTTTTCATGCATGCAATATGATGTAAGAAATTTGTAAATTAGATAGTTCTAATAGTTCTGTTTTCTATTTTCAGTTCTGTTATTAGCAACAATAAATTTATCAAAAATAAATCAAAACTATCCTCTTTATAGTTGTAATTTCGAATTTCAGTAATATGTCTTGGGGATTGAAATGTGAGAAAAGGGTCTCTAGAATTTCAAATTTCGGGCTATTTTTGGTCTATTATTTTTGACAGTTTGCTGTTCTTGACAGAAAACCAGAAAATAGATATTGTAGTTTTTCTGAATTTTTTTTATTTTTATTTTTTTAGTTGTTGTTCTAAGTGAGCATAAAAAAAAAAGAATAAAATGCAAACACATGTTCTTAATCGTCCTACAGTATAAATTAATAATGAATACTTCACCCCCAAACTTAAAAATGACATTGTCCTCAATGACACAGAAAAATCAAAATAGACTATACAGAAAATATAATTTTCAAGTGAAGCATGCATATATGCAAAGTTAAACATTAAAAATACTGTCATAAATGATAAAGCTCAAAAAGACATCACCTCAACCTCATTTTTAATTTTCCACTTCATCATACACTCCTCCTCCTGCACTTTTTCGAAAAACTAAATACAAAAAGAAGTACTGCAAAATTCTAAGAAAAATAGAGCTTAAAAAAAAATCAAACAAAATGAAATAAAAACCATGGGTTGCCTCCCATGCAGCGCTGAATTTAATGTCTTTAGCTTGACAGCTCTTAGATCATATAAGATGATCTATGGCCATCAAAATATATTTGTCTCCCAAGGTAAATTTTATGATATTCTTTTTCAGATTTAGCATAAATTCATATACTTCATATATATACCTTGACATACTTTCAGTCACAACAAAATTAAAATTAACAAAATTTTCCCAAAAATAATATTTCCATTTTGAAGAGAATCTTTCCTCATTTCTATTTTGTTTTGTAAGGCTCTCATTCATTAATAAATACTTTCTATTAATAGACCATAAAATGTGATCAACCCATATAATTTTCAAATTAGCTCTTACTCAATCTAGAATTTTTTCATCTAAACTAATATCTCTAATTCTTCCATTCATCCATTTCTTAATGTCTTCTCTTATCTACATAATCTTCCCCTAGTCCATTTTATCTTCCATACATATTTGTTAAATTTGCGAGGAGTGAAATATTTCAAGCTTAGAAGTAATTCTAATGGGCTGTGGGTTTTGAAGGATGGAAGGATTGTCTTCTTTAATCTCAGATCTAATGAATTCAGTAAAATTCAAATTTTCTCCTCCAAAATTATCTCTATATTCATATCCATTATTTTTGTTTCTCCCCATTAGTTCAATCAACTCTTTTTCTAGCTTTTCATTTCTCAACTCATCAAATTCTTCATCTTTTCAAGAGCTATCTTTTAATTTCGGTGTATGATATACATCATTATCCTAACTATCAACATCGATGGCTGTGAAATTATGATTAGATTTATTAATTTCGTCTCCTACATCTCCCAAATCAACTGATTTTTCCTCACTTGAAATATGTTTTTCTTCATTTCTGTCCTTACTCCCTTCTACTAAAATTTGGATGATTCTTTCATGATCAGCTATTATTTCTTTATCTAAGGGCTCTTTCTCCTCATCATCCTCACTATATTCATTCATCAATTGTGAGCAATAAATGATTTTATTCAAATTTTCTGCTACTATATTTTCAGTCTTAATATTCTCATTTACTTCTAATGGCTCATCAATTTCTTCCAATAATTGGAAATAAGGATCAGGTAAAATATTCTCTCTCAATGTATTCACCGTCCTAACATTTTCATTTCGTGGGTTTTTTTCTAAATTTATCCAGCTAGACTCTTCTTGTTGAAATCCTATTGTTGGATAGTTTCCTGAATTTTCTATGGGCTGACTGGGTGGCTGTCCCTCTTCTCTCCTATTCTCAAAAGCCTCTATAATTTTTTTTTGGTGCAACATCATTTGATTCATAGTTTGTTGCATCATTTGACTCATTTGCTGCATCATTTCCATAGCATCAGGTTGGATTTGAGAGGGCTGTTTTTTCTGAAATTTGTGTTCCTATTTTGGATGAAATTCAAAATTTGAATTGGATCTAAATGCTTCTAGATTTTGAATATTATTTGGGTTTCTCCACGAAAAATTATTTCCCCAATTAGGATTATAAGAATTAGAAAAATATTCCCTAGTTTTATTAAAATCATGAGGTTCCTGCACTTATTCTTGCCTAGGATGATATTGAAATTCGAAATGATCATTTTCACCATACATAGGACATGTACTATTTGAATTAAATTGAGGTTAAGAGGCTTTCTAATATTATCAATAAGTAAATCAAGTTTTTTTAATATTTGATTAATCCAATTAACCTCATTTCTAAATTTAGAATCATCATTATGATGCAATTCATAAATTTCTCTCTTCTTATCTCTGTCATATAATTCAAAAGAGGCTTGATCTCTAGAATTTTCACTTAAATTCTCATAAATATTGTAAATCTCATCAAGGGTTTTCTCCATAAAAGCTCCTCCACATATAGAATCAACCATATTTCTTATGTTGTTCTAATTATCCATCATAAAAAATTCTATTGAGCTGCCACTTGGGTATAGCATGATCAGGACACATTCTAAGTAAATCTTTGAACTTTTCCCATGTCTCATACAAAGTTTCTCCTGGTCTTTGAGAAAAACTCCATATATGTTTTCTCATATTGTGAGTTTTTCCTAAGGGATAAAATTTTTGAAGAAAGACCTATTCTATATTTTTCCAACTAGTTAATTCTCTATCTAATGTCGATAGCCAATGACTAGCTTTGTCCCTAAGTGTATGAGGGAATAATTTCATCCTCATAATTTCTAGTGTAACTTGAGGGAGATTAACTAAATAACAGACCATATGAAATTTTTCTAAGTGCTGATGAGGTTCCTCTAAAGGAATTCATGAAAATTAGGGAGCATTTGAAAATTTTCTGAATTTATTTCGAATTTAACGATGGGTGTTAATAGGACTCTAATATTGGATGCTCTTTGAAATGAATCAGGGATCTAATAATTTTTCATGGCCATAGGGTTGTTCTCAATTTGACCTGTATTTCCTTCAGGATCAACGAAAATTAATTTTTCTTTCAGATTTTTAGTTTTGAATGAAATAATGAAAGGATTTTCTAGCCTTGGATGCAAGGATCTTCTACCATACATAAAAAATCAATAAATTCGAGAAAAAAAGTTTAGTAATTATTACCCTCCTTCAGTATGCTCCAGTCCTTGCCTTGCTTTTCTTCGTTCCTTTTTTTTAAAAAAAAAATCAACAAAAAGAAAACAAAACAAGAGTTAATTTTTTTTGTGTACTCTAAGAGAAAAATAGAAAATACTAAATATTATGCAATACATCTCCGTCAATGGCGCCAAAATTTGACATGACTTAGTCATTGTATAGTAAATCACGCAAATTTAAAATTTATAAACCAGAAAATACGAATTTTAGGATATTTAGAAGTATTATTAACAAATATATGAATTATAATTCAATAAAAATTCCAAAAATAGTGATAATTTTTCCAAGTCAATCATAGGGATGTAATATAATATCTAGTAATTGTTCAGAATTTTCCTCAAAGAATACTATTTTCTATGAATTTTATATTAGGAAATGAAAAGGAAATATATTTAAAATTCACAAAAAAAGGAAATAATGGTGTGGACGTCAGGATGACGTTAGTGTTCGGCGAACACGAATCGGGTGAAAATAGAGTTTCGCTCGGCGATTCTTTCATAAGCGATTACAGACGATTTAATTGATCAAATTAAGATCTGTAAAAGCCGAAAGAATCGTAATGTAATGAAGTATATCTTGGTAAATTTAAATCACACAAATTATCACTAAATGAAAAGAAAATTAAGTTGAAAGCATGAAAATAGAGTTCCAACGTCGTGGCAGCGATGCGTCGGTGATGCACCGGAATCCTGAGCATTCAATTGGATCGTCGTGTAGTGTGCATAGCCTCGAAGGCTCTCCTTGGACAAGGATGACGTGGGCAATCTCTAGATCTCCTTGTGAAGCCTAGAGATCAATGAAATGGGTCGTCGAATCATCTCTGGTGGCTGTCACTCAGTGGAGCGGAAAAACGGCGACTTTGCGGCTCTCCGGCAACTGTCACCTGACGGAGAGGAGCTAGATGGAGGTGGGGCGTGTGTCAGGGAGCTTCATCCTCAGGTCTGCATAGCAAGAGGAGGCTCTTCATCGCATTCAGTACGCTCTCAAAAGGTGGCGACTCGTCTCCCAGTAGATCGTCCTCTTCTCGATGATGACTTGTTCGTCGATCAATTGGAGATGATTTACTCGATGGATTCGCGATCCTTTTATTGCGAATCCTTCAGCATTTTTAGTAACAATGCTCCGTGAATCGCATTGATAAGATTTTCGCCAATGATCCAGCAGTTCTGGTTACTTAATCCTTTCACCGGTGATTTGCAGGAAAGTTGCGATAATCAAATAAAAATATGACTTTTTGCTCTAGGAGGATTCGAACCTGTGCCAGTTGCTCACCCCTTTCTGGGGAGGGTGTGACGCGAGTTTAGTCCCACATCGGTTGTGCGCCAAAGTTTCTAGTGAATATATAGTAATGTTCACAGCCGGCTGATCAAGTCCCTTTCTCGCTCGTGTATGACCACTCCTTGTCCCACAGCCGGCTTGCCACCGGTGACGTGGGAGGGGAATGGTGCACACGTGCTGCTATTGGTCCTAGCTGCTCAAGCGCTTGCTCGTGGCTATTCCCCGACTGCGCTTCCGACTCGCCTGCAAGCCCGCCTGGCCAGCGGGTCCCCTCCATTTTGCTATTTTTATTTTAATTTCTTTTCCTTCATTTATCTCAAAAGTAAGACTGTAAAAATTATATAAATTCATATAAAATCACATAATTACCTAAAAATTCACGTTAATCAATTGAAAACCACTTTTCAAACTTTAACACAAATATAAATCTATTTATCATGAGTTAAGGCTAAAACTATATTATTTACTAATTATTAACTTATGATAATGAAGACTTATCAGGCAACTATCACCCGACGGAGAGGAGCTAGATGGAGATGGGGCGCATGTTAGGAAGCTTCATCCTCAAGTCCGCACAGCAAGAGGAGGCTCTTCATCGCATCCGGTACACTCTCAAGAGGTGGTGACTCGTCTCTTAGTGGATCGTCCTCTTCCCGATGATGGCTTGTTTGTCGATCAATCATAGATGATTTACTCAATGGATTCACAATCTTTTTATCGCAAATCATTCAGCAATATTAGTAACAATGCTCTATGAATCGCGTTGACAAGATTTTCGTCGACGATCTACTGATTCAAGCGGCTTAATCTTTCACTAGCGATCTATAAGAAAGTCGCAATAATTAGATAAAAATATGAGTGTTGACTCTAGGAGGATTTGAACCCATGCCGGTTGCCCACCTACATGAGAAAGATTGAAAGAAGTACTCTAATGTCCTTATCAAGTGACGTCATCTTAGTATATCTCTATTATAACTAAGGGGTATTTTAGGTATTAAAATCTTCAAAGCCTTTCAATGGAAGGTGTGACACAGATTTAGTCCCACATTGCTTGTGCGCTGAAGTTTTGGGTGAATATATAGTAATATCACATTTGCAAATAATGAGTCTCTTTCTCGCGTGTGTATGACCACTCCTGGCCACTAGTGACGTGGAAGGGGAGTGGTCCACACGTGCCCCTATCGGTCCTAGCTGCTCGAGCCCCTGCTCGCGGCTCCCCCTAACTACACTTCCAACCCACTTGCGAGCTCGGCTGACCAGCGGGTCCCCCTTTTACTATATTTTTATTTTAATTTTTTTTTCTTCATTTATCTCAATAATTGGACTATAAAAATTATATAAATTCATAGAAAATCACATAATTACCCAAAAATTCACGTTAATCAATTGAAAACAACTTTTCACAATTTAACACAAATATATGTCTATTTATCATGAGTTAAGGCTAAAACTATATTATTTACTAATTATTAACTCATGATAATGAAGACTTGTCATTGGTCATGAGTCTCTTTGAAAATATCACAAGAATAATAGAAGTCTACTCTAGAATAAGTGCTCGTGGTGGTCTACCATTTCACACTCCCTAACGATAAATATTATGCATCAGAAAAATGTGTGTCATGCTACTTATCATTTTCTCTCAATTCAAAAGGAAGATAACAATGGCCGCTTTAATGCTTCACAGATTTCTTACTTAGATATGATGCAATCGATGGTTAGCGTTCATCTAACTTAGATCCTCGCTTGATATCAGTGTCAAGTAAGTATCTTAGAATCCATGATTGATTGAATAACATGATAATTTTCTAAGAAAGATTAGAGATACCTGAATATTTGTTTTTTTTTTCTCACTCTCTTTCATAACTTATGAAATCATGATTATTACCATAAAAAAAAAATGCAATTGCTTCTTTGCCAAGTTGTGGCTATCAGCTAGTTGAAGCCCACTATGGTAGTCTTTTAGTTGTAAGGTTATAGTGATAATTATAAATTAGTAGTGGCATCTATGCATTAATATCTTATATATAGATGCTAATTAATTAGTAGAGAATGTAATTATATATATGTTACCAACTCATTATGATATTTATAATATTTTATTATTTAAATCCTAATATATATTATTTTATTTATTTTATATATATTTTGAGACTAATCTCATGATGTGACTTTGAGTTTGTATAGTAAATCACGCAAATTTAAAATTTATAAAACTAGAAAAGACTAATTTTTAGATATTTAGAAGTATTTTTGGACAAATATATTAATTATAATTCAATTAAAATTTCAAAAATAGTGGTAATTTTCCAGATCAATCATAGGGATGTAATATAATATTGGATAATTTTTCAAAACTTTCCTCAAAGAATACGAGTTTTTATGAATTTTATACTAAGAAATTAAAATAAAATATATTTAAAATTCACGAAAAAGAGAAATAGAGGTGCAGACATTAGGATGATGTCAGCACCTGACAAATGGAAATCTCATAGAAATAGAGTTCTACTCAATGATTCTCACATAAGTGATTACAAATGATTTAATTGATCAAATTAAGATCTATAAAAGTTGAAAGAATCATAGTTGAATGAAGTATAGCTTAGTAAATTTAAATCACACAAATATCACTAAATGAAGCAAAAATTAAGTTAAAAGTAGGAAAACAGAGTTCCAACATCACGGTGGCGATGCATCAGCGATGCACAAAAATCTTGAGCATTCGGGAGGATTGTCATACAATATCCATGACCTTAAAGGCTCTCCTTAGACAAGGACAACATGGGCAATCTCTAAATCTCCTTGCAAAGTCTAGAGATGAATAAAATAGGTGATCAAATTATCTATGATGGCTTTCATCTAGTAGAGTAGAAAAATGATAATTTTATGACTCTTCGGCAGCTATCATTTGATAGAGGGGAGTTGGATGGAGGTGGGGCGCATGTCGAGGAGCTTCATCTTTAAGTCCGCACAGCAAGAGGAGGCTCTTCATCACATCTGGTATGCTCTTAAGAGGTGACAACTTGTCTCCCTATGGATCATCCTCTTCTCAATGACAACTTGTTCATCGATCAATCGAAGATGATTTACTTGATGGATTCACGATCCTTTTATCGCGAATCGTTTAGTAATTTTAATAACAATACTCTACGAATCATGTTGACGAGATTTTCGCCGATGATCTAGTGATTCTGACAACTTAATCCTTCATCGACGATCTACAGGAAATTCACGATAATTAGATAAAAATACAAGTTTTGACTCTAAGAAGATTCAAACCCACACTGGTTGCCTGCCTATATGAGAGATATTAAAATAAATACTCTAATGCCCTTATTGAATGACGTCATCATGGTATATCTTTATTATAACTAAGGGATAGTTTAGGTATTAAAATCTTTGAAGCCTTTCAGGGGAAAGTGTGATGTGGGTTTAATCTCACAATGCTTGTTGATAAGTCTTCATTATCATGAGTTAATAATTAGTAAATAATATAGTTTTAGCCTTAACTCATAATAAATAAACTTATATTTGTGTTAAAGTGTGAAAAGTAGTTTTCAGTTGATTAACGTAAATTTTTGAGTAATTATGTGATTTTATACGAATTTATAAGATTTTTAGTCTGACTTTTGAGATAAATGAAGAAAAAGAAATAAAAATCAAAATATAGCAAAATGAGGGGGACTTGCCAGCCAACCGAGCCCGCAAGTGGGTTAGAAGTGCAGTTGGGGAGGAGCCGTGAGCAGGGCTCGAGTGGCTAGGACCGATAGGGGCACGTGTGCGCCACTCCCCTTCCACGTCATCGATGGTCAGCCAGCTATGGGGCAAGGAGTGGTCGCACATGCGGGAGAAAGAGACTTGCTTGTAAATATAATATTACTATATATTCGCCCGAAACTTCAGCGCACAAGCGATGTGGGATTAAACCCACATCACACCTTTCCCAGAAGGCTTTGATGATTTTAATACCTACAATACCCCATATTTATAATAGAGATATACCATGATGACATCATTTTATAAGGCCATTAGAGTACTTATGTCAATCTCTCTCATGTAGGCGGGAACTAGTGCGGGTTCGAATCCTCCCAGAATCAAAACTTATATTTTTTATTTGATTAAGCCACCAGATTCGCTGGATCATCGACGAAAATCTCGTCAATGCGATTCACAAAGCATTGTTACTAAAATTGCCCAACAATTCGCGATAAAAGGATCGCGAAACCATCGAGTAAAGCATCTCTAATTGATCGACGAATAAGCCGTCATTGGGAAGAGAATGATCTGTTGGGAGACGAGTTGTCACCTCCTAAGAGCATATCAGATGCGATGAAGAGCCTCCTCTTGCTGCGTGGACCTGAGGATGAACCTCCCTGACACGTGCCCCACCTCCATCTAGCTCCTCTCCGTCAAGTGACAGCTGCTAGAGAGCTGCAAAGTCGTCATTTTTCTACTCTGCCAGGTGACAGCCACTAGAGAAGATTTGACAACCCATTTCATTGATCTCTAGACTTCACAAAGAGATCTAGAGATTGCCCACATCGTCATTGCCCAAGGAGAGCCTTCAAGGCTGTGGACACTACACGACGATCCTCTCGAATGCTCAAGATTCCGGTGCATCGCCGACGCATCACCGCCGTGATGTCGGAACTATTTTTTCTTACTTTCAACTTATTTTCCATTTCATTTAGTGATAATTTATGTGATTTAAATTTATCAAGATATACTTCATTCAATTATGATTCTTTCAACTTTTACAAATCTTAATTTGACCAATTAAATCATCTGTAATTGCTTAGGTAAGAATCGTCAAGCGGAACTTTGTTTCTGCCCGATTCACATTCATCAGGTGCTGATGTCATCTTGACGTCTGCACCCTTATTTCCTTTTTTCGTAAATTTTAAATATATTTCCTTTTCATTTCCTAGTATAAATTTATAAAAAATAGTATTCTTTGAAGCAAATTCTGAATAATCACCAGATATTATATTACTTCTCTGTGATCGAACTAAAAAATTATCACTATTTTTGAAAGTTTTATTAACATATAATTAATATATTTGTTCAGAAATACTTCTAAATATTTGAAAATTCGTATTTTTTAGTTTTATAAATTTTAAATTTACATGATTTACTATACAACGAGTAAGTCATGTCACTTGTGCACTGACGTTTTAGGCGAATATATAGTAATATCATATTTCCAAGCAATGAGTCCCTTTCTCCCACGTGTACGACTACTCCTTGCCTCATAGCCGACTGGCCACCGATGACGTAGAAGGGGAGTGACGCACACGTGCCCCCATCAGTCTTAGTTGCTCGAGTCCCTACTCGTGGCTCCCCCTGACTACACTTCTGACCTACTTGCAGGCCCGGCTAGCCAATGAGTCCCCCACCTTTTGCTATATGTTTATTTTAATTTCTTTTTCTTCATTTATCTCAAAAATTGTGAAAAGTGTTATTATACTTCTTACAATAACATTTCTTCATACATTTGGTATCAAATTTTTTCACTTCTTTCTTAGCTTTTACAAGAACGAAACATGTACATCCGAATGGTCTAAAGGAGGTTCTTTAAGTAATGGTCTAATCATAATTCTATTCAATATATAAATAGGATTATTAATACCCTCAGGAAAGATATTTAGGGAAGTAATTTTCAGCTAACTAAGTCCTAGATATATGTGTAAAAAGCTAATTCATTCTCTAATCTGCACCAACTTGTTGGGGTGTCTTAATACTAGAAAAATATATGAAATTCACTAACCATAACAAAACTTCTATAAATTTTTTATTTTCACATTCTCCACAATGATCAACTTATAATTCTCTTAATTCTCAATTTGTTGTAATTCTTAAATTTCTTATTACACTTCTTAGATGCCTCAAGTGTATCATCTCTCTATCAAAATAAAAATACCTAAATAAATCTTGAAAAATCATATAAAGTAAAAAATCCATGCCTATTTCCCTTGTAATTGTCACTTTGTTGGTTAAACTAAATGCATGTAATAGCTTTAATGGTTGACTAGTGATGTCACATTCATCATAGTAAACAAAAATTATCAAAATTTAAATATTTATAAACTGAATTCAACATAAGAATTAAAATTAAATTTTGGTGAATTCAGGTCATTCAAAGGGATGATAGTTCAACCTCAATATGATTGTTTTTTGTTCCAAAAAATTTACTAAAATAAAAATAAAATAAAATAATCTTTGAATTACTTGAGCTCTAAATCTTAAAATTTTGATGTGTTCACATTTTCAGAATTGATAAATGACTTGAGATCCTGAAAATATTTTAGAGAAAATCACAAAGATAAAAGAAAATTAAATGATAGAAAATAAACCAAAAATCAGTAAAAACAAGAGAGGAGAAGGAAAATACAACTGCAAGTAGGGAAACCTTGCTACCAGTGAAATGAGAATACTAAGTACTATTTCAAAATAACTATACCATGATGTTATAACAAAGGTCATTTCATCAGAAATATTAAAATCGTAAGAAAAAGATGTAAAACAAATGAAATAAAATCATGAACTTGTCTATGTTTGTCATCAAAGAATAGAGTATTGTTGTGATAAGAAATAGAATAGAAACGTGATTAAAAAAGAATAAAATATGGAATAAATATTTAATCTTGTCATATGCAGGTTGATAGAATGAAATCGAGGGTCATTGAAAACCCCAAAATTAGTTGATCAAAAAATATTTAGAATCACGAATTTACTAAATTAAAATACAAAAAAAGGTAAGTACGGCGATAATCTTGAAGTCTATCCACAAGAATTGAGAATTAGGCATTACTTAGTTACTATTTAATTTGATTTATAGATTTCATTGAAATGAGCTCAAAGGAGAGTCGATGGCAAGTAAGAAGAATTTTCACTATCAGGAAAGGGGGAAAATAGAAAATCAATGATGCAGACGATGCTGGAGAGATGAATACATGCATAAAAGACTCATAATACGGAATCAAAAAGATAAATCACCCTATTTCAAACCTACAAATACTTAACATGTATACTATTTTAGGGGCCTCTATATGTCACCAAGACTAGGTGGTTTTCCTCTTCGAGTAGCTTTTCCAAGGATCTATGCTTTGACTCCACACATGAATCAATCAAAACACATCTGACGTGACTTAGTTGTTGTATATTAAATCACGCAAATATAAAATTTATAAAACTAGAAAATACGAATTTTCAGATATTTAGAAGTATTTCTAAATAAATATATCAATTATAATTCCATAAAAATTCCAAAAAATAGGGGTAATTTTCCAAGTCGATCATAGAGATGTAATATAATATCTGGTAATTATTCAGAATTTTCCTCAAAGAATACTATTTTCTATGAATTTTATACTAAGAAATGAAAAGGAAATATATTTGAAATTCACGAAAAAAAAGGAAATAAGGGTGCGGATGTCAGGATGACGTCAGCGCCCGGCAAACGCGAATCGGGTGGAAATAGAGTTCCGCCCGGTGATTCTTACGTAAGCAATTACAGACGATTTAATTAATCAAATTAAGATCTGTAAGCCGGAAGAATTGTAATAGAACAAAGTATATTTTGGTAAATTAAAATCACAAAAAGTATCACTAAATCAAGCGTAAAGTAAGTTAAAAGTAGGAAAATAGAGTTCCGACGTCGCGACGGCGATGCGTTGGCGATGCACCGGAATTCTGAGTGTTCGGGAGGATCGTCGTGCAGTGTCCACGACCTCGAAGGCTCACTAAATGGCTCGTCGAGTCGTCTCCGGCGGCTGTCACTCGGCGGAACGGAAAAACGGTGACTTTGCGGCTCTCCGGCGGCTGTCACCCGATGAAGAGGAGCTGGATGGAGGTGGGGCGCGTGTCAGGGAGCTTCATCCTTAGGTCCGCGCAGCAAGAGGAGGCTCTTCATCGCATCTGGTACGCTCTCAGGAGGTGGCGACTCGTCTCCCCATGGATCGTCCTGTTCCCAACAACGGCTTGTTCGTCGATCAATCAGAGATGATTTACTCGATGGATTCGGGATCTTTTTATCGCGAATCGTTCAGCAATTTTAGTAGCAATGCTCTGTGAATCGCGTTGACGAGATTTTCGCCGATGATCTAGTGATTCTCATTGCTTAAGCCTTCACCGGCGATCTGCAGGAAAGTCGCGATAATCAGATAAAAATATATGAATTTTGACTCAGGGAGGATTCGAACCCGCGCTAGTTGTCCGCCCCTTCTGAGGAAGGTGTGACGCGGGTTTAGTCCCACATCACTTGTGCGCCAATTTTTCGGGCGAATATATAGTAATGTTACATTTCTAAGCAAAGTTCCTTCTCTCGCGTGTACGACCACTCCTTGGCCCACAGCTGGCTGGCCACCAGTGACGTGGAAGGGGAGTGGCGCACACGAGCCCCTATTGGTCCAAGCCGCTCGAGCCCCTACTCGCGGCTACTCTCCGACTGAGCTTCCGACCCGCTTGCGGGCCCAGCTGGCCGGCGGGTCCCCCCATTTTGCAATATTTTATTTCTTTTTCTTCATTTATCTCAAAAGTAAGACTGTAAAAATCATATAAATTCGTATAAAATCACATAATTACCCAAAAAATCACATTAATCAACTGGTGAAACCTGAATTTGTTTCATGCGAACCGACAAAATGTGAAGGTATTCAAAGTTAAGTTCTTCTACCCGTAAACGGCAACTTAAATGCATAAGGATTTACATGAGACGATGGGAATACACATGTAGGGCTGTGAATAATTGAGGGTTGTTTTGTCTTTTTGGCCATGATAAAATCAGGCGAGAGTCAGTTTCTTCTCAAGTTGATCTGAACCATTGGATTTGGAAGTCTTGTCGTAGCCATAGGATCTTCTTAAATGTTGAGATCCACTGCATCCTCAGTAAGGATGCTCCATCTGTCGTTGATTGTGTGGACATTCTTTGTGGCTTATGATGCCACATGTCAATGCCTCAGCCCTTGATTTTGTCACCTCATCTCCACTAACCAGATCTCATCCATCAAAGCATATATCGGCTTCCTAAAAACTATAAAAAGACATCAAAAAGTCTTGAAATTCTCTCATATTAATATAAAATCAATTATGACTATAAAGCTCAGAGAAAATTTCCAAAAAAGTCTCTAAAATATGGTAACATGCTATATTTTACATCTTTTATGTCATAATCAACATGTTATCACATGTCACTTGGACAAAGAACTAGGCTAAAAAAAATTTCAAATCAAATTGAAATGAAAATCTGATTCACAAACACCATTCATTGCTCTGCTCATTTGTCACCCAAAAACAAACTACCAGAAAGTGAATGTGAAATCATCTAAAACGTGCTAAAAATATATATTGAAAGCTTTAATCTCGTTATTTTCGTATCACCAGACAAAGGATTTAGAAATAATGAAAATAAAACGAAATAAGGAGAGAAATTGAACTCAAATGTGACCAAGATCAGTCCACCTATCATCCAAAGAGAACTTGGCCCCAAAAGCTTGTAAATTTCTCCAATATTCCCCTTTTTATCATCTAGAAAGCTTCCTCTTTTTGTCCTCGAGCTTCATTCTGATTTTGATGCAATAATATCTCAATAATAATCATGAAATCTCTAATTATCTCTATTCATTTCACTGCCAAAAAACAAAGGATGAAAGATGATGTGTACATCAATGATGTGCCATAACCTCTTGACATGGCCCAAAAATGCTTAGATGGCCCATAAACCCTTGAACATGTCCTCTTGGTGTTGTGACCATAATTTTTTATATTTTTTTCTCATTATATTGATAAGTTCTAAATTACTGAAAATGGCTTTAAAATGTCTTCAAACATTTCTTAAAAAATCCATGATAAATCTATTTTCCAATTTTAATTTAATGCTTAATTTCCTTTCAATTTTCAAATAATCCAGAAGATTATAAACCTTGGATAATCATATTAGCACATGGATAAAAAATAAGAAATATATTTATTTCACATAAATCATATAAATTAGAAAAATAAAGATAAATTCATCACATCACTCTCAAAAAACTACTAACACTTTTTTAGCTGAAATAATTCACATTTAGTGTTAATTAACACGAAAAATAATTTTATTTTACCTTAATTATTAAATAAAAATAAGCATTATCTATTAGTTTTGGCAATATTTTTAGATTTGTGACTCTCTCTAACCTAGCCTCTAATAAATTTTCACTATGAAATATCTCATTCAAATTTAGATTAGGCATTAATTTAACTAAGTTCAAATTATTTAATTTCTTTATATTCAAATGCTTACATGTCTTAATTGTCCACAACGAATTTATTTACTATATATTATGGGCATTAAATATCAATAATTCATTTAAGTGAAAAATATAAATATTATTTCTGGAATTGAATATACAAAAAATATGACTTCTGAATATTGCATTCATTCTATGATCACATAACTAATGCTGATCAGATTATGTGTTAAAGGTTGTATAATCATAGCATATTCAAATAGAACATGATAATTAAGATGACTATTTTTATCTACAATAATTTTTCTTTCTTATTGTTCTCAAAGGTTTACTCACCTCCTCGTACAAGGTAAACCATCATCTCTTTCTGGTCATGCATTTTGCATAGCTATTATCAAGGTATCATGGTGCTTCATCCATTGAACGAGACTCTTTAATTTTATTACAACAAGGGTATCCAAAAAAGAAATCGATTCTTAATCCTAGATGTATAAAAAAATTTCTTGGGAAATCATATTTCTCTATAAAAAAAAATTCTGTCTATTTTTTTATGCTTATATTTTTTTGTGTACTTACATGTAAATGGATGTCAAAACTCTTATTTAAAGTTTTTTTCCACTGGAAAATGTTGAGTATGATTTTTTATTTTCCACTTTCTTCCATGCTTCTACTATCAAACTAGCATATCCAATCCCTTTTCAATTGATGTGTTTGTTCCTTGTTTCAATCAATGTATAAAATTTCTATTGATCCCTATTAAATAAGTTTTCATTTTACCATTTTCTTGTAGCAATGATTTCATCTTTGTCAAGTTTTCAACATGTTTCCTAACATTAAGTTTATCCATTTGTGACTTAAATTTCATATTTTTCTTAAATATTTAACTATTATGACTTCAACTTTATCTAAAACATCATCAATATCAGTAATAAATTAGTCTAATTATTCAATTGTCATATTACCCTTGGAGAATTCTTTTTCCTCAAATTCATGCATTATGAAGCAAATATTTTATTTATTTTCATGCTATATTTCGAATGAAGAATCATCTTGATCACTCTTAAGTAGTCAGCACCACCTTCTTTCTCTTAATGCTGAATTTTAGTTTGGCACAATTGACTTTCATCTAACCTAGTTTTCACAATTCAAAGCATATAGGCTCGACTTGCATTCTATCACTCCTACCAAAAAATGCATTTAACTTTTTTATCCCTTTCTTTACTTGAAATCTCTTTAATCTCTAAGTAATCATGGCAATATCTTTTAAGTCTACTTCATCATCAATATCTATGGGTTTGAGGAAAATTGGTTTCTTTGTGAATAGTTATTAAAGCTAGATTTATATGTTTTAATTAGTTTTGTTATTTGCTTTTATTTTTTTAACTTGCAGAATAAATATGAGATATATTGTTAAATTCAAAAGTCTGAAGTTAGAGTACTTAGTGTAATTTTTTTATTATTAAAATAAAAAAATAATATAAAATTTCTGTCCACTGGCAAGCGGGCCTTGCTCTACACATGTGCGTCACTCCCCTTCCACGTCTTGGTGGCCAACTGGTCATGGGGTGATAAGTCTTCATTATCATGAGTTAATAATTAGTAAATAATATAGTTTTAGCCTTAACTCGTGATAAATAGACTTATATTTGTGTTAAAGTGTGAAAAGTGGTTTTCAGTTGATTAATGTGATTTTTTGGGTAATTATGTGATTTTATACAAATTTATATGATTTTTCCAGCCTTACTTTCGAGATAAATGAAGAAAAAGAAATAAAACTAAAATATTGCAAAATGGGGGAGACCCGCCGGCTAGCCGGGCCCGCAAGCGGGTCGGAAGCTCAGTCGGGGAGTAGCCGCGAGTAGGGAATCGAGCGGCTTGGACCGATAGGGGCACGTGTGCGCCACTCCCCTTCCACGTCACCGGTGACCAGCCGGCTGTGGGGCAAGGAGTGGTCGTACACGCGAGAGAAGGGACTTTGCTTAAAAAGCTAACATTACTATATATTCGCCTGAAAAATCGGCGCACAACCGATGTGGGACTAAACCCGCGTCACACCTTCCTCAGAAGAGGCGGACAACCGGCGCGGGTTCGAATCCTCCCAGAGTCAAAATTCATATATTTTTATCTGATTATCGCGACTTTCCTGTAGATCGCCGGTGAAGGATTAAGCAACCAGAATCGCTGGATCATCGGCGAAAATCTCGTCAACGCGATTCGCGGAGCATTGCTACTAAAATTGCTGAACGATTCGCGATAAAAGGATTGCGAATCCATCGAGTAAATCATCTCCGATTGATCGACGAACAAGCCGTTGTCGGGAAGAGGACGATCCGCCGAGAGACGAGTCGCCACCTCTTGAGAGCGTACCAGATGCGATGAAGAGCCTCCTCTTGCTACGCGGACCTGAGGATGAAGCTCCTTGACACGCGCCCCACCTCCATCCAGCTCCTCTCCGTCGGGTGACAGCCGCCGGAGAGCCGCAAAGTCGCCGTTTTTCCGCTCTGCCGAGTGACAGCCGCCGGAGACAACTCATCAACCCATTTCATTGATCTCTAGACTTCGCGAGAAGATCTACAGATTGCCCACGTCGTCTTTATCCAAGGAGAGCTTTCGAGGCTATAGACACTAGACAACGATCCTCCCAAACGCTCAGGATTCCAGTGCATCGCCGACACATCGCCGTCGCGACGCCGGAACTCTGTTTTCCTGCTTTAAACTTACTTTACACTTCATTTAGTGATATTTCTTTGTGATTTTAATTTACCAAAATATACTTTGTTCTATTACGATTCTTTCGGCTTTTACAGATCTTAATTTGATTAATTAAATCGTCTGTAATCGCTTACGTAAGAATCGCCGGGCGGAACTCTGTTTCCGCCCGATTCGCGTTCGCCGGGCGCTGACGTCATCCTGACGCCCGCACCCTTATTTCCCTTTTTAGTGAATTTTAAATATATTTCATTTTTATTTCCTAGTATAAAATTCATAGAAAATCGTATTCATTGAGAAAAATTCTGAATAATTACCAGATATTATATTACATCCCTGTGATCGACCTGGAAAATTACCGCTATTTTTGGAAGTTTTATTGAATTATAATTGCTATATTTATTTAGAAATACTTCTAAATATCCAAAAATTCGTATTTTCTAGTTTTATAAATTTTATATTTGCGTGATTTAATATACAACGACTGAGTCACGTCATGGGGCAAGGAGCGCCTATATACACGTGTGCACACGAGGGTGGACCACCTTATTGCCTTCTCCCAAGATGGTCTTGGGCATTATTTTATTTCAAGAGAAGGGAATCTCTGCTGAGAGACCGTAGCTTTAATTTATATTCGGCATATGTTCCGAAATATTTTTTATGTGGGACCAAATGTTTTCATCTATTTCAGCGTAGCCATCTAGAGTGTAGTGTGATCCAGCGGTACACAAAGAGTCACGTCATCCGATTAGCCTAATCCTATGACTGGCGAATCGCCACAATACTAGATTTGTAAAGTGATTCATCGATAGTTCATGAATCTGATACCGCTCAACACACACGTGACCTTAAAAGCTGATCCAACAACTATGAAGGCACCACGGTACTAGAACTTAAGTTCCCGATCGACAATAGTTCGCAACGGATTGATCTTACGTCGCTCAGAGCGCCACGTGACCAGGCTCATCTGATCTAGCAACTCATGGAGAGCCACGATATTGGGAACTTAAGTTTTCACACATATCATCCTTAGGGATATAAAGATAATAATTAATTATTTTCTGGTAAATAGATATTATCAATTATCTTTAAAATCCCGATAGTAGTTGCGAATATGACAATCTGTTCTTCCCTCTTTTCATGCGATCGACATCTCCAGTGATCAACAAACTTCTTCCTTCCTTGCTCGACTACACTCAAGGCCTCCAGTGAGTGTTCAGCTCTTTCCTTCTCCCCCCAAATGATGGTGACAGCGTGGTCGAGCCCTCTTTAGGAGATCTCTCCGGCATGATGTGGCACGACTAGACGAAACTAAGCCACCACACTGGTGTCTCCAGTTGCCCAAGAAATAGACTAAACTTGGGCAATGATTTATTTCCTATTTTCAGCATTTACTTACTTGCTTTTGTCATTTGTTTACATTTTAGGGCATGTTCTTTCTGTTTCATGCACGTTTTCATTGAAATGAGTAGAACTAATTCAAAACTTGATGAATAATCTTTGTTCTTCTTTTGAATCCTCTAAAACTTGTCTAAGATCAAGCTAAGATTATTTCTAACTTATTTTCTATTGATTTTCATAGTCGAATCTTGACGTATTCATGTTCCCGACATTCTGCAAATAACGAGTATTTTTCTATTTTTGAATGCAAAATCATCGAGATTAAAGGCTGATTAATAAGCATTCAATGGTTAAAATAAGCTAGAGACATTCACGGCTGACCTCGTGTCATGTGTGTGAATCTTCGAGCACACATTCATCTGGGAAACTAGGTTGACCATATTTCTCTATTTCTTCATTTTTGTCTTATTTCTCTCTCTCCCTCTCTCGTGAGACCTCTCTTCTCTCTCCATCTCTCGTGAGATCTCTCCCTTTCTCTCGATTGATATTTCCTTCTCTTTCTCTCTCTCGATTGATCTCCCTCTCTCTCTCTCGTGAAACTTTTCTCTCTCTCTGTCTCACGTGAGATTTCTCTCCTTCTCTCTCTTTCTCTTCCTTTCTCGAGAGATCTCATCTCTTCTCTCTCTTGTGAGAGCTCTCTCTTCTCTCTTTCTTCTCTCTCTTTTCCTCCTTCCTTTTCTCCACTTTCCTTCCTTATTCTTTTGACCTCACCATTCTATTTTATTATTCCTGTTAAATATTAATAAAATATTAAAATCATTTTATATATAAACTAAATTAGTTTTCACGACGAATTAATCAATCTCCTTGTGTTCGACCTAAGACTCACTCCCATACTAATATTTTATTAAGTTTTAGTTATAAATATTAGATAGTGTGTATTTAAATGCAACGACAAGTGCACACCAGTAATTTACTTTATAATCTTCTAAGGTAGTTTACTTTATCAAATGCTATTTTTTTGTCTCAATGAAGGGGTCAAGGACATAAAACTTATTCATTTCAGCTGATACAAAAGTTTTTCCTTAGTTTTACTAAGGAAAAACTATTTCAAATTCATGTTTACTTTTTCCAATTCATATTCCTCAAATTCAGATCATTAATGTCACACATTTCAAAAATGTTGTCATTTTAATTCTTAGTAAATAACTCATTTAGTCTCTTGTACCTTTTTTGTCCCTCATAAATCACTTCTAATTTATCCCAAATTTCTTTTGCTGAACCATATGTCAAAATCCTATTGTTGAATCTAATCCACAAAACAACACACTCTTTACTTAGAAAAATCAATAATCTAAGATTTGAATAAGGATTTCTATCTTTATTTTCCAAAATGGGCTGTTTGATCCATTGAAAAGAGGTAGTTTCTAGAAAAAACTTCCTTCCTTATTGTTTCCTAAATATTGAAGTTGGTTCTGAAAGCAATTGCTAGATTTAAAAGTGTACATAGATCAAGAAGAGGTTGTATTGATCTTACTCTAATTTTGACATTTGGCTAAGTACTCTAAATTCTTCATCTCCTCTCTTAGGTTTTAAATTATCTGAAATATTCAACATCTGAATAACGAATACTCTTTGATTTTAAATTATAAGAAGGAAATTAGAGATTGTAGAAAGGTCATGGATGATCAAGCAGAATTAATAAAAAAACTTTGATACACAACCTTTCCCAATTTTCTGCCCTTTCTCAATATTTAAGATATAAAATTATAAATCAATACATTGCCCTTTATGGTTTTGATATCCTTTAACATAAAAGCAATATGCAAACTTTTTAGCTATTAAGATACACATCTAAAGCTTTCATTTCAAGTGTGTCTGATGAGACTAAGTTTTTATTATAAAAGAACCAAAAACACATCCCTAGATAAATTGATGACTTTGAGTTCAATTTAATCCAAGTGGTTTCAATAAAAAGTGAATATGAAGTAGATGATAAGTCTTCATTATCATGAGTTAATAATAAGTAAATAATATAGTTTTAGCCTTAACTGGTGATAAATAGACTTATATTTGTGTTAAAGCGTGAAAAGTGGTTTTCAGTTGATTAATGTGATTTTTTGGGTAATTATGTGATTTTATACGAATTTATATGATTTTTACAATCTTACTTTTGAGATAAATGAAGAAAAAGAAATAAAACTAAAATATTACAAAATGGGGGAGACCCGCCGGCCAGCCGGGCCCGCAAGCGGGTCGGAAGCTCAGTCGGGGAGTAGCCGCGAGCAAGGGCTCGAGCGGCTTGGACCGATAGGGGCACGTGTGCGCCACTCCCCTTCCACGTCACCGGTGGCTAGCCGGCTGTGGGGCAAGGAGTGGTCGTACACGCGAGAGAAGGGACTTTGCTTAAAAAGCTAACATTACTATATATTCGCCTGAAAAATCGGCGCACAACCGATGTGGGACTAAACCCGCGTCACACCTTCCTCACAGGCGGGCGACCGGCGCGGGTTCGAATCCTCCCAGAGTCAAAATTTATATCTTTTTATTTGATTATCGCGACTTTCCTGCAGATCGCTGGTGAAGGATTAAGCAACCAGAATCGCTAGATCATCGGCGAAAATCTCGTCAACGCGATTCGCGGAGCATTGCTACTAAAATTGCTGAACGATTCGCGATAAAAGGATCGCGAATCCATCGAGTAAATCATCTCCGATTGATCGACGAACAAGCCGTCGTTGGGAAGAGGACGATCCGTCGGGAGACGAGTCGCCACCTCTTGAGAGCGTACCAGATGCGATGAAGAGCCTCCTCTTGCTGCGCGGACCTGAGGATGAAGCTCCTTGACACGCGCCCCACCTCCATCCAGCTCCTCTCCGTCGGGTGGCAGCCGTCGGAGAGCCGCAAAGTCGCCGTTTTTCCGCTCCGCCGGGTGACAGCCGTCGGAGACGATTCAATGACCCACTTCATTGATCTCTAGACTTCGCGAGAAGATCTAGAGATTGCCCACGTCGTCTTTGTCCAAGGAGAGCTTTCGAGGCCGTGGACACTGCACGACGATCCTCCCAAATGCTCTGGATTCCGGTGCATCGCCGACGCATCGCCGTCGCGATGCCGGAACTCTGTTTTCCTGCTTTCAATTTACTTTACGCTTCATTTAGTGATAATTTTTGTGTTTTTAAGTTACCAAAATATACTTTGTTCAATTACGATTCTTCCGGCTTTTACAGATCTTAATTTGATTAATTAAATCGTCTATAATCGCTTACGCAAGAATCGCCGAGCGGAACTTTGTTTCCGCCCGATTCGCGTTCGTCGGGCGCTGACGTCATCTTGACGTCCACGTCCTTATTTCCTTTTTTTTTCGTGAATTTTAGATATATTTCCTTCTTATTTCCTAGTATAAAATTCATAGAAAATCGTATTCATTGAGAAAAATTCTGAATAATTACCAGATATTATATTACATCCCTGTGATCAACCTGGAAAATTACCGCTATTTTTTGAAGTTTTATTGAATTATAATTGATATATTTATTTAGAAATACTTCTAAATATCCGAAAATTCGTATTTTCTAGTTTTATAAATTTAATATTTACGTGATTTAATATATAGCGACTGACTCACGTCAGTAGACATACTGGATCATTATTTCATTAACTTGGGGATCTCAATTTTTTTTATAATTAATATTGAAAAGTATTAAAAAAATTGCAAACATCATTTAAATGCTATACATTCAATTAATTAATTTCCAATAAAGTTTACTGGAAATAAATATTTTAAATTATAGATATCTATTACACTCATTGAAATTCTCTACCAATATTTTACTCCAATGATTCATAAAAATCCAATGTGAAACTCATTTTTTACCATAATTCGCCATTTTTGTAATTATGGACATTACTAAGAGTAGAAAAGAAAAGAATGATTACAAGTGATAAATTCATCCAAATTTGAGAATTCAAACCATTAGTATCAATGATCTACTCCTATGTATTATCCATGAATTTATACTTAATTTACTTTATATTCATGTTCAAGAGAATATTCATGTGTATTTGATTTACACTAAATAATTAATGCAATTTGATCCATTTATATATCTTGTGCTCTTTTCATCATTAAAAATTGATTTGATAATTAAAGATCTAACATAATTAAATAATTCTTACTTGAAAAATGGTGTGAGACAATTGTCTTGTGCAACCATCGGAAAGGTAATTGAATGATGAACAAAATGTATTCCATAGATCGTCAAATATCAAAGAATTCAGTTTACAACAATTTTTACAAGTTTACTAAACTTATAGTTTTCCCAATGCTAAAATCTTCTATAGTTGTAAGACAATTGATCAAAATGATTTTTTTAAAAAGATTATCACATATTTGGGCTTGTAGTGATTGGAAATCATACTCATAGAGGAATTCAATAGAGTAAATTGTTATGAATTTAACAACTTTTGGTCAGCATATTTTTAAGTATATTTTCAAGCATGTGTGGTCGATTGTGCTGACTGTTTTGGCATGATAACCAATGATAAAATGAGGGATTTTTCCCAAATTAGGAAATGATAGCATCCAAAATCAAAGAGAGATCATCGAGATTTGTCCTCATCATCATGCTCTAGCACCTCCAAATAAATCATCCTCCTAGTTGAAGCATTTCTGCAACTCGTAGCATTGATCTTGAAGAGCTTCAGTATGCCCAACTTCTTCCAAACAAAGCTTGCTGATCCTACCAAAAGATAGTCATACATTTTAGCTAAATATTTCCTATTCTTGATCTTGTTCTTGAATAGAAATGTGAAGAAAATCTTGGTTTACCTATCATGTGTTATAAAGGGTGGTTAGAACCTTTAGTCTAGTGGATAGATAAATTTATGAAGTATGCTACCAGGTTTTTTAAGGTGCTAGAGATTTAGAAAGAGGATAAGAATCATAGAGTCTGATAATACTCTATTTATATTGTATAATGTAGATCATATGCATGCATTTTAGTTACATTTAGTAAGCATAATGTCTTAAAATTAATATAGTATGGAATTACTATGATTCGGTTATTTTGCATATAATTAGCATGAATTATGCTTAAAATATAATCTATGAGCTTAGCACATTATAAAGATATATTTTTCACATCTATTTTTGGTTGAAAATTTATTTTAGATATAAGAAGTATTGGGCAAAATCTGGGAATTTTCTAAGATTTATTTGGGTGTCATTTGAAATGTTTAAGAATGAGTATGATGTTTATAATAATTGTGGATTTATATCCAATTTTTACTAATGATAGGGGTGTTATACAATCCATAATACATAATTTTATTACATATGAGAATAGGAATAGTTAAGTGACTCATGTGAGTTTCATTTGAATGCCCATCGACATCATATATTACACTTTACATAATTGCAGGAGAATGATGAAGGAGAATGAAATAGTCAAAATGGTCTCCAAAGGAAAGGGAAGCTGATTGGATAAGTGGGACCCACAACTTGCCTACAACTGTCCATGATGCCATGATGAAGGGACTGAACAGAAGGGTTGGAAACCATTAGAAAAACTACCAATAAAAATACTTTGGTTTGGAATCATTTATCAACCCTCTTTCCACGAATGAAAACCTAGCAATAGTATATCCATTGGCAAATAATCTTCACTGTGTTGAACATTCTTGTTATAGACTATTTGGGAAGTCTTCAAACTTCTCCAAGAGGTGTGTAATTCCTCTTTTTCTTCACTCCAAAGAGGTATTTTTGGAGCCAATTTTCTTACCTTTTCTACCCCATGAAGTACTATGAGATTCCTTGTGTCTTTCTCCTCACCACCCAACAAAAGTACTATTGGGAGATTACTATCCATGAGTTCCAACACACCTTGGTGAGCACCATAGTGTGATGTAAAGCTTGCTCAAGCTTGTGATGGGTGACGGCCATCATAGCCGCCCACATAGTGTGGTCCTTGGATGTAAAACACTCGTGGATGCATGTGTGGTGTTTCCACAAGTAGAAGCACCACACAATTGAGCTTAAGGGCTATCTCTACCCTTCTCTCTACTTTCTCTTCATATTTGGTTACATAAATCATTCCAATTCAATCATTTAGTTTCAATGTGACGATTTAGATTTTGAGGCTTGAACTTGAAATTTTAAAATCAAAGAATGTTCAGTGAATGAATTAACTTTTTTTTTCTCTTTCAACATTACTTCTCACTGTGTTTTTATTGTTAAGATGCCTTCCTCATGATTTCTATGAGTTTGTTCTTCACTCTAATCTTCTCATCTCTTTATTCTTCCTTTTCAAAAACATCTTTCTAACAATTAATTCGAGTTTCCAACTGTTATTGTAATCAACCTAGATATTCATTAGTAAGTTCTCACTTTTTAAAATTAACTTCTGATTTATAAATCAGAAGTTAATTTATAAATCAGAAGTTAATTTATAAATCAGAAGTTAATTTATAAATCAGAAGTTAATTTATAAATCAGAAGTTAATTTATAAATCAGAAGTTAATTTTAAAGTTTAATTAAATCAACCTAGATATTCATTAGTAAGTTCTCAAATATTGAGCTTTAATTACAATGATAGTTTTTGTGCGATCAAAGTATATCTTGTAATAGGTTACTCTAGAACTTAGATTTCTAGCATGTGATATGAAATCTCAAAGTTTATGTCGTAATGGGTGTTGATCTTGTAAAATCATTTGTATTTGTGAGGATAAAAGTATTACAATTATAACTGTGATTTTAGAGTGGAAGTAGGCTAAAGGGTTTCACCCCAATGAATAGCTCAATATTTGCATATAAACAGGGCGTTTCTGCCAACTTTAGCATGTGAGTGAGTTAACAAGAGAAACTTGAGTGTGTGTGTCTGTTAATGTCCACCTTCTACCAAGGTCTAGCCTAAGATCTACATTTCTGAACAAGAAACATTAAGGAAAATTATCTTTTTTCAGGCTGTCATTAACTTAATCTCAGATCAAATGGTGCCTCAATGAAAGAAAGAAAATTCTAGCAATAGAATCTATGAGCTAAAGTTCTAGGAGTGGGGATTTGTTCTTTACTTTGTTCCTATAGTTTTTGAAAATTTAAAGTGCAGCACATATGCTTTATGAGGCCTTGATATGGTTGGTATCCAGAGCCATATGATCTAGTACATAAGCTTGCTAAAGATTGGATATTTAGTACTTGGTCAATAGAGCCATAAGATCAAGACAGGCTCATTGATACTTGGATATTCAATAGAAGTCAGCTTAACCCATCGATTTACAGTATTTCACTCCTAACTTAATGGAACATAAGGAATTTGTCCTCTGATATTAGACACTCTAAATCTTAGAAGAATTCATTTTGCCCAATGCTATCTCATAATTTCCTTAAAGAGAATATAGATCTTAGACGAATTTGTCCTAAAAATTGTCCTTGGAACCCATTTCTCCTTCATGGTCTCTCATAATTTCCTTAAAGAGGCATGTGATAAGTCTTCATTATCATGAGTTAATAATTAGTAAATAATATAGTTTTAGCCTTAACTCATGATAAATAGATTTATATTTGTGTTAAAGTGTGAAAAGTAGTTTTCAGCTGATTAATGTGATTTTTTGGGTAATTATGTGATTTTATACGAATTTATATGATTTTTATAGTCTTACTTTTGAGATAAATGAAGAAAAAGAAATAAATTATTACAAAATAGGGGGACCCGCCAGCCAGCCGGGCCCGCAAGTGGGTCGGAAGCTCAGTCAAGGAGTAGCCGCAAGCAAGGGCTCGAGCGGCTTGGACCAATAGGGGCTTGTGTGCGCCACTCCCCTTCCACGTCACCGGTGGCCAGCCGACTGTGGGGCAAGGAGTGGTCGTACATGCGAGAGAAGGAACTTTGCTTAGAAATGTAACATTACTATATATTTGCCTGAAAAATCGGCGCACAACCGATGTGGGACTAAACCCGCGTCACACCTTCCTCAGAAGGCGCGGGTTCGAATCCTCCTAGAGTCAAAATTCATATATTTTTATCTAATTATCGCGACTTTCCTACAGATCGCCAGTGAAGGATTAAGCAACGAGAATCGCTAGATCATCGGTGAAAATCTCGTCAACGCGATTCGCAGAGCATTGCTACTAAAATTACTGAATGATTTGCGATAAAAGGATCGCGAATCCATCGAGTAAATCGTCTCCGATTGATCGACGAACAAGCCATCGTCGGGAAGAGGACGATCCGTCAAGAGACGAGTCGCCACCTCCTAAGAGCATACCAGATGCGATGAAGAGCCTCCTCTTGCTGCGTGGACCTGAGGATGAAGCTCCCTAACATGCACCCCACCTCCATCCAGCTCCTCTCCATCGGGTGAGCTGCAAAGTCGCCGTTTTTCCGCTCCGCCGGGTGACAGCCGCTAGAGACAATTCGACGACCAATTTCATTAATCTCTAGACTTCGCGAGAAGATCTAGAGATTGCCCACGTCGTCCTTGTCCAAGGAGAGCCTTCGAGGCCGTAGACACTACACAATGATCCTCCCGAACACTCAGAATTCCGGTGCATCGCCGACGCATCGCTGTCGCGACATCGGAACTCTGTTTTCCTGCTTTTAACTTACTTTACGCTTCATTTAGTGATACTTTTTGTGATTTTAATTTACCAAAATATACTTTGTTCTATTACGATTCTTCCGGCTTTCACAGATCTTAATTTGATTAATTAAATTATCTGTAATCGCTTACGTAAGAATCACCAGGCGGAACTCTGTTTTCGCCCGATTCACGTTTGTCGGGCGCTGACGTCATCTTGACGTCTGCACCCTTATTTCCTTTTTTTTTCGTGAATTTAAAATATATTTCCTTTTCATTTCTTAGTATAAAATTCATAGAAAATGTTATTCTTAGAGGAAAATTCTGAATAATTATCAGATATTACATAACATCCCTGTGATCGACCTGGAAAATTACCACTATTTTTTGGAATTTTAATGGAATTATAATTGATATATTTATTCATAAATACTTCTAAATATCTGAAAATTCGTATTTTCTAGTTTTATAAATTTTATATTTGCGTGATTTAATATAAAACGACTAAGTCACGTCAGCATGGCAATTCATTTTGAAATAGTTATTGAATTTTATAGAATATCCTAAAGTTTCATTTTTGTGAGCTAAAATATATATGTACGTAAGTTTAGAAAAATCATCAATGATTACAAAAAAAAAACTTTCTCAAAAGACTATATATCAAAGAATAATCGAATAAATCAACCTGCAACAAGTCTATAGGTTTTGTTGTTTAAATGTGATCTTTATGATTAAAGTAGTTTTGAGTCTTGTCTTTTATGTATCTTTCAAAAATATAATTACCATCATTTTCTATTTTGAGAGGGCTACTAAATGGATTTAGTATAGGTAGTTTCTAAATTATTAGAGTGCTAACATGTCAAAGTCTTCTATGCCATATGTCTAACTCAAGAGCCACTGGACACTTGAGCCCAACTATTAGAATGGTTTCGTAAGTGTTTGCAAAAAGTTTTTTCATAAATCCTTTTAAAAGTGATAATACAAAAAGGCTAAACCTGATCACTCATTTATCAATGTTTACAATTTTTTCAAGCAGATTTACATCAAACTTATTATGGTATAAAACTTTCCTCACTTAAAATGAAGAGCTAAGCTTCCATAACTTGAGTGATCATGATTTGGCAACTGGATACTTGAGTTTAACTATTAAAATGATTTTGGTAACTATTTGTGACCTTTATTGCGGTAGCTCTTTGTTTTTAAAATGAAAAACCGATAATATAAGTAAGGCAATGCAAGATCATTGATTTCTAAAGTTGTTCAACTATTTCTAGAGCATTTACAATAAATTTAGTATTTTACACAAGTTTCGTCATTGATACACTGTTTTTTAGCCACAATCACTTCAGTAACCATAATTTAGCCACTGGGCACTTGAGTCTAACTATTAGAATGGTTTTACATACCATTTGTGACCAATTTGCAACTGTTCCTTGTCCTCAGAAGTGGATAAATTATAGCACAAAGGTACATCTCACCCTTAATCTCTATGTTTTTACATCTTTTTCATGAGCATTTAAAATGAACTCATAATTGTACAAATGGTCTCAAATAGTCGCCCCATTCAGTCTCCGGTCTGGTTTAAAGTCGGACCTTCCGTCAGAGAGTCCACCTGTGTTGGATGCCTGAGCCGGCCTACTGATGAATGAAAGGGAAGGTGAAGATACGTGTCTCTTCCCTTCACCAGATCTCCAGTCGCTCCCCGAGTCCATTTGACGCCCAAGGAGGCGGCTCCATCGTTTTCAACGCTTTCATGACGGTCCCACATTTTAAATATAATGCCGAAGAGGTAGAAAGACATCCACACATGAAGAGGATGGGTAGAGGGCATCACACCCTGGCCCCGCCGTCCCCACTGCAGCCGTCTCCGGCGGTGCGCCGGCGAGCCTTCGGGGGCGGCGGTCCTTCTACGACGTCCAGTGCCGACATGTCAATTTCTCTTTCACCTAACTACTCGTCGTAGTCTACTACGGCTGGACAAACATGGGGGGAGATGGCGGGGGAAGGGTAGATGGGCACGAACACCGCCTAGCCGGGCAACATGTGCATCCCACCGATGAAGAGGGACCCCGCACGGTCCGAGTCTCGCTCGACGCCGCTGGAACCACGGTTGTACAAACGACGCAAGAGGCGGCGCCGACACGGCGGTTGGACGGGAAAGTTTCTCTGACCTGGGCAGTCGTCGGAGTCTCGTGATGGTCTTGCTGATGTTCTTCTGCCCCGGAGACGGCGGACAGACTCTCCCAGCTCTCTGCCCTAGCTCGGACGACATTCTGTACTTCTCCGCCCGACTTGCAACGAGACTCGGATCGTCGCCGGCTCGGATCAGGTATTGGAGAGATTACTGGGAATTGGTGTAAAATAATACAGTCGAATAACCATTATGAGACCTTGGTCTGTAGCTGGTGATCAGTTGATCTAGATTTCTTCTCTACTATATGGCAGCGGTTTCTGTTGGCCGTAATAACTCTCTCTCTCTCTCTCTCTCTCTTACTTTCTCTCTCCGTCTCTCTCTTTCTCTCTCCATCCCTTGACGAGAAGAAAAGGGCCACGCAGCCTCAGGGGATTAATTAATCCAAATGAAGTCCTTTAAGCGCTGCCGCGGAGGAGCGGCATGTTGGTTCGTGCGTCCAGACTCTACCATTCGGCGGGCGTGAGAATTACCCATGTGCCGCACAGGGAAAGAGAGAGAAAGATAGGCCTCACCCTTGCGCCGTTCTATGGGGAAAGGACGGCAAGGACTTACCCAGAACACCTTGGCAAGTTAAGCACTGACATTATCAGCCCCGCTGGAGGGTGGAGCCCCACCCTTAAGCTCCGCCCCATTGCCCACGTCGGGCCCGTGGGCAACTTTGGTGTTTCACCGCGCTTATTATTGCGAAATTTGACGACTTGATTACATGTGGTGAGGTTGAGGTTGAGGTTGAAGGGGGAGCGGGGGGGGGAGGGAGGGGCGGTGGGGGCAAGCAATGGGTGGCCTTCGGGCCCAAATATGGCCACGTGACCCAATTGTGCCCCCAGCCTGTCATGGTCCCCCAAGGCCGTGCCCCACGGGCCCTTCATTAGGGAGACGATGGAATGAGGAGTAATGAGGTGGGGACAGTGATTTCACCGCGGCGGCCCCTCACCGGCGCCGGCGGCTCATCTCTTCTCGCGGCAGTAGTTTTCTCTCTCATCTCTCATCCACAATGCCGCACATGGCGGTGGTCCCCAGGAAGCCCTCTAACTGACTCCCTCTCTCTCTCTCTCTCTCTCGGTGTCATCGACGGCGACGAACCAGAATCCCTCAGTACATCACGGTGACTGCGACGGTGGGCGTCGGGAAGAAAGAGAGATTGCATCACGCCCCTACATCAGGCGGGGTGGGTGGGCCCGCTTAACAACCTCCGTTAATGACTGACGGCCCGTTAATAAGCGCGTAAGCTTCCAAACGTTTTCCAGATTTGGGAATCGCGGCGCCGCCTTAAACAGCCAACCATGCCCTCATGGGATCGGTCGCCCGATCTACCGTGCGCGCTGACGTGTGAATCCGACAAGTTCACGTCGCTAGGTGGGAGGGGCCGTAGTAAGCTGGTCGTCTCCTCCGTGGGATCGACCGGCGCGTCCGGTCCCTCTCGCCCGGTGGGGCCCGATACAGCTGTTCCGATGTGTCGCCGCCCACTTTCTTTATTACCGGTATTATTTTATTACCAATTAATCGGGCGTCGTTATTTTATCCACAGTTTCCGAGTCTGTAAAGGTGGGTTTCGAGATCCTCCGTTCTGGCTGACGCCTAGTTTTACCACCGCCGCCGTTATTTTAACTGCCAACCCGCAAGCTTCGGGGAGGGCGGCGGCCCTTCCTGCTCAGCGGGCCCGGCCGGAGAGGTTAAAGAGATTTTGTTACATGATCGGCGGATATATTCCGATCTCCCACGGCAACCCAGGTGAAGCCATGTGAGGCTGTGCTGTGCGCTGCACGGCACTGTTAGGGAGAAGCTCTCTCTCTCCTCCCCCCCCCCCATCCCCCCAAAGGCATAACTGTGCATTCATACCTCTTTTTCACTTCGGCATTTTTCTAGTGTCATAACTCATACTCTCTCTCTCTCTCTCTCTCTCTCTCTCTCTCTCTATGTCGAGGTGGAGGTCTTAGAACCCAACTCTTATTAGGCAACCAAGCAAAGTAAGCGCCCGACAACGCAGCATCTCGTTTTCTTCACCCTCCCCATTACTAGCACTCCCACCTCATCACCATCACTCATATTCTGTACTCTCTCTCTCTCTCTCTCTCTTCCCTTCCAGCTCCCGCCGTCTTCGTATCCTTTCTTCCTCCTTCCCTCCATCCTCTTCTTCTTTCCTTACATTTAATTATATATGTGCGCCGGTGCGTGTATTTGCATGATTTTGATTCAGTATGTCAGCGCTGAATCATGCATCCTTTTAATCCCTGCGAATTCCCATCTTATTTCCTCTTCCTTCTTCTCCCAACTTCACCATTCTCCTTCCCGCTGTCCCTCTCCACATCCCGTCTCCTCGCCCCTTCGGGGGGTCATTTCGAGACCCTTTTCATCTTAAATTCCCTTCCTGGGCTCGAATTGCACCAATACTCGACAACCTCCTTCTCCCTCTCCGTCCTTCTCCTTACCGATCGGGGAGGGAGGAAGAGGAATACGAGATTTGGCGCCGCTGCAGCCGTCACCACCCTTGCCGACTAGAAACATACACAATATAGCCTGGGAGATAAAGGTGCAGTGACCGCAGTAGAAAGGAAGAGAGGAACGGGGACGAGGAGTTCGCAGTTATGCAGGACGGAGGGTCCCAGTATGGGGTTCCCCTGGAAATGAGCCCCTTCGTGGCCGCCGGAACGGGAAGCAGAGCTCACGTGCTTGGAATTCCGCAGCAGCCGCACCAACAGCAGAAGGCGGAGGCCGGTCAGCAGCAGCCGCCTCTGCCGCCGTCGCCGATGCTGGCTGAGGCGCCCTCCCCCATCACCAGCCGACAGCCGCTTCGCACGGGCAATTTCGACGAGCTTGCTCCGGTGGCGCCGGAGGGTTTCTCCGATGAGGGGACGATGGCCGCTGTGGGGGAGGAGACGGAGAGGGGAGGTGTTCCAGGGAACCGATGGCCACAGGAGGAGACGCTGGCGCTTCTCAGGATCCGCTCCGAGATGGATGGTGCCTTCCGGGATGCCACGCTCAAAGGCCCTCTCTGGGAGGAGGTCTCCAGGTAAAAAACCACTCTATGAATGGCCTCCGGCTACCCTAATTCAGACTCAGATGGCAATTCGGTGGCGGATTCCAGTCGTGCCCGTCCTCTTCTGCTTTCCTTCTTCTCTTCCTTTCTACCCTCTGAGAATGCTCCCACACTCTCTCTTCCTTCTTCGCTCATTCTGAGATCACCCACTTCTGTAAGTCTTTGCGATAAGCGGCCTGTTGTGCTGTGGGGGCTTACAGAGGAAGAAAGGAAATGTACCTTCTGTGTGGGAGTGAGCTGCCTGTGTTCAGACAAGGATCTTCCTGGATTTCAGCCCAAAAAGGAGACGGCGAAGAGAGGGAATAGTGGACGAAAGAAGGAAAGAACAATCGCAAGGAAAAGAGTACGGATGAGATGAGATTGTGGCGCAGATGAGTGCAGAAAGATTAGCGTCTATTTCCAGAGACTATGGAGGGTGATTGTGCTTCTGTATATGCCATTGTGGCTGCTTCCCATTGTCGTGGTTTTCTGGTGACCTCTCTCTCGGGAAGATAGACCTCCGCCGCCGTCGATACAGCCAGATCTCTCTCTCTCTCTCCCTCTCTCTCTCTCTCTCTCCCTCCTTCTCTCTCTCTCTCTCTCTCTCTCCCTCTCTCTCTCTCCCTCCCTCTCTCTCTCTCTCTCTCTCTCTCCTCTCTCTCTCTCTCTCTCTCTCTCCCTCTCTCTCTCTCTCTCTCTCTCTCTCTCTCTCTCTCTCTCCTCTCTCTCTCTCTCCCCCTCTCTCTCTCTCTCTCTCTCTCTCTCTCTCTCTCTCTCTCTCTCTCTCTCTCTCTCTCTCCCTCTCTCTCTCTCCCTCCTCTCTCTCTCTCTCTCTCTCTCTTTCTCTCTCTCTCTCTCGCTCTCTGTGTCTGACAAAAATATCTATGGACCTATTTCCAGTTTAGCTCTATCCTTCTCCAACATCTTTTGTCCTTTATTTTTCAATCCTAGAGAATTTCTGCTAACTACAATTAGGTGGGAATCGCCGAGATCCTTTGGATGACTCCAGGCCAAACGAATTCTCCAATATTTTCCATTCCCCCATTCGGCAACCCATGTAGCAATTCATTTGAAGAAAAATGAAGAACCGAATAGCCGCATCTTCCCAGAAACTCATGCATTCTCCGAATCCGGATAATTTGCAACTATTGTCCCTCATTCCCTCTGATTTCTGCGTCATCCGCCCTCCCCCACGGCTGTTTTCGTAGGAACAGTATTAATTATCGGCACAGATTCATCAACGATCTCTCGTTCGATGACAGTTGAAGACAGCAAGTCATGAAAGTTCTCTTGTTTCTGTGTAGGAAATTGACCCAACTGGGATACAAGAGGAGCGCCAAGAAGTGCAAGGAGAAATTCGAGAACGTCCAGAAGTATTACAAGCGCACAAAGGACGGCCGCGCTGGCCGCCAGGATGGCAAGAGCTACCGCTTCTTCAGGCAGTTGGAAGCCCTCTACGGCAGCACGAAAACACCCGCCGTCACTGCGGGAGGCGGTGCCCCTGACCCTCTGCCACCGTCGGTTGACATGGGCAACTCCTCAGCTAGGCTGCAGCCGTCTCCCTTGAACGCCATTCCTCCGCACGTCGGAGGGTCACCTTACCTGATCCCGGACCGCGTGGGGGCCCTTGCCGACTTCTCCTCGGATAACTCCTCGGCTTCTGACTCGGACGGACAAGACACGGAGGAGGGTCTCCCCGGGGAACAGGCGAAACGCAAGCGCAAGGGCGGCGGCGGTGGTAGCAGGGGAAAGAGGAAGATGATGGTTTTCTTCGAGGGCTTGACGAGGCAGGTGATGGAGAGGCAAGAGGCGTTGCAGGAGAAGTTCCTGGAGATGATCGAGAAGCGCGAGCAAGACAGGATGATCAGAGAGGAGGCATGGCGGCGGCAGGAGATGGCGCGTCTAACCCGCGAGCACGAGGCGATGACTCAGGAGCGCACCATGTCTGCAACTAGGGATGCCACCATATTGGCCTTCCTGCAAAAGATGACGGGACACACCATACCTTTGCCGCCGGCCATTTCCACGGCCGTTGCTCCGCCTGCTGCGCCACAGCAACAAGCGGTGAATATGGTGGCAACAGTGCCAACCTCGTCATCAGCTAAGAGGCCGCACCCTCCACTACAGACCGTCCATCAACAGGCATCCGAATTATTAGGCCGTGCACAAGCTCCGCCCTTGGATGTGGCGCTACAGCAGGAGACACAAGAGGTGATAGACCCGGCGTCGTCAAGGTGGCCCAAGTCGGAGGTGCACGCGCTCATAAGTCTGCGGAGTGGAATGGAAACTAGGTACCAGGAAGCGGGGCCCAAGGCTCCTCTGTGGGAGGAGATCGCTGCGGGAATGCGGCGGATGGGGTACAACAGGAGCGCCAAGCGGTGCAAGGAGAAGTGGGAGAATATCAACAAATACTTCAAGAAGGTAAAGGACAGCAAGAAGAAGCGTCCCGAGGATGCTAAGACTTGCCCGTACTTCCACCACCTGGACGCCCTCTACCGCAAGAAGAACGTCGGAGCCGGCAGCAGCTCGAGCGATCTTCACAGAGCTGAGATAGAGCAGCACGAGGTGTCTTTCCCCACTTCTCAGCCAGTCCCTCAGCGATCCCACATGGAATCGGATCTCAAGAGGAACAATGGTAGAGAAGCTGAGGGAAACGGATCTTCATCCCTCAGTGGTAGCGGCCGTTCTGGCTTTGTTGACGAAGGGACCAGCGCCGACGAACCGGCGAAGAAGGTATTTTGTGCTCTAAAACACAATTTTTTCCGTCATTTGAACTGCAATTCTTTTCCTCCGGTTGACCCGCTTCGGGGAACGGTTGATCTAATTGATTACTGTGCCCACATATGAAGCCAGAAGACATTATGAAGAACCTGATGGACCAGCAGGCGCAGAGAGAACCGGAGGAGGATTCCGACAAGCTGGAAGAGACCGACAGCGATGGGGTGGAGCAGGCGGACGATGACGATGATGAGGACGACGAGAAGGGCAAGATGGCTTACAAGATCCAGTACCAGCAGAGGCCCGTTGTCAACGGCACCTCCAGCGGTGGTGAGAACCAATCAGCGGCTGCCGCTGCAGCAGCAGCCGCCGCGGCCGGCTCCTTCATGGCAATGGTTCAGTAAGGGTAGTCTCTTCTGCCTCCCCTCTTCGCTGGTCTATCCTGAGCATCCTCTTCCTGGCAAGCGTGCCGTAATTTCAGAAGAAAGAGACCTTGTAGTTGGTGCCTCAGTCCATAGATCCAACTAAACATCCCTCAGTTCCGTACACATATTTGTTCATCATTACCATCCTTCTCCGCTTCTAGATATTCTTCTTTCCCATCATTCATATTTTTCTTCCTTTTCCTCATCTATATCCTTGTTCTTCGTCTTGTTCATCTTGTTCACCACTTATAGAAGTCCTTTGAGATCGTAACTTCACTCAATATAGAAGTCACCGCATCCCCCTTCTCAATCCATAGATATTTTTTCCATTTTTCGTAAAAAATAATGACCCATGGATTGGGAAAGGAGGACGTACATTCCTTGATCCTCGGCAAGATGACAGAAGAGAACTGCCAAAGTAACAGCAACATCAACGGTGGATGAGGAGCTGACGGACGGATAAAGGGCTTATAATCTGTCACAATGAGGATTTAAGGAGATCTGATTGCAAGGAAGATGATCTCACCTTTCGTCACATTAACTCATCGGTATATATATAAAGAGTGAGAGAGAGGGGGCGGGGGGGGAGAGGGAGAGAGAGAGTTCTCTTCCTGCTTCAATGTTTTCTAACATTGAGATGACATGTTCCTATGGTTTCCCTGGCTTTTCTTCATTTTCTTTCTCTTTACATGTACAAGGTCTGGAAGCCTGTGTTGTTCGCTTGTACTCTGTTAGGCTGTATATGATATCTATCTATTCGGTCTGGTGTTCAACCCCCTTACACTGTTTCTTCTCCATTCTGGAAAGACTTACGTGATTGGGTTGGGTAGGTTTCTCGCGATTAGTGGATTACTGTTTACTGTATTATTCTACAGTCAGAGGATTGCGGCCACAGTACAAACATGAATCCTATTCCTCTCTCTCTCTCGCTGGGCTTCCTTTCTGCGGATCCAGAATATTTTAAACGGCGAAAGAAAAGCCAAGGAACGAAAAAGCTAAAATGAGAAGGGAGGGGACGAACCCTGATGGGGTTCTGCAGAGAAACCATAGCGGTGGCAGAAGCCGACGCCTCCTGATTTCGCTTTTTGTCGCCTCGATGCCGCCGATTTCCTACTTTCTTATTACGAAAACACCCTTGGATTGCATTCGTCCCGAGTTTTCACCCATCGATAGACCTACCCCCGACCTCTGCAACTGATGGGTTCGGAATAACATGCAGATCACAGCCGCCGAGACTAACAGCCCACGTTACTCTGGCCACTCCTACACAGAGAGAGAGGCAGGGAGGGAAGGGGAGAGAGGAGAAAGAGGAGCCTGCCACATTAAATTAGAAATGTACGGGGGCACACAACGCTAGCCAAGATTCTGTCCGGTGGGAGCAACTGGCCCCTGTTGCTAGTCCTCTGGCTTAGACGGCACCTTTCATAATCAGCAAGGATGGGGGGACTCGTTAGGGGCCACGCTTCATGGAGCTGATGGCCTGATGTCTTTCCGACTTGGGACCAGGAGAGAGGGAGAAGGTGGTTCTGGATTGACACTGTAAATCTTTTGGGGAGAGAGTGAAAACAGATAAGCGGACAGAGTAAGAAACAGCCTTGCGCCATGTGGTCGCCCAGCTTCACTTCACAGGCGGTGCGGTGTAAGGATCAGGTGACAGAGTGAGGGATGCAGCTATTTAGGACGGACTTAGAACGTGCATGTATATTCACGTACCGGCTGATATGCAGGAGGTTTAGCATAGAAGGTACTCGGTAGTTCACACGTGCGACAGGAGCCACAGCGTAACACGAGAAGAGGGAGAGAGAGAGAGAAATTAAGAGGTAGGTAGAGAGAGACGGACAGAGTAACAGACCGGAGTTTGTAGAGGATATCTTAAAGACTCGTTCGGTAGTTCTGTGTGCAGATAGCCGACGGGAGGAATGGGCCCCGAACGGGTCGCCCATCCCCTCCGTCATCGACTTCGTGAACCATCGATCATCCGATGCGGATTCCTCGTCCACGATCGACACATCGTCACACGGCTCTGCGGTTGGGACCCCGCTGAGAGTTCGTTAAGAAAACACTAAGGCTGGCAGGTCACTGTCAGACCCTGCCATTTTTAATATTACAACAAGTTAAAAGAATATTTATTTATTGGACAATTATGTAGATTGGTAGCTTATTAGGTGCATTTATGCGGGTAGTTGTTACCTGCTGATGAATTAATTATCCCCTACAATGCGTGTTTGAACTTATCAATAAAAGTTCCGACATGACGGGGGATCCTCTGGCCACCTTGCGCAGAGAACAGCTCCGATCCATTTCAGCACTCTCTCACGTCAGTCTGACATACCTGCTATGCCCAGATCGATTAAATTGCGATCTATATGTATCCTTTATCAAGTAATTAAAAGGCCCGTCAGGATGGAAGCCCTTGTCTACTCAGGTATCCTATTTTCAGTGCTTTCATAGGAATCTTTTCGGCTTCCATACAGAATAGCCCTTATTCAGTTCCTACACTAAGTTTGAAAGTCATCTCTAAGCATTCATTCATTTGAAAGCATTTTATATTAGTTTCCTGGACGTTTAACATAGGTATATGAATGAAGCAAGTTTTAAGATGATGGAAATTTCAAAAAGCCTAACATACTAGATAATCCCTAACCTATTTTAGAAGTAAATGAGCCATGCCTTTTTAATATACAACCTAGTTACAAATAATTTAACGCCATCTATAAAAGAGTGAGATTCATAGAGGAACTGTAGCTACTTCATTATTTGACTTTAGTTTTATTTTACAAAACATGAAATGCTTGAAGTAGTGGGAAAATGTCAAGGAATGTGTTATTCGAGGCTACTCATAATCCTCTAAGAGTTTTAGGGTGTTTTGTAGGCTACTTTGGACTTCAAACTCGTTCACTTAGTAGCAAGTGTCTAAATAATGTCATCTTTGTTGTTTTCTTGGTCTTGGAATCTATTTAGTCATATTTGATGCTATGCAGAAGATTTGTAAATTTTAGATTGGACATTAATGAAAGATAATTTGCGAAAACTACGAATTATAATTTCCATATATCCCCGAAACAGATACATGGAATCTAGTTCAATTGTTGAGAAATAAAAGTAAATTCAATGTATACCCCTAGGTTACATAAATTGCATCTGGGCTTCAGTCTATTCGTACAAATGAAATGGCCTCAACACTAGTGGAACTTAAAGTTATTAAAGTTCCATTTTAGTCCATATTAACAATCTCACAATGGATTTAGAGAAATTGCTACAGGAAACTAGAAATATTTTAATCATTTGGAGAAGAAATTTAAATAGCTATCTCCCATACCATTATGATTAGAGGTAGAATTTTTTTACAATTTCATAGACCACCTCAAATGATACACATTCATAAACATACAATATCTTGCATATGAATTATTTCCCATGAGCCCTCTTCCCTATAAACTTTACAATGTGCTGTCCCCTAATTAAAATTATATTAGTTGAAGTACACTATGAACTTTGATAAAACCTTATAATGAAATTTTTTGAGACGAAGATATGAGTAAGATAACTGATAAGTCTTCATTATCATGAGTTAATAATTAGTAAATAATATAGTTTTAGTCTTAACTCATGATAAATAGACTTATATTTCTGTTAAAGTGTGAAAAGTGATTTTCAGTTGATTAACGTGAATTTTTTGGTAATTATGTGATTTTATACGATTTTTACAGTCTTACTTTTGAGCTAAATAAAGAACAAGAAATAAAAATAAAAATATTGCAAAATGGGGGACCCGTTGGCCAGCTGGGCCCGCAAGCAAGTCGGAAGCTCAATCAGGGAGTAGCCGCGAGCAAGGGCTTGAGCAGCTTGGACCGATGGGGGCACGTGTGCGCCACTCCCCTTCCACGTCACTAGTGGCCAGCCGGCTGTGGGGCAAGGAGTGGTCGTACACGCGAGAGAAGGAACTTTGCTTAGAAAGCTAACATTACTATATATTCGCCCGAAAAATCGGCGCACAACCGATGTGGGACTAAACCTGCGTCACACCTTCCTCAGAAGGGCCGGACAACCAGCACGGGTTTGAATCCTCCCAGAGTCAAAATTCATATATTTTTATCTGATTATTGCGACTTTCCTGCAGATCGCTAGTGAAGGATTAAGCAACGAGAATCGTTGGATCATCGGCAAAAATCTCATCAACGTGATTTCCAAAGCATTGCTACTAAAATTGCTGAATGATTCGCGATAAAAGGATCGCGAATCCATCGAGTAAATCATCTCTGATTGATCGACGAACAAGCCGTCGTCGGGAAGAGGACGATCCGTCGGGAGACGAGTCGTCACCTCCTGAGAGCGTACCAGATGCAATGAAGAGCCTCCTCTTGCTGCGTGGACCTGAGGATGAAGCTCCCTAACATGCGCCCCACCTCCATCCAGCTCCTCTCCATCGGGTGACAGCCGCCAGAGAGCTGCAAAGTCGCCGTTTTTCCGCTCCGCCGGGTGACAGCCGCCAGAGACAATTCGACGACCAATTTCATTAATCTCTAGACTTCGCGAGAAGATCTAGAGATTGCCCACGTCGTCCTTGTCCAAGGAGAGCCTTCGAGGCCGTAGACACTACACGATGATTGATAAGTCTTCATTATCATGAGTTAATAATTAGTAAATAATATAGTTTTAGCCTTAACTCATGATAAATAGACTTATATTTGTGTTAAAGTGTGAAAAGTGGTTTTCAGTTGATTAACGTGAATTTTTGGGTAATTATGTGATTTTATACGATTTTTACAGTCTTACTTTTGAGATAAATGAAGAACAAGAAATAAAAATAAAAATATTGCAAAATGGGGGGACCCGCCGGCCAGCCGGGCCCGCAAGCGGGTCGGAAGCGCAGTCGGGAGTAGCCGCGAGCAGGGACTCGAGCGGCTTAGCTTGGACCAATAGGGGCACATGTGCACCACTCCCCTTCCACGTCACTGGTGGCCAGCCGGCTGTGGGGCAAGGAGTGGTCGTACACGCGAGAGAAGTGACTTTGCTTCCGAAGCTAACATTACTATATATTCGCCTGAAAAATCGGCGCACAACCGATGTGGGACTAAACCCGCGTCACACCTTCCTCACAGGCGGGCGACCGGCGCGGGTTCGAATCCTCCCAGAGTCAAAATTTATATCTTTTTATTTGATTATCGCGACTTTCTTGCAGATCGCCGGTGAAGGATTAAGCAACCAGAATCACTGGATCATCGGCGAAAATCCTGTCAACGCGATTCACGGAGCATTGCTACTAAAATTGCTGAACGATTCGCGATAAAAGGATCGCGAATCCATCGAGTAAATGATCTCCGATTGATCGACGAATAAGCCGTCGTCGGGAAGAGGACGATCTGCCGGGAGACGAGTCGCCACCTCCTGAGAGCGTACCAGATGCGATGAAGAGCCTCCTCTTGCTGTGCGGACCTGAGGATGAAGCTCCTTGACACGCGCCCCACCTCCATCCAGCTCCTCTTCGTTGGCTGACAGCCACCGGAGAGCCGCAAAGTCGCCGTTTTTCCGCTCCGCCGGGTGACAGCCGCCGGAGACGACTCAGTGACCTATTTCATTGATCTCTAGACTTCGCGAGAAGATCTAGAGATTGCCCACGTCGTCTTTGTCCAAGGAGAGCCTTCGAGGCCGTGGACACTGCACAACGATCCTCCCGAACGCTCAGGATTCTGGTGCATCGCCGACGCATCGCCGTCGCGACGCCGGAACTTTATTTTCCTACTTTCAACTTACTTTACGCTTCATTTAGTGATAGTTTTTGTGATTTTAATTTACCAAAATATACTTTGTTCTATTACGATTCTTCCGGCTTTTATAGATCTTAATTTGATTAATTAAATCGTCTGTAATCGCTTACGTAAGAATCACCGGGCGGAACTCTATTTCCACCCGATTCGCGTTCGCCGGATGCTGACGTCATCCTGACGCCCGCACCCTTATTTCCCTTTTTCGTGAATTTTAAATATATTTCCTTTTTATTTTCTAGTATAAAATTCATAGAAAATTGTATTCATTGAGAACAATTCTGAATAATTACCAGATATTATATTACATCCCTGGATCGACCTGGAAAATTACCGCTATTTTTGGATTTTTATTGAATTATAATTGATATATTTATTCAGAAATACTCCTAAATATCTGAAAATTCGTATTTTCTAGTTTTATAAATTTTATATTTGCGTGATTTAATATACAACGACTGAGTCACGTCAAATTTTGGCGCCGTTGCCGGGGATGTATTGCATAATATTTAGTATTTTTCTATTTTTCTCTTAGAGTACACAAAAAAAATTTAACTCTTGTTTTATTTTCTTTTTGCCGATTTTTTTTTAGGGAACGAAAAGAAGCAAGGCAAGGACTGGAGCATCCTGAAGGAGGGTAACAATTACTAAATTTTTCCCTCGAATTTATTGATTTTATGCATGGTAGAAGATCCTTGCATCCAAGGCTAGAAAATCCTTTCATTATTTCATTCAAAACTAAAAATCCGAAAGAAAAATTAATTTTGATAGATCTTGAAGAAAGTACAAGTCAAACTGAGAAAAATCTTATGGCCATGAAAAATTATTATATCCCTGATTCATTTCAAAGAGCATCCAATATTAGAGTCCCATTAGCACCCAATGTTAAATTCGAAATAAATCCAGGAATTTTTCAAATGCTCCCTAATTTTCATGGATTGCCTTTAGAAGAACCTCATCAGCACTTAGAAAAATTTCATATAGTCTGTGATTTAGTTAATCTCCCTCAAGTTACACCGGAAATTATTAAGATGAAATTGTTCCCTCATACACTTAGGGACAAAGCTAGCCATTGGCTATCCACATTAGATAGAGAATTAACTAGCTGGAAAGACATAGAATAGGCATTTCTTCGAAAATTTTATCTCTTAGGAAAAACTCAAAATATGAGAAAACATATATAGAATTTTTCTCAAAGACCAGGAGAAACTTTACATGAGACATGGGAAACATTCAAAGATTTACTTAGAAAATGTCCTCAGCATGTTATACCCAAGTGGCAGCTCAATAGAATTTTTTATGATGGATTATTAGAACAACATAGAAATATGGTTGATTCTATATGTGGAGGAGCTTTTATGGAGAAAACCCCTGATGAGATTTACAATCTTTATGAGAATTTAAGTGAAAATTCTAGAGATCAAGCCTCTTTTGAATTATATGACAGGGATAAGAAGAGAGGAATTCATGAATTGCATCATGATAATGAATCTAAATTTAGAAATGAGGTTAATAAGATTAATCAAAGATTAGAAAAACTTGATTTTCTTATTGACAATATTAGAAAGCCTCTTAACCCTCAATTTAATTCAAATAGTACATATCCTATGTATGGTGAAAATGATCATTTCGAATTTCAATATCATCCTAGGCAAGAACAAGTGCAGTACCCCACGATTTTAGTAAAAATAGGGAATATTTTTCTAATTCTTATAATCCTAATTGGGGGAATAATTTTTCGTGGAGAAACCCAAATAATATTCAAAATCCAGAAGCACTTAGATCCAATTCAAACTCTGAATTTCGTCCAAAATAAGAAAACAGATTTCAAAAAAATCAGCCCTCTCAAACCCAACATGATACTATAGAAATGATGCAGCAAATGAGCCAAATGATGCAACAAACTATGAACCAAATGATGCTGCACCAGAAACAAATTATAGAGACTCTTGGGAATAAGAGAGAAGAGGGATAGCCACCTAGTCCGCCCATAGAAAATTCAAGAATAGTAAGATTTCAGCAAGGAGAGTCTAGCTGGATAAATTTAGAAAAAAACCCATGAAATGAAAATGTTAGGTCAGTGAATACATTGAGTGAGAATATTTTACCTGATCCTTATTTCCAATTATTAGAAGAAATCGATGAGCCATTAGAAGTAAATGAGAATATTAATGCCGAAAATATAGTAGCAGAAAATTTGAATAAAATAATTTATTGCTCACAATTGATGAATGAATATAGTGAGGATGATGAGGAGAAAGAGCCCTTAGATGAATAAACAGCAGCTGATCATGGAAAAATCATCCAATTTTAGTAGAAGGGAGTATGGACAGAAATGAAGAAAAACATATTTCAGGTGAGGAAAAATCAGTTGATATAGGAGACAAAATTAATAAATCTAATCATAATTTTGCAGCCATGGATGTTGATAGTGAGGAGGATGATGTATATCATATATCGAAATTAAAAGATAGCTATTGGGAAGATGAAGAATTTGATGAGTTGAGAAACGAAAAGCTAGAAAAAGAGTTGATTCAACTAATGGGGAGAAACAAAAATAATGAATATGAATATAGAGATAATTTTGGAGGAGAAAATTTGAATTTTACTGAATTCATTAGATCTGAGATTAAAGAAGACAATCCTTCCATCCTTCAAAACCCACAGCCCATTCGAATTACTTCTAAGCTTTAAATATTTCACTCCTCACAAATTGAACAAATATGTATGGAAGATAAAATAGAGCAGGGGAAGATTATGCAAATAAAAGAAGACATTAAGAAATGGGTGAGTGGAAGAATTAGAGATATCAATTTAGATGAAAAAAATTTAGATTGGGTAAGAGCTAATTCGAAAATTATATGGCCTGATCACATTTTATGGTCTATTAATAGGAAGTATTTATTAATGAATGAGAGCCTTACAAAACAAGATAGAAATGATGAAAGATTCTTTTCAAAATGGAAATATTATTTTTGGGAAAATTTTGTTAATTTCCATCTTGTTTTGGCTGAAAGTATGTCAAGGTATATAGATGAAGTATATGAATTTATGCTAAATCTGAAAAAGAATATCATGAAACTTACCTTGGGATACAAATATATTTTGATGGCCATAGATCATCTTATATGATCTAAGAGCTGTCCAGCTGAAGAGATTAAATTCAGCGCTGCATGGGAGGCAACCCATGGTTTTTATTTCATTTTGTTTAAATTTTTTTTTTTTAGTTCTCTTTTTCTTAGAATTTCGCAGTACTTGTTTCTGTATTTGTTTTTTCGAAAAAGTGCAGGAGGAGGCGTGTAAGACGAAGTGAAAATTAAAAACGAGGTTGAGGTGATGTCTTTCGGAGCTTTATCATTTATGACAACATTTTTAATGCTAAACTTTGCATATATGCATGCTTCACTTGAAAATTATATTTTCTACATATTCTGTTTCGATTTTTCTATGTCATTGAGGACAATGTCATTTTTAAGTTGGGGGGTGAAGTATTCATTATTAATTTATGCTGTAGGACGATTAAGAACATGTGTTTGCATTTTATTCAACTTAGAACAACAACTAAAAAAAAAAAAGAAAAGATCGCTGAATTCGGAAAAATTGCAACATCTATTTTCTGGTTTTCTGTCAGAAACAACAGACTGTCAAAAACAGCAGACAAAAAACAGCCCGAAATTTGAAATTCTAGAAGACCCTTTTCTCACATTTCAATCCCCTAGATATATATTACTGAAATTCGAAATTACAGCTATACAGAGGATAATTTTGATTTATTTTTGACAAATTTATTGCTGCTAAAAATAGAACTGAAAATAGAAAACAGAACTGTCAGAACTATCTAATTTACAAATCTTTTACATGATATTGCATGCATGAAAAATTAAATCAATTAGATTGATTGATACCAAAAGATACTAGGAAGATTATTATTGAGTCAAAAGAATGATCTAGTAGCATGAAATGTTGGAATACTCCTTGGATACATGATAGATAACATGGATTTGATTTTACAGATTTTCACTTCATGATCTTGATGGATAATATTTACTTGATGTGAAAATTTGATTGATTATTTGAGTTTAATGGAGATTTTTGCACCCTGATCTATAGGACTTGTGAGGAGAAATCACTTATTTCGAAAAAAAAAGAGAGAGAGCAATGTGAAAAATCTAGAAACGAAGAGTACACATAGAGGGTGTGAGACATCATTCTCATTGTCGAAAATTGTGTATAGAAAAACACTTGCTGCAAAATAAGTGGATAAAGTGAAAGCCCTGAAAATGAAGAGTACACATGGAGGGTGTGAGACATCATTCTTATTGTCGAAATTTGTCTACAGGAAAAGCTACTTATCCACTATATATATATAAAAAAAAAAAGAGAAAGAAGAAATATAGTGCAAACTTCAAAAATCAAGCCATAGAAAAAGGGAAATGTAGGATCAATATTATTCTTGGATGAGTATTGATAATTGGAACATCTTGTAAATACATCTATGAGTGAAGAAGTGATAAAGATGTGAATAGAAGAAGTGAAGTCTAGATTGTTATTCCAAGGAGTGTTTAAACATTTAAGTGCTTGACATTATTCTTAAAGACTTGATATAAGAGTCCAAAGTGTCTAAAGGTGCATCATTTCTAATTGTATTTTTATTTTTTTTGTATTGAAATATGATGTTTGAAATTTGTAAATTTTTATTTTCGTAATTCCATTGCTAAGGGACTAGCAATGATTTAAGTTGGGGGGTGTGATAAGTCTTCATTATCATGAGTTAATAATTAGTAAATAATATAGTTTTAGCCTTAACTCATGATAAATAGACTTATATTTGTGTTAAAGTGTGAAAAGTGGTTTTCAGTTGATTAACGTGAATTTTTGGGTAATTATGTGATTTTATATGATTTTTACAGTCTTACTTTTGAGATAAATGAAGAACAAGAAATAAAAATAAAAATATTACAAAATGGGGGGACCCGCCGGCCAGCCGGGCCCGCAAGCGGGTCGGAAGCGCAGTCGGGAGTAGCCGCGAGCAGGGACTCGAGCGGCTTAGCTTGGACCGATAGGGGCACATGTGCGCCACTCCCCTTCCACGTCACCAGTGGCCAGACGGCTGTGGGGCAAGGAGTGGTCGTACACGCGAGAGAAGTGACTTTGCTTCCGAAGCTAACATTACTATATATTCGCCTGAAAAATCGGCGCACAACCGATGTGGGACTAAACCCGCGTCACACCTTCCTCACAGGCGGGCGACCGGCGCGGGTTCGAATCCTCCTAGAGTCAAAATTCATATCTTTTTATCTAATTATCGCGACTTTCTTGCAGATCGCCAGTGAAGGATTAAGCAACCAGAATCGCTGGATCATCGGCGAAAATCCCGTCAACGCGATTCACGGAGTATTGCTACTAAAATTGCTGAACGATTCGCGATAAAAGGATCGCGAATCCATCGAGTAAATGATCTCCGATTGATCGACGAACAAGCCGTCGTCGGGAAGAGGACGATCCGCCAGGAGACGAGTCGCCACCTCCTGAGAGCATACGAGATGCGATGAAGAGCCTCCTCTTGCTGCGCGGACCTGAGGATGAAGCTCCCTGACACGCGCCCCACCTCCATCCAGCTCCTCTTCGTCGGGTGACAGCCGCCGGAGAGCCGCAAAGTCGCCGTTTTTCCGCTCTGCCAGGTGACAGCCGCCGGAGACGACTCTACGACCCATTTCATTGATCTCTAGACTTCGCGAGAAGATCTAGAGATTGCCCACATCGTCTTTGTCCAAGGAGAGCCTTCGAGGCTGTGGACACTACACAACGATCCTCCCGAATGCTCAGGATTCCGGTGCATCGCCGACGCATCGCCGTCGCGACGCCGGAACTCTATTTTCCTGCTTTCAACTTACTTTACGTTTCATTTAGTGATAGTTTTTGTGATTTTAATTTACCAAAATATACTTTGTTCTATTACGATTCTTCCGGCTTTTACAGATCTTAATTTGATTAATTAAATCGTCTGTAATTGCTTACGTAAGAATCGCCGGGCGGAACTCTGTTTCCACCCGATTCGCGTTCGCCGGGTGCTGACGTCATCCTGATGCCCGCACCCTTATTTCCCTTTTTCGTGAATTTTAAATATATTTCCTTTTTATTTTCTAGTATAAAATTCATAGAAAATCGTATTCATTGAGAACAATTCTGAATAATTACCAGATATTATATTACATCCCTGTGATCGACCTGGAAAATTACCGCTATTTTTGGAATTTTTATTGAATTATAATTGATATATTTATTTAGAAATACTCCTAAATATCCAAAAATTCGTATTTTCTACTTTTATAAATTTTATATTTGCGTGATTTAATATACAACGACTGAGTCACGTCAATGATCCTCCTGAACACTCAGAATTTCGGTGCATCGCCGACGCATCGCTGTCGCGACACCGGAACTCTGTTTTCCTGTTTTTAACTTACTTTATGCTTCATTTAGTGATACTTTCTATGATTTTAATTTACCAAAATATACTTTGTTCTATTACGATTCTCTCGGCTTTCATAGATCTTAATTTGATTAATTAAATTATCTGTAATCGCTTACGTAAGAATCACCAGGCGGAACTCTGTTTCCGCCCGATTCACGTTTGTCGGGCGCTGACGTCATCTTGACGTCCGCACCCTTATTTCTCTTTTTCGTGAATTTTAAATATATTTCTTTTTCATTTCCTAGTATACAATTCAGAGAAAATCATATTCATTGAGAACAATTCTGAATAATTACCATATATTATATTACATCCCTGTGATCGACCTGGAAAATTACCGCTATTTTTGGAAGTTTTATTGAGTTATAATTGATATATTTGTTCAGAAATACTTCTAAATATCCAAAAATTCGTATTTTCTAGTTTTATAAATTTTAGATTTGCGTGATTTAATATACAACGACTGAGTCACGTCAACTTTTGGTACCGTTGCTGGGGATGTATTGCATAATATTTAGTATTTTTTTGTTTTTCTCTTATAGTACACAAAAAAAAATTAACTCTTGTTTTATTTTCTTTTTGCCGATTTTTTTTAGAAAAAGGGAATGAAAAGAAGCAAGGCAAGGACTGGAGCATCCTGAAGGAGGGTAACAATTATTAAATTTTTCCCTCGAATTTATTGATTTTTATGCATGGTAGAAGATCCTTGCATCCAAGGCTAGAAAATCCTTTCATTATTTCATTCAAAAATAAAAATCCGAAAGAAAAATTAATTTTGATAGATCCTAAAGGAAGTACAGGTCAAATTGAGAACAATCCTATGGCCATGAAAAATTATTATATCCTTGATTCATTTCAAAGAGCATCCAATATTAGAGTCCCATTAGCACCTAATGTTAAATTCGAAATAAATCCAAGAATTTTTCAAATGCTCCCTAATTTTCATGGATTGCTTTTAGAAGAACCTCATCAGCACTTAGAAAATTTTCATATGGTCTGTGATTTAGTTAATCTTCCTCAAGTTACACTGGAAATTATTAAGATGAAATTATTCTCTCATACACTTAGGGACAAAGTTAGCCACTGGCTATCCACATTAGATAGAGAATTAACTAGTTAAAAAGACATAGAACATGTCTTTCTTCGAAAATTTTATCCCTTAGGAAAAACCCAAAATATGAGAAAACATATATGGAGTTTTTCTCAAAGACCAGGAGAAACTTTGCATGAGACATGAGAAAAATTCAAAGATTTACTTAGAAAATGTCTTCATCATGCTATACCCAAGTGGCAGCTCAATAGAATTTTTTATGATGTATTATTAGAACAACATAGAAATATGGTTGATTCTATATGTGGAGGAGCTTTTATGGAGAAAACCCCTAATGAGATTTACAGTCTTTATGAGAATTTAAGTGAAAATTCGAGAGATCAAGCCTCTTTTGAATTATATGATAGGGATAAGAAGAGAGGAATTTATGAATTGCATCATGATGATGATTCTAAATTTAAAAATGAGCTTAATCAGATTAATCAAAGATTAGAAAAACTTGATTTACTTATTGACAATATTAGAATGCCTCTTAACCCTCAATTTAATTCAAATAGTATAGGTCCTATGTATGGTGAAAATGATCATTTCGAATTTCAATATCATCTTAGGCAAGAACAAGTGCAAGTACCGCACGATTTTAGTAAAAATAGGGAATGTTTTTTTAATTCTTATAATCCTAATTGGGGGAATAATTTTTTGTTGAGAAATCCAAATAATATTCAAAATCTAGAAGCACTTAGATCCAATTCAAATTTTTAATTTTGTCCAAAACAGGAACACAAATTTCAAAAAAATCAGTGCTCTCAAATCCAACGTGATGCTATGGAAATGATGTAGCAAATGAGCCAAATGATGCAATAAACTATGAATCAAATGATGCTGCACCAGAAACAAATTATAGAGGCTCTTGGGGATAAGAGAGAAGAGGGACAGCGACCTAGTCAGCCCATAGAAAATTCAGAAAATTATCCAACAATAAGATTTCAGCAAGAAGAGTCTAGCTGAATAAATTTAGAAAAAAACCCACGAAATGAAAATGTTAGGACAGTGAATACATTGAGTGAGAATATTTTACCTGATCCTTATTTCCAATTATTAGAAGAAGAAATTGATGATCCATTTGAAGTAAATGAGAATATTAAGGCCGAAAATATAGTAGCAGAAAATTTGAATAAAATCATTTATTACTCACAATTGATGAATGAATATAGTGAGGATGATGAAGAGAAAGAGCCCTTAGATGAAGAAACAGCAGTTGATCATGGAAAAATCATCCAAATTTTAGTAGAAGGGAGTAAGGATAGAAATGAAGAAAAACATATTTTAGGTGAGGAAAAATCAGTTGATTTGGGAGACGTAGGAGACGAAATTAATGAATCTAATCATAATTTTGCAGCCATGGATGTTGATTGTGAGGAGGATGATGTATATCATATACCGAAATTAAAAGATAGCTCTTGGGAAGATGAAGAATTTGATGAGTTGAGAAACAAAAAATTAGAAAAAGAGTTTATTCAACTAATGGGGAGAAACGAAAATAATGGATATGAATATAGAGATAATTTTCGAGGAGAAAATTTGAATTTTACTGAATTCATTAGATCTGAGATTAAAGAAGACAATCCTTCCATCCTTCAAAACCCACAGCCCATTCGAATTACTTCTAAGCTTGAAATATTTCACTCCTCACAAATTGAACAAATATGTATGGAAGATAAAATAGAGCAGGGGAAGATTATGCAGATAAAAGAAGACATTAAGAAATGGATGAATGGAAGAATTAGAGATATCAATTTAGATGAAAAAAATTTAGATTGGGTAAGAGCTAATTTGAAAATTATATGGCCTGATCACATTTTATGGTCTATTAATAGAAAGTATTTATTAATGAATGAGAGCCTTACAAAACAAGATAGAAATAAGGAAAGATTCTTTTCAAAATGGAAATATTATTTTTGGGAAAATTTTGTTAATTTCTATTTTGTTTCGGCTGAAAGTATGTCAAGGTATATAGATGAAGTATATGAATTTATGCTAAATCTGAAAAAGAATATCATGAAACTTACCTTGGGATACAAATATATTTTGATGGCCATAGATCATCTTATATGATCTAAGAGCTGTCCAGCTTGAGACATTAAATTCAGCACTGCATGGGAGGTAACCCATGGTTTTTATTTCATTCTGTTTGATTTTTTTTAAGCTCTGTTTTTCTTAGAATTTTGCAGTACTTGTTTTTGTATTTGTTTTCCAAAAAAGTGCAGGAGGAGGAGTGTAAGATGAAGTGGAAGATTAAAAACGAGGTTGAGGTGATGTATTTCGGAGCTTTATCATTTATGACAACATTTTTAATGCTAAACTTTGCATATATGCATGCTTCACTTGAAAATTATATTTTCTGCATATTCTGTTTCGATTTTTCTGTGTCATTGAGGACAATGTCATTTTTAAGTTGGGGGGTGAAGTATTCATTATTAATTTATGCTGTAGGATGATTAAGAACATGTGTTTGCATTTTATTCAAGTTAGAACAGAAACTAAAAAAAAATAAAAAAATAAAAATTCGGAAAAACTGCAACATCTATTTTCTGGTTTTCTGTTAGGAACAATAGACTGTCAAAAACAGCAGACGAAAAGACAACCTGAAATTTGAAATTATAGAGACCCTTTTCTCACATTTCAATCCCCTAGATATATATTACTGAAATTCGAAATTACAGCTATAAAGAGGATAATTGATTTATTTTTGACAAATTTATTGCTCCTAAAAATAGAACTGAAAACAGAAAACAGAACTGTCAGAACTATCTAATTTACAAATTCCTTACATCATATTGCATGCACGAAAAATTAAAACAATTAGATTGATTGATACCAAAAGATACTAGGAAGATTATTATTGAGTCAAAAGAATGATCTAGTAGCATGAAATGTTGGAATACTCCTTGGATACATGATAGATAACATGGATTTGATTTTACAGATTTTCATTTCATGATCTTGATGGATAGTATTTACTTGATGTGAAAATTTGATTGATCATTTGAGTTTAATGGAGATTTTTGCACCCTGATCTATAGGACTTGTGAGGAGAAATCACTTATTTTGAAAAAAAAAAGAGAGAGTATTGTGAAAAATCTAGAAACGAAGAGTACACATGGAGGGTGTGAGACATCATTCTCATTGTCGAAAATCGTGTATAAAAAAACACTTGCTGCAAAATAAGTGGATAAAGTGAAAGCCCTAAAAATAAAGAGTACACATGGAGGGTGTGAGACATCATTCTTATTGTCGAAATTTGTCTACAGGAAAAGCTACTTATCCATTATATATAAAGAAAGAAGAAATATAGTGCAAACTTCAAAAATCAAGCTATAGAAAAAGGGAAATGTAGGATCAATATTATTCTTGGATGAGTATTGATAATTAGAACATCTTGTAAATACATCTATGAGTGAAGAAGTGATAAAGATGTGAATAGAAGAAGTGAAGTCTAGATTGTTATTCCAAGGAGTGTTTAAACATTTAAGTGCTTGACATCATTCTTAAATACTTAATATAAGAATCCAAAGTGTCTAAAGGTGCATCATTTCTAATTGTATTTTTTCTTTCTGTATTGAAATATGATGTTTGAGATTTGTAAATTTTTATTTTCGTAATTCCATTGCTAAGAAACTAGCAATGGTTTAAGTTGGGGGGTGTGATAAGTCTTCATTATCATGAGTTAATAGTTAGTAAATAATATAGTTTTAGCCTTAACTCATGATAAATAGACTTATATTTGTGTTAAAGTGTGAAAAGTGGTTTTCAGTTGATTAATATGAATTTTTGGGTAATTTTGTGATTTTACATGAATTTATATGATTTTTACAGTCTTGCTTTTGAGATAAATGAAGAAAAAGAAATAAAAATAAGACAAAATAAGGGAGGGACCTGCCGGCCAGCCGGGCCCGCAAGCAGGTCGGAAGCTCAGTCAGAGAGTAGCCGCGAGCAGGGGCTCAAGCAGCTTGGACCGATAGGGGCTCGTGTGCGCCACTCCCCCCTTCAACGTCACCGGTGGCTAGCCAGCTGTGGGGCAAGGAGCGGTCATACACACGAGAGAAGGGACTTTGCTTAGAAAGCTAACATTACTATATATTTGCCTGAAAAATTGGCGCACAACCAATGTGGGACTAAACCCACGTCACATCTTCCTCAGAAGGGCCGGACAACCGGCGCGGGTTCGAATCCTCCCAGAGTCAAAATTCATATATTTTTATCTGATTATCGCGACTTTCCTGCAGATCGTTGGTGAAGGATTAAGTAACGAGAATCGCTGAATCATCGGCAAAAATCTCGTCAACGCGATTCCCCGAGCATTGCTACTAAAATTGCTGAATGATTCGCGATAAAAGGATCGCGAATCCATCGAGTAAATCATCTCCGATTGATCGACGAACAAGCCATTGTTGGGAAGAGGACGATCCGCCGGGAGATGAGTCGCCACCTCCTGAGAGCGTACCAGATGCGATGAAGAGCCTCCTCTTGCTGCGTGGACCTGAGGATGAAGCTCCCTGACATGCGCCCCACCTCCATCTAGCTCCACTCCGTCGGGTGACAACCGCCGAAGAGCCGCAAAGTCGTTGTTTTTCCGCTCTGCTGGGTGACAGCCGCCGGAGACGACTCGACGACCCATTCCATTGATCTCTAGACTTCGAAAGGAGATCTAGAGATTACCCACGTCATCTTTGTCCAAGGAGAGCCTTCGAGGCTGTGGACACTGCATGACGATCCTCCCGAACGCTCAAGATTCCGATGCATCACCGATGCATCGCCGTCGCGACGCCGGAACTCTGTTTTCCTACTTTCAACTTACTTTACACTTCATTTAGTGATAGTTTTTGTGATTTTAATTTACCAAAATATACTTTGTTCTATTACAATTCTTTCGGCTTTTATAGATCTTAATTTGATTAATTGAATCATTTGTAATCGCTTATGTAAGAATCGCCGGGCGGAACTCTGTTTCCGCCCGATTTGCGTTCGCCGGGTGCTAACGTCATCATGACGTCCGCACCCTTATTTCCCTTTTTCGTGAATTTTAAATATATTTCCTTTTCATTTCCTAGTATATAATTCATAGAAAATCGTATTCATTGAGAAAAATTCTGAATAATTACCATATATTATATTACATCCCTGTGATCGACCTGGAAAATTACCGTTATTTTTGGAAGTTTTATTGAGTTATAATTGATATATTTATTCAGAAATACTTTTAAATATCTGAAAATTCGTATTTTCTAGTTTTATAATATTTAGATTTGCGTGATTTAATATACAACGACTGAGTCACGTCAATAACCACATAAAAATATTCCTTGAAGTTTCAATATGAGATTAAATAATTATCCTCAACAATTTTATGCTCTCAAATGAAAATGCTAATCACATAACCTCTATTTCTAATGCAAGATATGTTGGATTTTAAATAGAAGAACAATTCTAAGAGGGGGAGTGAACTGATTTTCATTAGATCCTTTTTGGCTTACATGATTTGGAAGGCAGACTTGACACACAATTTGTAGAGGTGAATCGATTAATAGTGTTCTTCACCAAATTTAATAGCTCCAACCAACTAAGGATCACATCCAAAAATCTTGTTTCAAAATTAACGAATCTAGGGGGCTAAGCTAAGGGAAAAATCACTCTGCTCTTCCATATGAATAGGCCAATGAGATTAATAGTCACTAATCACATCCAAATTATGGCTTGATGTGACTTAGTCATTGTATAGTAAATCACGCAAATTTAAAATTTATAAAACTAGAAAATATGACTTTTGGATATTTAAAAGTATTTCTGAACAAATATATCAATTATAATTCAATAAAACTTCTAAAAATAGTGATAATTTTCCAAGTCGATCACAAAGATGTAGTATAATATCAAGTAATTATTCAGAATTTTTCTCAAAGAATACTATTTCTATGAAGTTTACACTAGGAAATGAAAAAAAAAAAAAATTCACAAAAAAAGAGAAATAAAGGTGTAGACGTCAAGATGACGTCAGCGCCCGATAAACGCAAATAGGACAGAAATAGAGTTCTGCCCAATGATTCTTACCTAAGTGATTATAAACAATTTAATTGATCAAATTAAGATCTGTAAAAGTTAGAAGAATCATAATTAAATAAAATATATCTTGGTAAATTTAAATCACACAAACTATCACAAAATGAAGTAGAAATTAAGTTGAAAGTAGGAAAATAGAGTTTCAGCATCATGGTAATGATGCGTCAGCGATGCACTAGAATCTTGAGCGTTCAAGAGGACCGTGGTGTAGTGTCCATAGCCTTGAAAGCTCTCCTTGGACAAGGATGACATGGGTAATCTCTAAATCTTCTTGCGAAGTCTAGAGATCAATGAAATGGGTTGTCAAATCATCTCTGGCGGCTGTCACCTAGCGGAGCAGAAAAATGATGACTTTGTGGCTCTCCGGTGACTGTCACCCGACAGAGAGGAGCTGGATGGAGGTGGGGTGTGTGTCAAGGAGCTTCATCCTCAGGTCCGCGTAGCAAGAGGAGGTGGCTCTTCATCGTATCTAGTATGCTCTCAGGAGGTGGCGACTTGTCTCCTAGTGGATCGTCCTCTTCTCGAGGACGGCTTGTTCATCGATCAATCGAAGATGCTTTACTCGATGGATTCACGATCCTTTTATCGTGAATCGTTCAACAATTTTAGTAACAATGCTTTACAAATCGCGTTAACAAGATTTTCGCTAATGATCTAGTGATTCTAATGGCTTAATCTTTCATCGGCAATTTGCAAGAAAGTCGCAATAATCATATAAAAAATATGAGTTTTAGCTCTCGGAGGATTCAAACCTGCGCCAATTGCCCGCCTGTATGAGAGAGATTGACATAAGTACTTTAATGCTCTTACCAAATGATGTTATCATAATATATCTTTGTTATAAATAAGGGGTATGTTTAATATTAAAATCATCGAACCCTTTCTAAGGAAGGTGTGATGCAGGTTTAGTCCCATATTACTTGTGTGTCGAAGTTTTGGGTGAATATATAGTGATATTATATTTACAAGCAAGTCCTTTTCTCATGCGTGTACGACCACTCTCTACCCCATAGTCGGCTGGCCACCGGTGACGTGGAAGGGGAGTGGCGCGCACGTGCCTCTATCGGTTCTAGCCGCTCGAGCCCCTGCTCGTGGCTCCTCCCCGACTACACTTTCGACCCGCTTGTAGGCTCGGTTGGCTGGTGGGTCCCCCCCGTTTTGCTATATTTTTATTTTTATTTCTTTTTCTTCATTAATCTCAAAAGTAAGACTGTAAAAATCATATAAATTCGTATAAAATCACATAATTACCTAAAAATTCATGTTAATCAATTGAAAACCACATTTCACACTTTAACACAAATATAAGTCTATTTATCATGAGTTAAGGCTAAAAATATATTATTTAATAATTATTAACTCATAATAATGAAGAGACTTATCATGGCTCAATATGGGCCATGAGTATAATGCATGCTAAATACAAATGTCGAATGAGTTACCATTCTTGGCATTCAGCTGCAGAACTTCTTGAGGCTTGAATGCCCTTGATTTCTCATTTGAAAGCCTCAAAATGAGAAAATGTTGAATATCTCCCTTTGCACCTGTGATTACTTCACCTTCTTCCACTCTTGATCATCATTTTTTGTTTTTCTTCTATATTTATAGTTGAGGAGAGGGTTCCCCTATATATTTACTTATTTTTTATTTATTTTTAGTGATTTTTCAATGGGTGAGTTAAAGTCTAAAATTAGTCATTTTATACAGATGTCACCCAATGAATAGTTTTGTTGTTGTGATTTTCTATTATGCCTAATACTCATCTCCTTCTCTATCCTCATGCATCAACACATATGTATTGACACTTGTGATAGGACATTGAGAAAATGTGTAGATAATATTCTATTAAAATGTTCAATAATTTACAGAAATTCCTTTGGAGTGAATGCCATTTTAGAGCATATGCAAGTTTTTGCCAAATTTTCAAGGGTCATGAGAATATTTAAATTCGCTTGTAATAAAAAAAATCATTTGATCTTTAGTCTTGATTTTACACAACTCAGAACTTTCCTCGATAGAAATCATTATGATCATCAAATACCTAATTCTATAATCATAATCTTTATCAAACTATTGTTCTAAATGTTATGATCACCATCATAACATAGAGGTCTACTAATGCCATTAACATATTGTGCCAAGAAAGCAATCTTTAAAAATTGATAAATAACATTTATTCTGTAATTGTTGATAATATAATAGATTAATTAAAATTTCTTAGTAACTACATAAAATTAATTTGTTGCCTGTTGAATATTAGTTTTCTTATCAAATAATGAACGATTATGTATCACATGATATTTCGTTAAATGTATGCCTATACTTGCTATAACACAATATTGAAGAGCAAACTTGACATATGAATTGCTGTGTGGATTACCATTACTCAATTTCCAGGAAGAACTCATTTCATGGAACTAGAAGAAAAATGGATTTATTGGAATTTTTACTTCGTGACCTTGACCTTTGTTAATTGAAATGCTTTAGAAGTTCATCAATGTGATAAACTAGAATACATATTCTACAGTTATTTCTTCAATCTATAAATTTTATTATGATGATAATTTTTAGCCACATAAATGACTTTTTGACCTTAGCTATCAAAGATATTGGTCATTTACTCCAAAAAATGTTGGAACAACTATTATGTGCAATGATATATATGTTTAAATATATTTAGTAACTCCAAGTGTTTCTGGTCCTCTTGCACAAAGAGTTCTAGATTATATCCACAAATGAGAAATTTTAAATTATTAATCTTTCGAGAAATATTATTAATCCTAAATGTTAGAAATGTGAGTCAATCTTTCTTGAGATTAAACTCAATTTGTTAGATAGTACCTTAAACTTTAAACGCTGTCAAACTATTGTGATGCAAATGTTTTTTAAATATATGGAATGGATAAAAAGAAAGGTTGTGATGCTATAGAAACAAGATGACTGGAAGTTGATGGCTTATTGTCAAACAATCAACACAATTTTACGAATAAAATAATTTTACACTGTAAGATTCCCATTAAATTATGGCAAAGAGTCTTTTAATGCCAGAGGCTACTTGGTAAGTCTTCATTATCATGAGTTAATAATTAGTAAATAATATAGTTTTAGCCTTAACTCATGATAAATAGACTTATATTTGTGTTAAAGTGTGAAAAGTGGTTTTCAGTTGATTAACGTGAATTTTTGGGTAATTATGTGATTTTATATGATTTTTACAGTCTTAATTTTGAGATTAATGAAGAAAAAAAAATTAAAATAAAAATAGCAAAATGGGGTGGACCCGCTAGTCAACCGGGCCCGCAAGCGGGTCGGAAGCGTAGTCAGGCAGGAGTCGCAAGCAAGGGCTCTAGCGACTTGAACTGATGGGGGCACGTGTGCGCCACTCCCCTTCCACGTCACCGGTGGCCAGCCGGCTGTGGGGCAAGGAGTGGTCGTACACGCGCGAGAAAGGGACTTGATCGGGAATGTAATATTACTTTATATTCGCCAGAAACTTCGGCGCACAACTGATGTGGGACTAAACCCGCGTCATCTTCCCCAGAAAGGGTGAACAACCGGCACGGGTTTGAATCCTCCTAGAGCCAAAATTCATATTTTTTATCTGATTATCGCAACTTTCCTACAGATCGCTGGTGAAGGATTAAGCAACCAGAATCGCTAGATCATCGGCGAAAATCTCATCAACACGATTCACAGAGCATTGTTACTAAAATTACTGAACAATTCGCGATAAAAGGATCACAAATCCATCGAGTAAAGCATCTCTAATTGATCGACGAACAAGCCGTCGTCGGAAAGAGGACGATCTGCCGGGAGACGAGTCGCCACCTTCTGAGAGCATACCAGATGTAATGAAGAGCCTCCTCTTGCTGCGCGGACTTGAGGATGAAGCTCCCTGGCACGTGCCTCACCTCCATCTAGCTCCTCTCTGTCGGGTGACAGTCGCCGGAGAGCTGCAAAGTCGCCGTTTTTCCACTCTGCCAGCTGATAGCCACTGGAGACGATTCGACAACCCATTTCATTGATCTCTAGACTTTGCAAGGAGATCTACAGATTGCCCACATCGTCTTTGTCCAAGGAGAGCCTTCGAGGCTGTGGACACTACATGACGATCCTCCCGAACATTGAGGATTCTGGTGCATTGCCGACACATCGCCGCCGCGATGCCGGAACTATGTTTTCCTGCTTTCAACTTCATTTCCATTTCATTTAGTGATAATTTGTTGATTTTAAATTTACCAAGATATACTTAATTTCATTACGATTCTTCCGGCTTTTACAGATCTTAATTTGATCAATTAAATCGTCTGTAATTGCTTACGTAAGAATCACCGGATGGAACTCTATTTCCACCCGATTCGTGTTCGCCGAGACTGACGTCATCCTGACGTCCGCACCCTTATTTCTTTTTTTCGTGAATTTTAAATATATATTTTTTCATTTACTTGTATAAAATTCATAGAAAATAGTGTTCTTTGAGGAAAATTCTAAATAATTACCAGATATTATATTACATCCTGTGATCGACCTGGAAAATTACCATTATTTTTGGAAGTTTTATTGAATTATAATTGATATATTTGTTCAGAAATACTTCTAAATGTCTAAAAATTCGTATTTTCTAGTTTTATAAATTTTAGATTTGCATGATTTAATATTAGTATTTATAAATTTTGGTGCCATTGCTGGAGATGTATTGTATAATATTTAGTATTTTTCTATTTTTCTCTTAGAGTACACAAAAAAATTTAACTCTTGTTTTATTTTATTTTTGCCAATTTTTTTTTTTAAAAAGAGAAAAGAAAGAAAAGGGAACGAACAGAAGCAAGGCAAGGACTAGAGCATACTGAAGGAGGGTAACAGTTACTAAACTTTTCCTCAAATTTATTTTTTTTATGCATGGTAGAAGATCCTTGCATCCAAGGCTAGAAAATCCTTTTATTATTTCATTCAAAACTAAAAATCTGAAAGAAAAATTAATTTTGATGGATCCTAAATGAAGTACAGGTCAAACTGAGAGCAATCCTATGGCTATGAAAAATCATTATATCCCTTATTCATTTCAAAGAGCATTGATGGCGAGCGGGACCCATCTCCATTAGCTCAGGAGACACCAGTAGTCCGAGTTCAGCCCGATTGACGCACAAAGACGAAGGAGCTTGGCTTTCGCTACATGGCTTAGCCCTTCGGGATGACGACATTCCACCTCCGCGACGACGACGAGCTCGAGCTCACCCTTATCTTTCTTTGTACTTTTACGTTGACTTGTTGGGCCTCGTGTTTGTGTGTTAGTGGGCCCAATTCTATGTGTGTGTGTTGTTGTTTGTGTCTCCCTTTCTTTAGGGTTTAGTGGGTCTCTCTTTTGAGGCCCAATTAAAACCCTAAGGGGGGGGACCTATGTTCCTTTTCTTTGGGCCTCTTTTGGGCTTATTTGGGTCTTCATTTGAGGCCCACTTAAGCACCATACGAGGGCACTCCTCTTTCTCCTTTTAGGGGAGCTTATTGGGTCTCTGTTTTAGAGGCCCAATAAGCCCCTTTTGTAGCCTTTTGTGGCCTATGGGCTTGAGGGCCTCAAGTGGGCCCACCTCTCCTTAGCCCACTTGTGGGCCCTATATAGGGGAGGTAGGACCCCCCCTCAAGGAAGTGCCGAATTTTGTGAGAAATTATCGTTGTGAGATACCTTCTTTGTGACCTAGGTTAGGGAGGGAAGGAGGGAGAGGAAGGCTGTTGATACCCTGAGGACTTCGTTCATCATGATGCTGCTGCAACCGCCGCCGCCTATGCTGGAACCGCGTCACGCCGTCGTGACGAAAGGGGCTTGCTTTGCCTCCCCTACGAGTCGTCGCTGAGCACTCAGCCGGAGTCTCTCGACTCCTAGTTCGACTGCCACCTCTTCCTTCGGAACTCCACCATAAACTCGCTGGAGTCGCCATCCGCCGCTCCGCCCAGTCGCTGGCCGTTCACCAACGAACGCCTACTTTCCACCAACGTCAGGAGAGACCCTACAGCTGTGCCGATGAGCTAGATCCAGTCCAAGCTCCTCACAGGCCCCTACTGAAGTTTCCCGACGCTCCGCCGCCATCGCGCCGTTTCCGGCGCCGCGTAGACCAGGAGAGCTCAACCCTTCTTGGTATCGTTGGCCGGATCATCTCCTTCCTCTGCTCCGCTCCCCGACGCCACCAGAGAAGTCTGATCCTTCCAGCGACAGTTGGGTTTCTGCCCAACCGCCGACGCTCGACATTCCCGCCGAAGCGCCACCGACGCATGGCATTCCCGCCGAAGTGCCACTGACACTCAGCATTCTTGCCAAAGCGCCGCTGACACTCGGCATTCTTGCCGAAGGGCTGTTGACACTCAGCCTTCCCGCCGAAGTGCCGCCACCGCGCGCGCCTTGCGTGGCTTGCCGCGCATGCCCGTAGCGCGCCCTTCGGCCCACCTGCAGGCCCATGCCCGCGCCGACTGTGCCACACCTTACGACAACGACTACGGCGACTCTCGACCAGGACTGACCGTTGACACTGAGCATCGATCTTCACCAGACGTCTTTGCCTACGTCGAGTCTCCGCTCCGTCACGACCCGCCGGGCTACGTAGCCCCAAAGGTTAGCTCCGTACCCCTTCTTACTTAAGTTTAATTATCTTTGGAAGGGTTTCCTCGGCTCATTTCCACCGCCATCAGGAGAATGTAGACAGGATAGGACAGGTTATCGGATCATGACTTCTGACACTGTGTCAGACTCGCCACCATTCATGAGCTGTAGCCCTAGGCTACTTCACGATGACCGTTCCGCCATTTGTCCAGACGTGGACCGAGAGGGCCTGACACTTACCATCGTCGAGTGTTTTCCCGGGTTGTCCTGGGTTGATAGTGGTACGCCTGCTTGTACTTAGGTTAAGTGGTCAGACCTAGAGTCTAGGGTCCATACATTCTTATCGGATCAACCTGACTACCCCTTCCCGAGTCTTGAGTTTCATTGATCAAGTACAAGGGTTCTTGCCCCGTCCTACATCAAGCATCCAATATTAGAGTCTCATTAGCACCCACTATTAAATTCAAAAGAAATCTAGGAATTTTTCAAATGCTCCCTAATTTTCATGGATTGCCTTTAGAGGAACCTCATCAGTACTTAGAAAAATTTCATATGGTCTGTGATTTAGTTAATCTCCCTCAAGTTACACTGGAAATTATTAAGATGAAATTATTTCCTCATATACTTAGGGACAAAGCTAGCCATTTGCTGTCCACATTAGATAGAGAATTAACTAGTTGGAAAGACATAGAACAGCCCTTTCTTCAAAACTTTTATCCCTTAGGTAAAACTCAAAATATGAGAAAATATATAAGGAGTTTTTCTCAAAGACCAGGAGAAACTTTACATGAGACATGGGAAACATTCAAAGATTTACTTAGAAAGTGTTATCATCATGCTATACCCAAGTGGCAGCTCAATAGAATTTCTTATGATGGATTATTATAACAATATAGAAATATGGTTGATTCTATATGTGGAGGAGCTTTTATGGAGAAAACCCCTAATGAGATTTATAGTCTTTATGAGAATTTAAGTGAAAATTCTAGAGATCAAGCGTCTTTTGAATTATATGACAAGATATAAGAAGAGAGGAATTTATGAATTGCATCATGATGATGATTCTAAATTTAGAAATGAGGTTAATCAGATTAATCAAAGATTAGAAAAACTTGATTTACTTATTGACAATATTAGAATGCCTCTTAACCCTCAATTTAATTCAAATAGTACATATCCTATGTATGGTGAAAATGATCATTTCGAATTTCAATATCATCATAAGCAAGAACAAGTGTAGGTACCCCACGATTTTAGTAAAAGTAAGGAATATTTTTCTAATTCTTATAATCTTAATTGGGGAAATAATTTTTCATGTAGAAACCCAAATAATATTTAAAATCTAGAAGCACTTAGATCCAATTCAAACTCTGAATTTCGTCCAAAATAAGAAAACAGATTTCAAAAAAATCAGCCCTCTCAAACCCAACTTGATACTATGAAAATGATGTAGCAAATGAGCCAAATGATGTAACAAACTATGAATCAAATGATGCTGCACCCGAAACAAATTATAGAGGCTCTTGGGCATAAGAGAGAAGAGCGACAACCACCTAGTTAGCCCATAGAAAATTTAGGAAACTGTCCAACAGTAGGATTTCAGCAAGGAGAGTCTAGCTAGATAAATTTAGAAAAAAACTCATGAAATGAAAATATTAGGACAGTGAATACATTGAGTGAGAATATTTTACCTGATCCTTATTTCTAATTATTAGAAGAAATTGATGAGCCATTAGAAGTAAATGAGAATATTAAGACTGAAAATATAGTAGCAGAAAGTTTGAATAAAATCATTTATTGCTCACAATTGATGAATGAATATAGTGAGGATGATGAGGAAAAAGAGCCCTTAGATAAAGAAACAGCAGTTGATCATGGAAAAATCATCCAAATTTTAGTAGAAGGGAGTAAAGACAGAAATGAAGAGAAATATATTTCAGAGGAAGAATAATCAGTTGATTTGAGAGATGTAGGAGATGAAATTAATAAATCTAATCATAATTTTACAGCCATGGATGTTGATAGTGAGGATGATGGTGTATATCATATACCGAAATTAAAAGATAGCTCTTGGGAAGATGAATAATTTGATGAGTTGAGAAACAAAAAGCTAGAAAAAGAGTTGATTCAACTAATAGGGAGAAACAAAAATAATGGATATGAATATAGAGATAATTTTAGAGGAGAAAATTTGAATTTTATTGAATTTATTAGATTTGAGATTAAAGAAGATAATCTTTCCGTCCTTCAAAACCCACAGCCCATTAGAATTATTTCTAAGCTTGAAATATTTCACTCTTCGCAAATGAACAAATATGTATGGAAGATAAAATGGAATAGGGGAAGATTATGTAGATAAAAGAAGACATTAAGAAATAGGTGAGTGAAAGAATTAGAGATATCAATTTAGATGAAAAGAATTTAGATTGGGTAAGAGCTAATTCAAAAATTATATGGCATGATCACATTTTATGGTCTATTAATATAAAGTATTTATTAATGAATCAGAGCCTTACAAAACAAGATAGAAATGAGGAAAGATTCTTTTCAAAATGGAAATATTATTTTTGGGAAACATTTGTTAATTTTCATTTTGTTTGGCTGAAAGTATGTCAAGGTATATATATGAAGTATACGAATTTTTGCTAAATCTGAAAAAGAATATCAGGAAACTTACCTTGGGATACAAATATATTTTGATGGCCATAGATCATCTTATATGATCTAAGAGCTGTCCAGCTGAAGACATTAAATTCAACACTGCATGGGAGGCAACCCATGGTTTTTATTTCATTCTGTTTGATTTTTTTTAAGCTCTGTTTTTCTTAGAATTTCGCAGTACTTATTTCTATATTTGTTTTTTCGAAAAAGTGCAGGAGGAGGAGTGTAAGATGAAGTAGAAAATTAAAAACGAGGTTGAGGTAATGTCTTTCTGAGCTTTATCGTTTATGACAATATTTTTAATGCTTAGCTTTGTATATATGCATGCTTCACTTGAAAATTATATTTTCTGCATATTCTGTTTCGATTTTTCTATGTCATTGAGGACAATGTCATGTTTAAGTTGGGGGGTGAAGTATTCATTATTAATTTATGCTGTAGAACAATTAAGAACATGTGTTTGCAATAGAACAGCAATTGAAAAAATAAAAAATAAAACAAAATTCGGAAAAAATGCAACATCTATTTTCTAGTTTTCTGTCATGAACAACAGACTGTCAAAAATAGCAAACCAAAAACAGCCCGAAATTTGAAATTCTAGAGACTCTTTTCTCACATTTCAATCCCCTAGATATATATTACTGAAATTCGAAATTACAGCTATAAAGAAGATAGTTTTGATTTATTTTTGACAAATTTATTGTTGCTAAAAACAGAACTGAAAATAGAAAACAGAACTGTCAGAACTATCTAATTTACAAATTTCTTACATCATATTGCATGCATGAAAAATTAAAATAATTAGATTGATTGATACCAAAAGATACTAGGAAGATTATTATTGAGTCAAAAGAATGATCTAGTAGCATGAAATGTTGGAATACTCCTTGGATACATGATAGATAACATGGATTTGATTTTAAAGATTTTCATTTCATGATCTTGATGGATAGTATTTACTTGATGTGAAAATTAATTGATCATTTGAGTTTAATAGAGATTTTTACACCCTGATCTATAGGACTTGTGAGGAGAAATCACTTATTTTGGAAAAAGAGAGAGAGAGCAATGTGAAAAATCTAAAAATGAAGAGTACACATGGAGGGTGTGAGACATCATTCTCATTATCGAAAATCATGTATAGAAAAACACTTGCTGCAAAATAAGTGGATAAAGTGAAAGCCCTGAAAATGAAGAGTACACATGGAGGGTGTGAGACATCATTCTTATTGTCAAAATTTGTCTACAGAAAAAGTTACTTATCTACTATATATATCAAAAAAAGAAAAAAGAAGAAAGAAATATAGTGCACACTTCAAAAATCAAGCCATGGAAAAAGAGAAATGTAGGCTCAATATGATTCTTGGATTATTATTGATAATTTGAACATCTTGTAAATATATCTATGAGTGAAGAAGTGATAAAGATGTGAATAGAAGAAAAGAAATCTAGATTGTTATTCCAAGGAGTGCTTAAACATTTAAGTGCTTGACATCATTCTTAAATACTTGATATAAGAGTCCAAAGTGTCTAAAGGTGCATCATTTCTAATTGTATTTTTTTTATGTATTAAAATATGATGTTTAAGATTTGTTAATTTTTATTTTCGTAATTCTATTGCTAAGGGACTAGCAATGATTTAAGTTGGGGGGTGTGATAAGTTTTCATTATCATGAGTTAATAACTAGTAAATAATATAGTTTTAGCCTTAACTCATGATAAATAGACTTATATTTGTGTTAAAGTGTGAAAAGTGGTTTTCAGTTGAGTAACGTGAATTTTTGGGTAATTATGTGATTTTATATGATTTTTACAGTCTTACTTTTGAGATAAATGAAGGAAAAGAAATTAAAATAAAAATAGCAAAATGGGGTGGACCCACCGGCCAGCCGAGCCTACAAGCAAGTTGGAAGCACAGTTGGGCAGGAGCTGTGAGCAGGGGCTCTAGCAGCTTGAGCCGATGGGGGCACATGTCCGCCACTCCCCTTCCACATCACCGGTGGCTAGACGGCTATGGGGCAAGGAGTGGTCGTACACGCACAAGAAAGGGACTTGATCGGAAATGTAATATTACTTTATATTCTCCAATAACTTTGGCGCACAACTGATGTGGGACTAAACCCGCATCACCTTCCCCAGAAAGGGCGAACAACCAGCAGGGGTTCGAATCCTCCTAGAGCCAAAACTCATATTTTCATCTGATTATCGCGACTTTCCTACAGATTGCCGGTGAAGGATTCAGCAACTAGAGTCGTTGGATCATCGGTGAAAATCTCATCAACACGATTCACGGAGCATTGTTACTAAAATTACTGAACGATTCGCGATAAAAGGATCATGAATCCATCGAGTAAAGCATCTCCGATTGATCGATGAACAAGCCATCATCAGGAAGAAGACGATCCCCCGAGAGACGAGTCGCCACCTCCTGAGAGCTTACCAGATGTGATGAAGAGCCTCCTCTTGCTGCGCAAACCTGAGGATGAAGCTCCCTGACACGCACCTCACCTCCATCTAGCTCCTCTCCGTTGGGTGACAGCCGCCGGAGAGCCACAAAGTTGTCATTTTTTCGCTCCGCCAGGTGACAGCCAACGGAGACGATTTGACGACTCATTTCATTGATCTCTAGACTTTGCAAGGAGATCTACAGATTGCCTACATCGTCTTTGTTCAAGGAGAGCCTTCGAGGTCGTGGACACTGCACAACAGTCCTCCCGAACGTAAGGATTCCGGTGTATCGCCGACGCATCGCCGTCGTGATGCCGGAACTCTGTTTTCCTACTTTCAACTTAATTTCCATTTCATTTAGTGATAATTTGTTGATTTTAAATTTACCAAGATATATTTCATTTCATTACGATTCTTCCGGCTTTTACAAATCTTAATTTGATCAATTAAATCGTCTGTAATTGATTATGTAAGAATCGTCGGGTGGAACTCTGTTTGCGCCCGATTTGTGTTCGTCGGGACTAACGTCATCCTGACGTCCGCACCCTTATTTCTTTTTTTCGTGAATTTTAAATATATTTCTTTTTCATTTACTTGCATAAAATTCATAGAAAATAGTATTCTTTGAGGAAAATTCTGAATAATTATTAGATATTATACTACATCCCTGAAATCGACTTAAAAAATTACTACTATTTTAGGATATTTTATTGAATTATAATTGATATATTTGTTCAGAAATACTTCTAAATGTCTAAAAATTTGTATTTTCTAGTTTTATAAATTTTAGATTTGTGTGATTTAATATGCAAAGACTAAGTCACGTCACTACTATAAAACAAAGTTCACTTCACACTGATGCCCACTATTATTAATACCTCTATAAGAAAATTTGGATAAATTTTCAGATGAAAGACAACCTTAATAAGTTTAAAATCACTATCTTCTCAATACCTAAGTTGAGTATATAACTGGCTCCATAAAAGCAAGTAGGCCAAAATAATGAGTAGTGATTGCATCATGACATAGAAACAAATGTAATGGAAATATATATTAAAAATTAAGTAGTTTTTTCTTATAGTTTCAAAGAAAAATAGATTGATGTATTACAAAATAGATTTTATTATTTAATTCCAACCGATATGAAATGTCTACTAACTATCCCCTAACAAAAAACTTGACAGTTATTTCCCTAGATTCTGAGAGAATAATATTTGGACTTTGAATTGATAGGTTGGTAAATAGATACTTTGAGAGCCCTAGAAAGGTGTTAATTCCAATCAGCTGAAAGCTTCTAGAGTCTCGATTTCCAACTCTTTCTATTGAAGTCTTAAAATTCTACTTTAAAATGCAGATTTACCCTCTTTTGAAAATTTTAGATGATCTCCAAGGACCTATGGTCCTTAGAATATGATTAACTTTCTAAGGAAAATTTCATTTTTTTCTCCCACTTTATCTAATTGAATAATGACTTTATCTATTCCTCATCATTACCAAGTATCTAATTAGTTGAAATTAATATGATGATAATATAATATGGAACTTTAATAAAAATGCCGTTTTCATAATGCCTTAACTTAGCCATGAGAATTTTATCAGGCCATACACTAAAGCTGAAAAGTAGAGAGCCCAATTTGCTTGGTACTAGTACATGCTTATTTGAAATGATCTTTCTATGGTTCATTGAATTGAATTTAAAAATTAACTTTATCATATTTAAAAACAATAATTTTATTTGAAAAATAATATATTAAAAAGCTCAACAGATATTATATCAAATTAATCTCTATCCAATTGAGAAATTTTTACCTTTCTTTCAGCCAAAGGAAATGATAATTAGATAAAAGTTTATTGAGATAATATATACAGGAAATTAAGAAGCCTAATACATAAACCATCTAAGTACCAAAAACATTTGTCATTCTTCTCTATAATTGTGCTTTTCTTTTTTTCTGTATTTTTTTAAAGATGTGGCACTTTATGGATGCCATCCTCATCTCCATTGGATATGTTTGTCCTTGTACACATAAAGTTTTATACTTATTTTTAAAAATTATCAAAAGAGCTATATATTTATCCACATTTTTTCTATTTTGCAACCAGATTAAAAACATTCAAGTTTTGGAGAAATAAAAATTAATTTTTTATTGAAATAGTTAGTAGAGTTTAGGAATAAAGACCATTTGAAAATTAAAATTCAAAATTTCTTTGCAACCATTGTTGAAATAAATTGCTAGACATAAGGTCATCCCAATGCTCGATTTTAATTTCTAGAATTTGAAATGGAATTATGTTCTTTTTCTCATCTTAAAATATATTATTAATAAAATTTAATACTCACATAAACTTAATTGCCTTGGTTTTCTTTAGCATATGGGCATGCCATTCTGTACAGTTATGTCACAAAAAGGGGATCACCTGGTAGTTGGATCTCATTGTCAGATTTCACTTTTTGTTATGGCCTTAAAGACTAGACATAGATCTAGTTGGGACCATTCTTTAAATGTAGTACAAATACCAAAGAATAATAAATAATGTATCAAGGATATTCCAGATTCTCTTTCAACTTTAAAATTTTGGGTATGACTAAATCCTTTTAGTTTTTGTTTATTCATCCTACATAAAATTTCGTGTTAGCATCAAATAAAGGAGTGAGTGGTTTGAGGAACAATTTCTATTATTCATGGGCACGTATGCATGGCCCCTGACATAAACCATAGTAATAACCTAGGGGAATGTGTGTTGATGTCCATGGGGCTTGCGTGGTTTAACCAACATTTAACTTTGATAGTTTCCATCAGCTTTTGAGATGCTCCAGTAAAATTGTTTGGACTTTTCATGTAAAATCAATGCGTCAAGAAGATTAAAGGGATTCTCTGCTTCTTCTAGGAGCATCAGTTATAGATATAGGATTGGACATCAAAATTTGCCTAAAACCATCTAGGTACAGAGAACGCGTGTAAGAAAAAGGAAATCAATAAAAGTAGTTCTCAGCGGAGGAACTATGTTGAAAAACATGTCCGGCGATGGTTAAACGTGATATTTTGGAAGGCAACTTCTCTCCTGGAGGGACAAATCCTACGCTGAATGAAGTGGGCTGGAACTAGCATAGGGCGATTTCAAGAGCATGGGATGAATGATATAGGAAGTGATGGAGGCAAGGGAATCTCCTGCGAACATATTTCTTTCAAAGTTTCTGGTGGCATCGCGGAATCGTTATATGGCTCCCTGCGGGATTATGACTTTCCGACGGTGGATAACAGTACTTTTCCTTGCCTGGTGGCTGCTTGTTAACGTCCCTTCCCAGGTGCATGGTGCTTCAAGATCTCCTTCGCCCAACCTATACATTGTTGTCGCTACTCACTAATAAAAAATGCAATGACTACAAAATGGATTGAAATTTCAATCGCAGATTAATGTAAAATCAAATTTAAAAAGTAAGCTTTAATATTATTTCCTTTTTATGATTGAACAATGAATAATCTACAAAAAAACTTCTAGATCATCCAGTTGAATAGTTAGGATAAGAAGTTTTCGAGAAAAATCTCCATACTTGGTAACTTATTTTTGTTGGCGGCACTTATATTTGAAGAGGTCTAGCTGGAAATGGAATGGGTGATTGGAATCAACCGATTGGTCGTTCTTTTTATGATCTCTTAGTGAATAGAAGATATTTGAGGTAAGTTGAAGCCAGGCAAAAGAAGTTTGTGAATGTCTAAAGGTGGTGAAAACAACGGGCCTAACAATTATTCTAGCTTCAGCTTGACATTTGTATTAGCTGCATTCGTCCCTTATGATTCATAGATGTGAGATTCGGAAACAGAAATTCTTACAGAGATCAACAGCTTTAGTAGAACAGAGTTCATGTGGACACTCCTTCATATGAACACAGTTGATTCAAAAATCAAGCGCAGATTGTAGTAATCACGAAAATAATGATATTATCTCGTGGATTTGAAATTGCAGCAGCTGCCACGAAGATTAGTGTTCCTACTAAAACTAGGGCAGAAAAACTATTAGCCAAATTCATGACGGAAGCTAACTGTCAGAATTCATTTATACTATCACGGGGTTTTCTTTTCCTCGTAGTGGCTTCTATTATGTGACGATAATGCGGTTCCTCCGTCAAAGTCTTTAGAGAGAGGAAAATATTAACTCTTCGGATAAATAAATTTTTCGTGGATAGCAGGCTACTATACCTGAATTATTGATATAGCCAGTTGGCCATTGGATTTGCAGCGAAGGCGTGCTCAGTATGTTATCTATGATTCAGAACATGATAAATAAGGCTTGTTAAAGTTGGACGTCATGCCTGAGGAGGCCAGCTGGGGAAATAATATAACATCACGTTTATAACATATCCACGTTAACCCACATTTTTTATTTCATCTCATTCGTCCGCCTTGGATCTCTGCACGTGGATCCATCCTCCGCCCCTCTCTCCCCCCCATTCATTTAATTATTCATGAGATTGGCGGGTGAGAGAGCAAGGTTTAAATTCTAGACCGTGCCAATTGTCCTCCGTGGAAGTTTAAGCTATATGCTGTGATGTCTGCTAATAACTGAAGTTTCCTTCATCTCTGATTGGCGTTGTCATTCCGACGTGAGGATCTGTCGTTCTTCCCTGAGGATTCCTCGAATGCAGCCGTTGCATTCTTTAGTTTCCGAAAGCGAGGTAGTTCAAGGTTATCAGGGTCTGGTATTGGATGAAGTCAAATAATCGCAGGAAAGCAACAATATTCAAGTTACAAAAAGTAACAGATTTGAAAGTTTAATAATAAAACCTTCTTAAATGTTTATAGCATTCTAATAATGATTCAAAAAAATACTTGAACCAAGGGATGGGGCTTCCTCTGAGGTGCCTGAAATAATCCTCTGATCATGCGCTAAATGGTAACTAGTACGGAATTACTAGCATCTGTTATGAGTTTTTTTTCTGTTTAGTGATGACTGAATTGACATTCGATCGCATTAATCTGAATATAGAACATGAAAAAACATGCCTACCATAATCAGATACGATAGCAGCTATTCATTTGAAGAGTACCTAATGTTCTATGGGAGAGATTAGTCTTCTAAGGACCTACGTAGCCCCTCCCCCCAGCCCCCTCGCAGAGTACTAAAACTATTATTAGATATGAAAGCTTTAGTTCCTCTTGACGTTTCCCACAATGGGCATTCATAAAATATTAAATGACCATCGAGCTTGTCCCTTATCGTGAGTAATGGAAACCTGCCGAAGGCCATGTGCGGCGAAAGGCAGATTCTTTCGTGCTCTGATGGTTACCTTTCCGGACATCCTATTTGGAAGAAGTCCTCAGAGATTCCTTCATGTGGGCTACTAAAACGTAAATTTCAGAGCTTTTAATTTTTGCGGTGAAATGATTCGGATTGATTCGCCAACCATTCTACCTTTACGTCTCTGACCGTGTACATCTAATATCAGTATTCATAGCCCATAATCACAGATTTACCTCTAGTCCAATTGATTCTTGATTATCCTTCTGTGGCCATGACCAATGTCACTCTAGTTGTGAAACCAATTGGCCTCTTCTACCTCCCATCTAAATCTTAATGTTGTGGGGAATGCTCGACTGCCACTTTAGGGAAATTTTAGAGAATATTCTGAAGAAGCGAAAGAGCTCTGTGGTATCGCACTACTGCTAACCCAGAACTGATCAGCCTTGGTCTTCCTGCGTTATCATTCAATCACCTGTAGGGCAAATCAAAACCACGTGCTTTTCCCTATTCCTCTCGGATTTCAGTCTGGTGTTAAATCCATCTTACTTCCTTGGTTTAGACCAGACTGAATTGTAATGTTTCAATATGCAGTTGTAAACCCGGATTCTAAAAACATTGGCAGCACTAGTGAGTGGATGAATTGTTACCCCCATGAAGCAAGTAGAATGGACTGTTAGCCATTGAAGAGGATTGTTCCACGAGACAAGAGTGATGAAAGTTGAGCTGACTGGGCTGAGTTTATAGTTGGGCTGCACGGAGTTGTCTCATTCTCAAATCAATTCTATATTATCTTCAAGATGACCCAACTGAAAGAACCTCTTAGGTAAATGTAGATGCTGACTTTATGCTCCATGGGGAAAAAAAGTATGATACAACATAAAGTATTAATGTTCACTTACAAATAGAAACATCAAATTAAATTTTATCATGGACTATTTCTATCTGCTTTGAAATGGATACTACATGGAAAAGTTTTTAGATTAGTGCAACAATGATTTCGTAATATTCATTCAATCTGATTGAACTATTATAATATATATTGTTAATTTCTTTTATCACCCTACACACAGCTGATTGACTTTCATCCATATATTCCCTCAAGTTTTGACCTTCTCTTGAAAACTTAACATCAAAAAAAAATTATGTTTGCTTGACATGCCTAATATTCAAGTTTTGGTTTTCAATTAGTCAACCGACATTTAAAAAATAATTATTTATATTCTTTTCTCTAGAATAGTGGAAATATATCAATAATTTATTTGATATTTAAATATACTTTATCACCACACCTGGTCTTTATTACATCAGCCTAACAAGAAATGAACTGGTTCCTTTTCCAAAACTTTAATGGCTGAATCTTGTAAATTATTATATGACATAATCCAAGAGTTCCTAAAAAATAATACTATTTATACACACATGTTAATAGATCTTTAACAACAATTTCGCATGACACTGCTAACTAATCACTTGGAGGTAATTATTTCACATTTAAATTTACACTCATTTTATACTTTGCAAAAAATTGCAACTTCAATGCATAATGAAGCGATTCCATCAATCTTGTACTCTAAACAAGTGTTAATTACTTCAAAAAGTGGGAGGTTTTATGTTTTAGTCCTGTTGTAAACCAAAAGAATAAAAAATCGTGTTATGTTTTAAGAATAAACCAGAACTAGAAACTAGTGTTCACAAACCTTATAACTATTGGAAATACCAAAAAGTGAACGTCTACAATGTTTGTATGCTTGTCTTGAAACTATTCCTCAAAGTCCCTGATAAGTCTTCATTATCATGAGTTAATAATTAGTAAATAATATAGTTTTAGCCTTAACTCATGATAAATAGACTTATAATTGTGTTAAAGTGTGAAAAGTGGTTTTCAGTTGATTAATGTGATTTTTTGGGTAATTATGTGATTTTATACGAATTTATCTGATTTTTACAATCTTACTTTTGAGATAAATGAAAAAAAAGAAATAAAAATATTGCAAAATGGGGGGACCCGCCGGCCAGCCGGGCCCGCAAGCGGGTCAGAAGCACAGTCGGGAGTAGCCGCGAGCAGGGGCTCGAGCGGCTTAGGCTTGGACCGATAGGGGCACGTGTGCGCCACTCCCCTTCCACGTCACCGGTGGCCAGCCGGCTATGGGGCAAGGAGTGGTCGTACACGCGAGAGAAGGGACTTTGCCTAAAAAGCTAACATTACTATATATTCGCCTGAAAAATCGGCGCACAACCGATGTGGGACTAAACCCGCGTCACACCTTCCTCAGAAGGGGGGGGCGGACAATTGGCGCGGGTTCGAATCCTCCCAGAGTCAAAATTCATATATTTTTATCTAATTATCGCGACTTTCCTGTAGATCGCCGGTGAAGGATTAAGCAACCAGAATCGCTAGATCATCGGCGAAAATCTCGTCAACGCGATTCGCGGAGCATTGCTACTAAAATTGCTGAACGATTCGCGATAAAAGGATCGCGAATCCATCGAGTAAATCATCTCCGATTGATCGACGAACAAGCCGTCGTTGGGAAGAGGACGATCCGTCGGGAGACGAGTCGCCACCTCCTGAGAGCGTACCAGATGCGATGAAGAGCCTCCCCTTGTTGCGCGGACCTGAGGATGAAGCTCCCTGACATGCGCCCCACCTCCATCCAGCTCCTCTCCGTCGGGTGACAGCCGCCAGAGAGCCGCAAAGTCGCCGTTTTTCCGCTCCGCCGGGTAACAGCCGCCGGAGACGATTCGACGACCCACTTCATTGATCTCTAGACTTCGCGAGAAGATCTAGAGATTGCCCACGTCGTCTTTGTCCAAGGAGAGCCTTCGAGGCCGTGGACACTGCACGATGATCCTCCCGAACGCTCAGGATTCCGGTGCATCGCCGACGCATCGCCGTCGCGACGCCGGAACTCTGTTTTCCTACTTTAAACTTACTTTACACTTCATTTAGTGATATTTCTTTGTGATTTTAATTTACCAAAATATACTTTGTTCTATTACAATTCTTCCGGCTTTTACAGATCTTAATTTGATTAATTAAATCGTCTGTAATCGCTTACGTAAGAATTGCCAGGCGGAACTCTGTTTCCGCCCGATTCGCATTCGCCGGGCACTGACGTCATCCTGACGCCCGCGCCCTTATTTCTCTTTTTTGTGAATTTTAAATATATTTCCTTTTTATTTCCTAGTATAAAATTCATAGAAAATCGTATTCATTGAGAAAAATTCTGAATAATTACCAGATATTATATTACATCCCTATTGACCTGGAAAATTACCGCTATTTTTGGAAGTTTTATTGAATCATAATTGATATATTTATTTAGAAATATTTCTAAATATCCGAAAATTCGTATTTTCTAGTTTTATAAATTTTATATTTGCGTGATTTAATATACAACGACTGAGTCACGTCAGTCCCATGTACACATTAACACATTGAATGAGTATCCATATATATAAATAAGTGGAAAAAATTTTGCAAAATAATCATTCAGTGTAAAATTTAATTGTGAAAAATATGTGGATGGCAAACTCTCTTTACTGAAAATCATAGCCCCATAGAAAAATATGTTACATGTTGGATGTGGAGCCTTTAGATTTTAATGATGGAGAATATATTAAATGCTAAACTAGTTAATTTTAGTATTGAATCAGGTTAATAATTCAAAAAGTAGTGGCAACATATTTTCATGACACTTACGTAGGTCCTGTATGACTTTCATGATGATGAGTGCATAACCTAAAGTACCACTTTCAGTTTTTTAAAATGGAGTCAAACTACCTACTTATATGGGAATACAGATAATATAATGGTTTCATATAACAAAATCCATTTCCCATGGCATGTACACGTATTCTTTATTTACTTTCTTTCTGAGAAGTGACTTAAATCACTAGGTATGAGAAATGGCCAAGTCCATTTGTGAGTGAGTTGACTAATGCAGTAGGGTAATCTTCTTGATGGTTAGGAAGTTAGTTGACTAAACTTTTGGGAATGGGCTCAATTTAATGAGTTTCCTAAATCAACTAGTTGAGTCACACATCAAGAAAATAGCCTTAAATATGAATAAAATACATATAATCAGAAAAAAAGTCTTATATTACAAAATTAGTCAAACATCTTTGTTAATCTAGATTACATTTCAAATGTCTACTTTAGCTTATAAAAATTTCTTTGAACCATTAGATCTAATTTTCGTCAATTTTTTTCTATTTATTCTTTGTAATACTGAGTTAATTTGTATTCATAAACATTAGGAAAGGAAATTGGCTCTACATAAAAAAGTAAGAAATCCATGGTTAACCATTTAAAGATCATATTTTACCGCTAAAGTTGAGCAGACTTATCATTCTTCCTAAAAAAACAAGTGATAATAATTCATTAAAGGATTGAATTCAACACATTTCTTTGTGGCATTCAATTGTTTTCACAAGAGAAGATCTTTCTACATCTTTAGTTTGACGAATTCATGCCATCAAAAGTTACATGTTTTGTCAGTTAGAGCTTTTATTTCTACATGAGTTATGTTTAAATACTTGCAGTACTTTAGCTGACCTAGGATTGTTAGTCTAGAAAGCACTAGCTACTAACTAATACTATTGACCCCCTTTCATTGTCAATCTAGAAGACATGTTTATGGGAAATACTTGTGTTCTAGAAGAATGAAATCTAGTAGAGGCTTCTTGAAGCCTGTGTTAGTACGTCTACTAAAATAAATGTATGCACAAGATCTTTAAAGAATGGAGTAGGCAAGTTCTATGAAACCACTATAAGCCCATGTTCTAATTGGTAGCAAACCATGAGTCTAAGATCAATTAGAAAAAGGTGAATTTATGCCCCCCAATTCTTATGCAAATTATGTTAAGAGTTGGGAGCTTTAAATGTTTTGATGATGAAAATGGGAGTATGGTAATGCATGTTTGGTAACCTCGTGTTATTGGCTAGGTTTGACTCTCATTACATTAAATGAAGATACTTCTTTGAGGAGAAATTTGTTCAAGGAAGAATTATATTCATACTTGAGATGATTAAAAGAATTTTTGAATGCAAGAAAGTTTCATACAACATACAATGGAGGAATAATATGCAACAAACAATACATCAAAATTTAAATATTTTGGACTTTTATAATTTTTATAGAATTAATGAATGATTTATTGAGTTTAATGTCGTGTACTAATGTCACTATAATGGACTATTTTCTTGTTGCTGGAAATGACACTTGAGTGGCCCTTTATATTGTATATAAAAGGGACATTTCAGTCTGCATAAGATTTGCTGGCTATGAAGTGACAGTGCAATATAAGGAGGGGTGAATCAATAACCTTTTTTTTTTTACAATTCTTCTCTTTCACACAATTATAGTACTATAGAAATAATTGACACATTCACATAAAAATTTATAGTAGTTTAATTTCAACAAGTACAAGTCTAAGTCTTTAATGCCATACAATAATATTTGGAGGATGACAAATACACATAAGAAAGATAAGTGGATCAAATTACGATTATGGTTCTAAAACATATCTTATTATGAGTGAATATTCAAACATCATTGAAATATATGAATTAGAAAAATAATGAAATTACTTTCGTTCTTTCAAGTATTTAGATGTTATTCCAATGATAATGTATAACATTCATGATATGAAATCTAGAATAATAATTAAGACTATAGTCTAAACTATTATTTCCTCTGCACCTTGATACTTGTTAAAAATTATGAAAGTAACACTATTTTGAAGAAATAATTTGGCCATTAAAAAAAATTTAAATACTCAAAAGAAGATAGTGAGATAATAGTTAAAACATTATAGTATATGTGCTGGATTTGACATGATTATTTGAGATCAAAGTTATTCTATGTCAACATTTAAATTTAAAATTAGGTAAATATTCAACTAGTTAGAAAGTACTATGACATGTCCTCTAAGAGTTTGGATAATCATAAATAAACTAGTACTTGTAGCTATTAAGCATTATTGGCAATATCCAAAACCTATCTATTTAAATAGGTCCAATAAGAATCTAGTCCAATTAAAATGAAAAATATAACATATCTAGAAATAAAGTAACGACTTCTAATGTGACCTAATAATTTTAATCTAAATTAATCAAATTTAAAATTCTAAAATTATAAAATATTAATGCTTATATTTTTGAAATTATTTTTATATAAATATATCAATTTTAAATCAAGAATAAGAGCTCTAAGAAAAGTAAGAATTCTCTAAGTTGATCACAAGGATTTATAATATTATCAGATAAAATTTCAGAGTTTTTCTCAAAAAAAAAATTTATAAAATTTTTAGAATGAAAGATAGCAAGAAAGTCATTTTAAAATTAGAAAAAAAAGAGAAAAATCAGATGTTGATGTCACATGCAAATGTCATGATCAGTAGAACAATGATTTAGAGGAAAATAGAGTTTCACTCGTAGATTATTATGAAATTAATTTTAGTAGGATCAATTGATGAAATTAAAATCTAAAAGCACCAAATGAATCTTAATTGATCAAAGATGAGTTTCAAACAGTAAATTTGGGTAAAACTATCATTAATTTGAAGATTAAATGAATTTAAATAATAAAATAGAGTTTCAACATCATGATGGCAATTGCCAGAATTTGGGTGTTGATAACTCTCATTAATTAGATGATAAAATATTTATATTTTATAATTTATTATTTAATTTTACAGAAATATTTTAAAATTATTTTAATCTAGGAAAAATGATATGAAACTTGTGTATATGATATACTACTAATTTCTAAAAATTACATGATAAAATTGACCATGAAATATTTTGATAGGTTTTACCAATGATTACTATTGTTATAAAATGATTCTATGTCCGTTGCATTTATTTTTGAATTTTTCCTGAAATTTCCTAGGCTTATTATGATAAATAATAATATAATAATAATAAAATTAAAATACATGACTAATTTCTTTTTTTAGGTTTTCCACATCAAGAACAGACATCACAAATATAGCAAGAAGTATGATAGATGATTTGATAAAATTGACAAAATTAACATACACAAAGATGAAAAAACATCGAGGGAGGACGAATGCGGCATCTTTGATCAATCTATCACTCTCCACAATCATTTTCTCTGTCGTCCAGTGGTGACGAATGCTTGATTCACCTAAATCATCCAATCCGATACAAATGATGGATTTCATCTCGATTTCTCCCTAATTCAGTCGCTACAAAATCTGAACTTCATTCGTGAACTTGTCCCATTCTTCACCCAATACATACGGTGAAGAATTTCTTCTAAGGATCCTTCTCTAGATGTCGTGGCATGCTCGGAAATGAACCACCACCGTCAATTGGTTCCAACAAGTGACATTTGCTGAAATTGTCATTTATTGATTGGAGATCATGTAAGAATCCATTCGGTGCACTACACCAGCACAAATTGATCGAATTCAGGTGGAAATTTAATCAATGACCATTCTGCACATTCTTCCATAAAACTAGAACCTTTGCATGATTTTAACTTTATTTTTAATTTATAAAATATTTGATTTAGTTCTACATTGTGTTACGAACAATTTCTCTTCTGAATTCAAAATTTATTTTGAAGTATTTGGCTTTGATTTTGAGAAATATGAATTGACGTATTCCTAGCGATTGGAATTTCGGGGGTATTTTTCAGTGGCTCATGTTTGCTGATGTTATAATTCCTAATTTCTTGTTTTAAAATTATTTTGATTAATTTTCGAAATTAAAATCCTTAAAAATTAACCTATAATAGAAAATTATAAATATAACTAACTAATTTTTTTAGCTTCCTTGTGTTTGACCTAAAAAATCCATCTTTTTCCTAAAGGCTCTCTTTGCATGTGCATAGCGTGGGCACTCTTTGAATTCTCATATGAAGCTTAAAGGGTGAAGTTCAAGTGGTGGTGAAGTAGATCTCTAACTATTGTCACATAGCAAAGTGGAGGTTGATGAAGATGGGTTTCCAATAGCTCTTACCTAGCAAAGAGGTGCTTGATGAAGGTTGAGCATAACATAGGAAGCTTCATCATGTAGTCTGCACTACAAGAGGAGACTCTTATCATAAATAAAACACTCTAAAGAGACCACAATAAGTCTCTTAGTGGATCCCTCTATATTCTGGATGATGGCTTGCTCGTCAACCAATAAGAGATACACTTTCCTCTAGAAGCTTGTGGTATTTTTATCTGAAATCTCTAGTCAAATGTTACTAAAGATCCTTGGTTATTGTTGATGAAGATTTCATTAACAATCAGCTCTCCCCCACACTTTTTGTTGACTGTTTCGATGTAGAAAAATTATGGAATCAAAATAGGAAAAGAACCTTCTGGGGTCACTGATCTTTGAAGCTCCATCTATCATGTGGCTGCATATGATTTATTGCATAAAAGAAGTTAAATAGTTTCCATGGATACTCTTGAAATTGTGAAAACAAGTGGTCTACCCCAACACAACACATTAGATCATACCTTGTTCCATTCACCGATTCTCTCTCAGTGACGTGGAAGACAAGTGCCATACATATGTTTTATGTGGGGCCCTTGTGTCACTTGAGCACAGCTTACAGTTACTCTTAGTTAGTTACCTACTCGAGCAGTCCCCTCTAGGAAGAGGTTTGACTGCAAATTGTCAACTAGCCAACAAGTTCCCTCCCTTTTATTATCTTTTCTTTAACTTCATTTTAACTTGAAAACATGAATATAAAAATCATATAAATTAATTAGTTAACCACAAAATAATATTAGCCATGTAAAAAACATTTTTCTCAATTTTAGAGAAATATAATTTTATTTATCATGAGTTAATGCATATAACATATCATTAAACTAGCCATTAACTTATGAAAATAGAGATTTATTAACTTCTTATTCAAAACTTTTCCAAATCCTCTTAGATAAATTCTGAATCTCAATTAGGTTAATATAAATGTGATCTCAATATTAAATATTTTATAAATTTAGTCATATAAGATATTTTAAAATCATTTTCGAGTTAATACCCATGAGTATTGAGAAAATATTAATCAACTAACAAGTAATTTAAATTAGATTAGTTTATTTAATGTAAGGAATAATTATAAATAATTCTTTCACATTATGAAAATCTAGTAGACATACTAAGCTTTCATACCATATTTCAATTTAATAGTTCTTAATGATTATGAGGTTTAAACCATTTCTTTCAATTAGTGGAAGCTTCTATAAATAGAAGTAATCCTCACATAATTACACAAAGTAATAGCTTTTAGTAGTAAAATCCACAAAAATACAAAATTCAACATTAGATAAGGTCCAAATACAGTCCTAAATTTATATTATTATATTTAACATTATTACTTAGGATCCTTCCTGAATTTATTAAATTATCTTCATACTTACACATAAAATAGTATTTAACTAAATATCATGCATAATGAGAACTACTATTATTAGATCAATTGATTGATTTGATGTGTTTGCAATCATCAAAAGATTATTCAATTCATGCTCCAATATAAAATGCTATCTTCTTTTGTAAAATATCCTTCATGGAATTCTTCCAAATCTAGGTGTGTTTCCAATTCACCTATTGAGAAACATTGTACATTATCGTGATGACATGATTGATAGAAATCCACTTTATTTAATAAGCTACATTAGCAAAGAAAATTATTGGATACCTAAATATCTCTCTTATTTAAAGGCTTCCAAATAACCTTTTGATAGGTCTTAATCATTGCTTATAAAACACACAAGAAAATTCACAAAACTGAATTTCAAAATCACATAAAAATTATAGTGGATTGAAATCATCATCACAAGGATGATTGTCAATACAAGTGTCAAATTTTGTTATAAGCCTGAATCTAATGAAATGAGAGAAAAGGGAAGGAATTCTTCATTAATTCAGTATGGGAGCATTGTCATCAACTCAACATCTCCAATAGTCCATAGGTGCATTGAAGACCTAGGGGTAGAGTCCTTCCCTATGGCGTCCTTAGAGTGCCACAGTGAGGATCAACATAGTTCCTATATAAAGGGGTAAAAAATAGAAGATATGGAAAATAGAGAAAACATGACACAAAGAAATTGGACACAAGCAAAGGGGTCAAATAAGGAGAGAGAGAGAAGTGAAAGTCAACCTCAAAAAGAGGACAAAGGGAGAGTTTCACTAATATGAGAAAGGAGGAGAGGAGATATTTCATCATCACGGAAGAGAGAAGGAGAGGAGACTCACTGTTGGGAGAAGAGAATAAAGATGAGTATCACATCAGCCAAGTTTGTAGAAATCACAAAATGTGAACATAGGAGGAGAAGATGTAGAAGGAATTAAATCTAGCACTTTTGTGCATGTCACTCAGAGTATGAAGAAAAATCAGGAAGTAATTCAAATAGGAAAAAACTTCCAAACAATCAAGAAAGTGGTAAATTACTAAAATAGAGTCTTATTTCAATCCTTTCTCACTTATAGATCTAGAGAGGAAAAATGTGTGCTGAATTAAATCATAGATAGTTAAGAAAAGTGATAAAAATCATAATATATAGCATTCGCACCCCTCTATCTGTCACCTATAAAGGTTTGAGATGGCAGCAGAAAGGATCATGGCGGTGGAATCTCCAGATCATGCCACTTTGCACATTGCCACCTATTACCTAGAGGGAAAACTCAAACATTGTCACCATCAAGCTCAACCTCATGACACCACTCCATTTTGCTGTCAGGTTCTTCCCTTCTCTTGCCTTAGTGATAAGTCTTCATTATCAGGAGTTAATAATTAGTAAATAATATAGTTTTAGTCTTAACTCATGATAAATAGACTTATATTTGTGTTAAAGTGTGAAAAACGGTTTTCAGTTGATTAATGTGAATTTTTGGTTAATTATGTGATTTTTTATGAATTTATATGATTTTTAAATTTTTTTTGAGATAAATAAAAAAAAAGAAATAAAAATAGAAATATAACAAAATGGGGGGGACCCGCTGGCCATGCAGGAGAAAGGGACTCATTACTTGAAAATGTAATATTACTCTATATTTGTTAGAAACTTTGATGCACAAGCGATGTGGGACAAAGCCCCCATCACACCTTCTCTTAAAAGGCTTCAAAGATTTTAATACCTTAAATAGCCCTTATTTATAAGAGAGATATACTATGATGATGTTACTTAATAAGGGCATTAGAGTACTTATTTTAATCTCTCTCATGTAGGCGAGCAACCGGTGTGAGTTTGAATCCTCCCAAAACTAAAACTTGTATTTTTATCTGATTATTGTGACTTTCCTACAAATCACCGGTGATAGATTAAGCCACTAGAATCATTGGATCATCAGTGAAAATCTCATCAACAAGATTCATGGAGCATTGTTACTAAAATTGCTAAACAATTCATGATAAAAAGATCGCGAATCTATTGAGTAAATCATCTTCGATTGATCAACGAATAAGCCATCGTCGGGAAGAGGATGATATGCTAGGAGACGAGTCGCCACCTCTTGAGAGCATATCAGATGCAATGAAGAGCCTCCTCTTGCTACGCAAACCTAAGGATGAAGCTCTTTGACACGTACCCCACCTTCATCCAACTCCTCTCCATCGAGTGACAGTCACCAAAGAGCCGCAAAGTTGTCATTTTCTACTCCGTCGGGTGACAACCGCTAGAAACGATTTGTCGATCCATTTCATTGATCTCTAGACTTTGCAAAGAGATATAGAGATTGCCCACGTCGTCCTAGTCCAAGGAGAGCCTTTGAGGTTGTGGACACTACACGACGATCCTCCCGAATGCTTAGGATTTCAGTACATCGTTGACGCATTGTCACTGCGACGTCGAAACTCTATTTTCCTACTTTCAACTTAATTTTTGCTTCATTTAGTAATAATTTGTGTGATTTAAATTTACCAAATTATACTTCATTTAATCACGATTCTTTCAACTTTTACAGATCTTAATTTGATCCATTAAATCATCTATAATCATTTACATGAGAATCACTGAGCAGAACTCTATTTCCACCCGATTTACATTTGTCGTGCACTAACGTCATCTTGACGTCCGCACCCTTATTTCCTTTTTTTGTGAATTTGAAACATATTTTATTTTTATTTCTTAATATAAAATTCATAAAAAATTGTATTCTTTAAAGAAAATTCTGAATAATTTCCTTATATTGTATTACATCTCTATGATCAACTTAAAATATTATCACTATTTTTGAAAGTTTTTTTGAATTATAATTGATATATTTTTTAAGAAATATTTCTAAATATCCGAAAATTAGTATTTTCTAGTTTTATGAATTTTAAATTTGCGTGATTTACTCTACAAGGACTAAGTCACATCACCTAGCCTCATTGGAAACTCTCCCTTCCATTCTCTGTCAACCCAATTACACCTATGATGCTGGGTTTGATATTGAGTCTGACATAATCAGCCTATTATTAGGACACATTATTTTCCTTAAATTCAAATAAGTCTAGAAAAACCTCTTTTTTTCCTACTAACTTTTCTATACTTTCTTGTGAATGAAAAAAATATTTCTCAATGATATATGCATTGGCCATTCATCTTAGTATTGGATTTAAACAAGAATCCATAAAATGTGTTCTAAAATCTATTTAATATTTTACATTAAATTTCATTTTATTATACCTTGATTAACATATTTTTAACTATCATTCTTCTTCAATTTGCATACAAAAATTTTGCATTAACACCCATTATACCCTTCATGTAAAATAGAACTGTCCTCTGTCCCTCTCACAAAAGAGATATTCATAGTTTGATTCATTTGAAGATTTAGTGATGTCAATTAAAGAGAAACTTCAATGAATTATTTTACATTTGCCACTATTAGAATTGCTGAATTTGAGGTTCTAAAAATTAAAAAGCATGGACCTGAAAGGTCTTAAGGCTAAAGATGATTTCAAGGCTCCAATTTCAATCCAGCCAGCCAAAACTTCATGAATAAGATGCCAATGTCATAGGATTGATAAATGTTATCCTATTAGTTTTATAACTGATTATTTTTAATGAGAGGACTAGTTCATTCTTCCCTATTGAAAAGCAAAGGCAATTAAATACCAAGAGTTAGTAATATTTGAATTTTTTTTTTAGATATTTTTCATTTCATGTAAGAATGGGGCATCATTTTGATCCTTGTGAGTTCAAGGTTTGTACCAATAAATCCTTATGGGCTAAAGGATTTAGGATCTTATAACTCCCAGATTTAAGGCCCAATTTCTATTTTTTTCCAACTTCTACCATTTCACTAACTCATTCTTCTTACTCTACTAAAAAATGAATAGCTGAGCTAGAATATTATAGCTATTGTAGAATAGTTGTAGTAACACCAGGGAGAGAAGTCACCTCAAACTTTTACAATGCCCACTTAACAAAATTTTCAGACACAAGATGAAACATAGTGGAAGAAAATTTGTGGCATGTGCCTTCTGCCCTCAAATCCAATAAATACATTATTTGAGGGATGTCCAGCTCTTAAGTAGTAAGCACTTCTACCCATTGGAGAATTATTAAGCAAGGCATAGTCCCTTTACGATTTGATGAAGGCCATATGAGTCAAACGCTAATTAAAATAATGTTAAAGATATTTCTTTTTCTAATACTTTGGATGTTGAAAGATGGGATGCAAGGTCTCTGCGGTGAGGAGTTGCTTTCATGATGGAGCAAAATAAAATTAAGGCGATGCAAAACGACGACGAAATAATGCAATTAGCTAAGAATCGGAGAGATTGACCGACAGATAGTCGCTTTCCAGTGTTAAATGACCACCGCTCTCGTAGCGACGAAATGGGGGAAGAGGGAAGTGTCAGAGATGGACGTACGAGTACGATCGCTGAGCAGATCCGGTCGTGGTGGGTTGCCCATCGTGCTGGTTCTCTTTATTTGGTGGTAATCCCCGTTTTCTCCTTAATTTTTTTTCCTTCCCCGTCCTTGGCATAATGAAGAGCCGACGCTGATGTCTCTGGACTATTCCATAGCTAGATTTGCCCACCAAACCCTGCTTCAAATGGGGGAAGAGGGAAGTGTCAGAGGGCAGAAAGTAAAATTAGGTTGACCCAATCCAGCCTTCAGAAGCTCCAGCCGGAAGCTGAACCTCTTTTTGTATGCCGATGTCTGATAGATTTTTTCCAGGACAGAAGGTGGGGTCTGGGCTGCAATACAGTCTTGTCCAAACGTTTATTAACAATCTATCTGACTGGCGGTCATCCTGGTTGATTCTCTCTCTCTCTCTCTCTCTCTTCATAAGAGGCGTCCTTACTGGGAAGGATATCATCCTCACCTGGTCGTCCTCGGCATCAAACCGCGGGGGGGCACGGAATCCTCTCCAACTTTCTTCCCTCTTCCGTTTTATCTCCGTCCTACGGGAATACTCTTTTCCCCAAGGCACCCTGCCTTCCTCAGCGTCCAGTCCATCTAGACTGCAAACCTATCCAATCTCACATCGTTTGGCCCAGATGGGCCCGCCAGTTACGGGTCCAGATCGGCAAAGGCCAGGTTCGAAGCCCATTCTCACCTCACCTAGAAGATGTGAGGTAAGATAAGTTCTTCATGTGGCGATATGCGGCCAAGAGAGTTTTCTGATGCTGTAGGATCGGTGGAGAAGACGAAGGGCCAAACACAGAGATCCGCCCAGAAGATGAAGCAAACGATGAGGAGGCTCTCCCTGGTGTTCGGCCTGACCGGCCTCTGCGCCTTCGTCTACCTATTTGATGCCGCACAGAACACAGCTTCTATCATCTCCATCTCGTCCGAGGTGTCTTCCACAACAGGCGTTGTCCCATTCAACAAATCAAGTGGAAATTACGAGTTCCCGCCCTGCGATATGAAGTATATGGAGTATACCCCTTGCCATGACCCACGACGGGCGATGAAGTTTGAGAGGACGGCGATGATCTACCGGGAGAGACACTGCCCCGCCAAAGACGGACTCCTCCGGTGTCTCATACCCGCTCCTCCCAACTACAAGAGGCCCTTCGCATGGCCTCAGAGCAGAGACTTTGCCTGGTATGATAACATTCCCCACAGGAACCTCAGCGACAATAAGGCGGTCCAGAATTGGGTTGTTGTAGTGGAAGACAGATTTCGCTTTCCCGGAGGTGGGACGATGTTCCGCGGCGGAGCTGACTCCTACATAGACCGGATAAATGCCCTCATTCCCCTCACAGACGGAAGCATTAGGACAGCAATGGACACTGGCTGCGGGGTAAGATTGGACTGAACCCAACTGATCTTTCCTTAATCAGTAATTTTACCACCGAGAAATGATTTTAGCATGAAATGATACGACGTTTAGATCAAAATCGATCCTTATGCTAAAAATAGTCATGTCTATTTATTCCTAGGTTGTAGCTCACCTAATCAATGTAAGATTGCAAGTAGAGAGTATGAAGTTATTTGGCCATCGAACTTAATATCAAATTTTTCAATTAAAAAGATAAAAGTACCATGCAAAATCCTATAATTAAAGACTAGTTTTTATTTAGTTATTCAAATCGTATTCAAATGTATTGCGTGGCGAATAGAATTTAGATTGGGGATCCATAGGAAAGACCATGACTTTAATACTAAAGGAAAATATTTCTGTATTTTATTTTAAACCAATTAATTGCAATCAAAAAGCATCGGTAGAAAGAAATTTAGGGATTTTTATTTTATTTTTTCTATCCTGAACACACCCTCATATGGGGAGGTATTTTGCTTAAACTGCCACGCTGATAGTAGATGTCAGTTGATTGTGTAATAATCATGTGTTGTCGCCTTGAAAAATATATGTCAGACCTTCAAAGCCTGAATCAGCTAGTTAAATTTTTTAATCCGTATATTTTATTTTTTTGATTAATGGGGAACTTCCATAATTAATTGGTATCACACCTTTGTCAAGGTGGGAAGCTGGGGAGCGTACCTTCTGAATCGGGGTGTCTTGACCATGTCGTTTGCCCCGAGGGACTCTCACATATCCCAGGTTCAGTTCGCACTGGAACGTGGAGTTCCAGCCATGATTGGGGTCGTGGGAGCTCATCGGCTTCCATATCCAGCGAGGGCATTTGACATGGCTCACTGCTCGCGTTGCCTGATCCCTTGGCATGCTGAAGGTGTCCCTTCTCCCATTTTCGGCGATCGGGTGTATTTCTTAATGTTTACGATTATCTTCGTGTTTATATTTCAGATGGTATCTTCCTGGCTGAAGTTGACAGAGTTCTGAAGCCAGGAGGCTTCTGGATTCTTTCTGGCCCGCCAATCAATTGGAGGAAGTCTCACCGAAGTTGGGGCCGGACTCCGGAGGACTTGGAGAAAGAACAGGATAAGATAGAGGACTTGGCAAAGCGCCTTTGCTGGGACAAGTTCATCGAAAATGGAGAGTTTGCCATATGGAAGAAGCCCATCAACCACAAAAATTGCATTAACGGCCAGAAGTCGGAGAGAACACACGCTATCTGCAGTGGTGGAACTCCCGACGCCGCATGGTATAAGAAAATTGAGCCCTGCATCACATCATTACCAGAGGTGAGCAATGAGGAAGAAGTTGCCGGCGGAGTACTGGAGAACTGGCCTAGCAGAGCATCCACCGTTCCTCCGAGAATTACAAGCGGGTCCATTCCCGGAATAACCTCCGACAGATTTCTGGAGGACGGAAGGCAATGGTCGGAGCGGGTAAAACACTACCAGGATACCATCTTAGATCTTTCCGCGGGACGATACCGCAATGTCATGGACATGAACGCCAATCTAGGAGGGTTTGCAGCAGCGCTAGTTGACTACCCTGTATGGGTGATGAACGTGGTTCCTGTTGACTCGGACCGTGATACACTTGGAGTTATTTACGAGAGAGGATTCATCGGAACTTACCAAGACTGGTGCGAAGCCTTCTCCACTTATCCAAGGACGTATGATCTCCTTCATGCCGATGCCATCTTCAGTATGTACCAGTACAGGTGAGAAATCCCATAGTCATCAAGATAATCATTGATAGGAATCACTGTGAGTTTCACGATTTTTTGTTTATATCATTGCAGGTGTGATTTGGAGTATATTCTGCTTGAGATGGATAGAATTCTGAGACCCGAAGGAACGGTACTCATTCGGGATACAGTAGAGGTCCTATTGAAGGTTCAGGAAAGAGCGGAAGGTATGAAATGGAAGACCCAGATGACGGACCCAGAGAGCGGATCCTCTGTCCCGTGGAAGATTCTTGTGGCTGTCAAGAGCTACTGGACTGGCGTAGACGCCCTAGAGACCAAATGAATGTGATATTTGCATATCGTTTACATCCCCATAAATCCTCGATTCTTCGTTTCATTTTCCTTTTTTTCCAAAAAATTAAACTAAATGTCGTTCAATTCCCTTTAACTATCAGGTAGGGGGGTTATCTCTTTTTTCTAGTAATGGTGAATCCCTTCCGAAGGATTCACTCATAGATAGGCAGTGTAAACTCTGTTATACACCTCTCTGAGCTCGTCAATATGGACCCCCATCGGGAGCACACTGGCATAGAACGGGGGAACGAATCACAATTAAACTCGTCGGACAACATGTTGCCTTGCGGTTCGTCGTCTATTGATGTATTTTCTCGAGGAAGGTCGTGATGGTTCACCTACTAAGGGGGACAGAGCCGTCCCACCCCTTCGTCTTTACGACGTTACTGGATTTGTTGATTGCCGATTTGGACATACCAACTGACGAGCGCAATGACGTCTCAGCTGCTTCTGGTCCCCCTGCATTTGACTTGAATTGTAAGGATTGTGAATCTAAATCAATGCGCATTTAGTTTCTCAACCATATTTTCTCCCGTATTTAGTAATTATATCAATGGCATGGTCATTGAATAACTCACAATTTCTGAGCCAAATTCTAACCTCCGATCTACTTAATGTATCTATTCTTATCCTCTCTTAAAGATCTTTTACTGCTGACTCCCCCTCAAAATTTTGTATGTTCTAATGGCCGTACGGGATTTAAGTGGCTGCATGTTGTGAGTGAAAACTCTAGAGCACACAGAACTATTGGCAATGCAATGAAGCAACACAAGAGACCAAGAAGCAAAGAGTATGACTTTCTCCTCTGTTCCTTGTTCCTTCTTGGTTCATTAAGTGCTCAGAATAGAAATGGATGTTGCCATTGAAAAGCATCCTTATGAATTATAGAGATATATGGGCCTGGCCCAAATATCTCTACATAAATCAAATTAGAGTACTAAATTTTGAGTTTAATTTCCCTTTTTTAGACCAGTTATAAATATTCAAATTCGATTTGACATGTCTTGTCAACAACAATCAGATCACAAGACTTATGAATTGTGTAAGGTTCCTCCCTATATAATGGGGGTTAGAGGTGAATGAATCTTGAGGCGATTTCCGCCATTCTCTCCTTTGTGATGACATGGTTTTATTTTCTCCATTTCAACAATCATGCTTGAAGACAAAAATAATATTATAATAAAAAGAGGGCGGAAGCCCTGTACATATAGGGGTGAGGAGTGGAGAGAGTGGGCCAGGCCCATATATCTCTACATGAATCAAACTAGATTCACTAAATTATGAGTTTGATCTCCCTTTTTTTAGACTAGTTATAAATATTCAGATTCTACATGTTTTACCAACAACTATCAGATCACAAGACAACACTTGATATTTAATATCCATCAAGTGGAACTAATTTGCAGTAGATTGGTGGGATAGAAACTCTCCATTATAATCATGATGGGCTACACTGGTCGAAGAGACTAAGAGGATGAAAACTAGTAGAATATCTAACAAAAACAAGTAGACAAATGAACATATCTTCTCAGCTTACCTCTTTTGTTCTCCAACCACCTACAACTTTGCTATTGTCATAGATCATCTGAAGATGGATGAAGCATCACATGTCTGTGATTAACATGTTCAGGCTTGCATCTTTGACATCATTTTAACTCATAGGTATCAAATTATCTGAGAGGTTGGTCCAAACAAGTTTGCTAAGAAAATGATGATGGGAACTAGCAAAGAGAATTAAATGAAATGGAAGAGGAGCTGTTGGTCCCCAATATATCTAGTACTGTTTGAAAGTTTTCATTAAAAAAAATGACAATAAATTTCTCTAAATTTAATGGTACTTAATTGGCCTATATAATTCCAAGACTAATCTCACATCCTCTTATTGTATTAAGAAAACATAAATTCTCATTTGTCAATATGCTACTAAATAAATTTTCTGATAAGTCTTTATTATCATGAGTCAATAATTAATTAATAAAATATTTTAAGTCTTAACTTATGCTTAATAAATTTATATTTATATTAAATTGAAAAAATTGGTTTTTAATTAGTTAATGTGAAATTTTGACTAATTATGTGATTTTATGTAAACTTTTATAATTTGTATAATTATATTTTTGAGATAAAATACAAAAAAGGGGAGACCCATTAGCCAACTAGACCTACAAGTACAATTGGCTGAGCCATGAGTAGGGGGCACAAGTGGCAATGGACTGGTTGGGGCATGTGTGTGTCATTCCCCTTCCACATCACTAGTGGTCAACTAGCATCATAGGGCAAGAAGTGGTCGTACACATGTGAGAGAGAGCACAGATATATACGTGTCTTGGACATCAAGAAATAGTCCATATGAGACTAAATCTAGGCCACCGCTCACTATCATCTATTTTTAATTATTTTTATACCTAAAATATCCCTAGTTGATAAGGAGACACCCTTATGACATCACTTGACAATAGTATTTACATACTACTTAGTTGATAAGGAGACACCCTTATCTCTCTCATGTAGATTGGAAACTAGTGAAGGTTTGAATCTAACTAGAGCCAAAACTCATATTTTTATTTGATTAGTTCGTGATTTTACTATAAAATACTAATAAATGATTAAGCCATCATAATCACTCAATCATCAACAAAAATGTCATTGACATGATTTGTGGAGCATCATTATAAACTACCAAATAATTTTAGATAAAAAAGGATTGTGAATCTATTGAAGAAATCATCTCTAATTGATCGATGAATGAGTCATCATCATGAAGAAGACAATCCACTAGGAGACGAGTTCTCACCTCTTCAAAGCATACTAGACACAACAAAGGGCCTCCTCTTACTATGTAAACCTAAAGATGAAGCTTTTTAAAATATGCCTCACCTCCATTCAACTTATCTTCATAAGGTGATAGTCACCAGAGATGATTCGTTGATTTATTTTATTGATATCTAAACCTTAGAAAAAGATCTAGAAATTGTCTATGTTGTCTATGTCAAAAAAGAGCCTTTATGGTCATGGACACCACATGATAATCTTCCTAAATATATAAAATTATGACGATTAGTGTCATGAAGTTGAAACTCTATATTTCTTACTTTAAACTTAATTTTTATTTAAATTAGTGAGAATTTTTGTGACTTCAAGTTTTAAAAATATTCTTTGCTCAATTAATATTATTTTTAATTTTTATAGATTGTAATTTGATGAATTACATCATATGTAATCATTTATGCAAGAATTACTAGATAGAACTTAATTTTTACCCAAATCACATTCATTAGGGTCTAACATCATCTTCATTGAGAGTTCCAATCACATGTTTGTTAAATGTTATGCCACCTTATCATGGCCCCTAACTCGATTGCTTAAGAAAAATTCTTTTCATTGAGAATCTGATCGTCAAGAAACTTTCTATAAAGTAAAGGTGGCAATGACTTTCAAACTTATATTGGTCTTGCCTAGTTTCTCTAAAAAATTCATAGTTGAAACAAATACTTCAAGACATGGTATAGGTACAGTATTGATCCAAGAAGGACAGCTAGTAGCTTATTTCAATCATGTCTATCAAGAACACTCTCAACTAAAGTCAGCCTACGAAAGAGAACTCATTGACATTGTGATGGCAATTAGGAAATGAAAGCATTATTTCATCTCCACCCTATCATCTTTTAGACAAATCAATATAGTTTGAAATTCCTATTCAACCAAAAGGAGATTCACCAAGAATATCACAAATAGGTCACTAAACTAATGAAATTTAATTTTCAGATATAGTATAGGGAAGGCAATAAGTTTTCATTATTACAAGTTAATAATTAACTTGTAATAATGAATAGACTATATTTATACTAAATTATCAAAAGTGGTTTTTAGTTAGTTAATGTGAATGTTTGATTGATTTTTTGAGTTTATATAATTTTTATAATCATAATCTCTTTTAAATAGGCAGTTTCTATTAGGTGCCCATAAATAAGAACTTCTTCGTACAAAAATTTTAAAATTAACCTAGCATCGGAAAACATACTAAAAGTAGGAAAGTAAATTTTTAACATATTTATGATGTCTTTTTATTATGCACAAGGTCACGTAGTTAGATCTTCAGGCTTCTAGAGCCTTTGGTGTACTATAATTAAACTATGGATGTGCTATAGAAAGAGTACTCAAATTCAACTCTGTAGTGAGTTTACTGTGGGGTCTAGAGGGTAGCAGCCTCTTATGCGTGGGTATTGAAAGGGACTAGGTATCTTGTAGGAAAATTTCACATTAGAAGTTATTATTATAATTTATCTCTAATGTACTTATTCTAAAACATAATATGAAATGAGGGGTCACCAACACTTGTAACGTGAGACAATTCTCTAAGCAAGAAGCAACAAGGGCCTAGGGGACCATAGGCATAGGATCATTCTCGAAACTACCCAAATCTAGTGCCTTTCCGTGGGCCTAGGAAAAATGGAAGTTTTCATGACTGTCCCCATAACAATAAACAGCTCTCAGCGAACATGCATAGAAGTAGAACGGGCCACTGATAATTGTCTCACAAGTGGATCCCATATTTCACTGTGGCTAGCACATCTGCTCTATGGATGTTCTTCCCTTGTCCGAGGTACTAAGCCTCTCTCTCCAAGTTTCACTATGCATGTAAGCTAGGTGGAGGAACTCCTAGGTTGCTGTAGGGATTACCATCCAAGATAACAATGTAGCATGTACGAGAAGATTTATTGACCTTGAATAGAGTTTCCATAGCTTACTTGGATTGAAATCTAAATAACTCTAAAATTCCATTGATAAGTCTTCATTATCATGAGTTAATAATTAGTAAATAATATGGTTTAGCCTTAACTCATGATAAATAGACTTATATTTGTGTTAAAGTGTGAAAAGTGATTTTCAGTTGATTAACGTGAATTTTTGGGTAATTATGTGATTTTATACGATTTTTACAGTCTTAATTTTGAGATAAATGAAGAAAAAGAAATAAAGATAAAACAA